ATTTACAGAGAAAAAAGTCCATCAGCTGAACTACCGGTATATTCCTAATTTAAGTGTTCATAAGATTGTAACCTAAGGAACTGAATGTTGCTTTAAGGGGGGGAAAGGTTGCTACCCTCAGTTGTAGGATTGTTACTTCCCCCTTATTCCTTTTAAGCACAGAATGATTAAGAAGGATTGCCTCTCCAGTCTAATTCTAATTCCTTCCTTTTGTATAAGCAAGCACCCAATATCTGGACAGCAGTTTGGGCCCTTGAAGCTTCATGAGATGTGCACCATGCGTCAGGATTAGTAGGGGTTTCATGCAACTGTGGTTAAAATTTTGGCAATCCTATTTTAAAATAGTAGCTTCTATCCTTCAAAAGCAGAAGGCACTCTCAGCCAAAGCGTGGTATGACATTTCAGAGCACACTGGCTCCAGTCAGCTCCAAGTCTATTTACAAATATAAACTAGATAATTATGGAGATGTGGCAGAAGACAAAGAAGCAGGGAACAACATTAACAAAAAAGCCATTTTATTGAAAATGAGATTCAAACCTCAAAATTAATATTACAATCATGAGAGAATGCCAAACAAATTCAATTTACAGTTGCAACATACAATACAAATAATCCCTTTGAAGATAAAGTAAACCCTTCCACAATCGCTGTCTGCAGCACAAAGAAGAATGTGTTTGTACAATATGTGCATAAAAAGCAAATCTTGGGCAACAGCAATTGGAGAAAAAAATGAAAGAAATTAAAGCATGTATTTACAGGAAATGCTACAAATATCATTTTGTTCCAGCAGAAATTCAAAACTGGTAAAACATATTTAAGTAAAAATAATGTGGAATGTTGCTTAGTGTACCTATGAAACAAAAATTACCGTAAAGATATGGTCTCTGGCTGTTCTGTTTAAAAGAATTGCAACAAAAATAAAGCAAGTAATTAAATGTAAACAGGCAAAATGTCAGGTAGAACATGCTGAAATGAAATGTATCTCAGACTTTTAAGATATTAGAAAACTTGGTTTTCTTTTATCTTTCCTCATTACTTGTATAGGTTTAAATTATTGCTTTTGTACATGGCTTTCTGTGATTCCTGATCAATTACTTCACCAGGACTCAAATGGCAGGCCCCAACAAAAAGATGGAGCAGTATTCCGGTAAACTCTACAGTGCAAAAGATTCCCCTCTGGAACAAAGCGTGGGAAGGCAGAGCGGGAGAGGAGGACCAGGAAATCCATGCTCAGGACGGCTGCCTCTGGGCAGGGCAGAAATAAATGGGGCACCTGCGCCATTTTTAAGGGCTCTAAGGTGCTGGTGCCCAAGTAACTTTGGTTGCAATCCGACACACACTTACACTGAAGTAACTCCAACTTCACTCAATGGAGATTATGAGATCTAATCCCAATCCTTTGATCAGCCTCATCTATGGAAGGAGTTTGGAATTAAATTCTTTATTTATCTTTGGTATAGTCTTTGAAAAAGCTTTGCACAAGCAGTTTAATACAATGGACTCCACAAACTGGACCAGCATTTCCTCTTCTCAAAGAAGTAACTCCCATCCTTGAGATACTAAACACAGCCCAAATTATCCCATGTTATGAATCGTCACACATTCCCATCCTGAATCACAAGAGAATACAATTTGCAGGAGGGGTTTTTGGGGGTGGGTGGGTGAGATATTAAAATGTGTGATATACATGAATAATTGCCAGTTCAAAACAAATGCAGAATTAGGAGCAAAGATCATTTTGAACTTATTTCTTTCTTTTCTTATTTATATTGTGTCATCAAGGAATCAGGTACCATCCAAGACTGAATACGAAGTTCCCTGCTGAGAGCTTAGGTCTAAAAAAAGAAAAGCATACTAAATTAAAATGTGAGAGACCACAGAGAAGGGCCTTGTGCTTATCAAAGGTGCTTGTGAATATTTTCCGCTGCCACCCCTTCAATTATAATTACCGTAATTCAGACTTGTAAAATGAACCGTTTTTTTCTGTGCAGTCATAATCACAGGACATGAAATGGGCATATTTTGGGGCAAACGTAACTGCACACCTGAGTGACTTGGAGTTTCAATCCCAAATGATCCAGTTTTAAAACGTGATGATACAGAAATATTACTGTAGGTACAGAACAAAGCAGGAAAATGATCTGTGCTGGATTAAATCCAGGAATATAAATCAGTATTTTAATTGTACAAGAACATCTTTCTTGCTTTCTTGCTTTTAAAATGTCTTTGGGTTGCTGCCTGCAGCCCCTGTAACAACACAAGAATATCCCTACAAAATTACTTAAGATGCATATAGTAAATCTTTAAAAAAAGCCCCCTTTCAGCAATAAAAATAATGTACAAATATAGTACCTTTATTAAATATACAACAGCTTTTGCACTGGAAGTTCATTTTCTTTTCTTTTTCTGGTTTAATAAACGACAACCAGAAACCCACAAAACTTGAAATGTGTAACCAGACACTGGCTCTTTTAAGTGCTGCTGAAATGAACAAACTTATCTTACAGATACAAATAAATTGACAAGGGTATGCTTCAAGCTACCACAAATAATAAATAGGATCAATAATAGCTCCCGTCTTTGAAGGAAAAGTACACATCAGGAAAGTGTCTCTAACTGACAAAAAGGGTACTTGATATATAACCTTTAGAAGGTAAGTGTTATTTTTTTCTAAAGAGCAAATGATTCATACCAAATTTTCAGGCATAATCCAGGGGAATGTGGAGTCTCTCTAATGGGCTGCCTTAGCAATCAGCAGATGATGAGTCTGATACTGTCCAATTATATTACGACCTTGCATAAGTATTTCACCATTTCTTATTGTTGGGTTGGCCAAAACGTAGCCCATACTTATCATTAGTTTCAGCAGCACTGCAGTCCAAAGAAAATTATGTTTGCTGAATGCAGTTGAGGCTAAAAGCAGTGCAAATGAGAACATGGAAAAGGCTAGAGAGACAATGCATTCTGGAAAGCTGGCACTTCCTTTTAAAGGAGTCAAGCCGCAAATGGCTCTGCTTCATCCACAGTCCCACATCCTGCTTCAATTAAGCATGTGCATAAATCGGTTTCTGGAATCGAGTCTAAGGTGCCCAATGAGCTTACTGTCCTCTGAAGTTTAAATAAGAATTCTCCAAACACTTCAGAATGTGTTGGATCTCAGGAAATTGTCAAGTAGCTAATCCTGCTTGTCATTCTGGCAAAAAAAGAGTTTGGAAGTGGTGGATGGATGGATGGATGGATGGATGGATGGATGGATGATGAGTCCCAGGTGTAAATGGGAACATGGCCTTAAGAGGACTTTCATTATCCATATTCACGTTTGAACAATCAAATATTGATGCAAGCTGGTCCTGCTGAATTTAGATCTGCTTTGCAGTGGTTCATTTGTGCTTATTCTTTTGTAACCTGATGGTTAAAATATCAATTGATATACCGTATATGCATCATAACTAGTATTTGATACTAGATAAGACCCATAAGATTGGTCATTAATTTTGCTGGCATTTCATTTGGGATTTTATCCAGAATGCGTTGCCTGGGATCTAAGCACGGAGAAGAGGAGTAAGACATCTGGCAGCAGCCCTCACAAAACAACCCCCAGCCTTGGGGAGGGGCTGCAGCAGGGAGAGTGGAGACAAAGATCTTGCACATGAGAGCACCACACACGGCCCATAGGCCTTTGGTCCCCACCCATTCAATCTGAGAAACTTCAATTAGAAAAATGTATCCAAAATGCTTTTCACTCATTCTGCTTCTCTTTCCAGTTCATTTCTGACAGATTAAAAAGGCAAAAGGCAACCAAATAACCAATAACATTTAAAACAGTATTTCCTTCATAAATTAAAACAATGTCCTATATCAAAGTTTCTTTGAGATGGAAGCATTTTTTTATATATAAAAAAAATCACATTGCAGCTGGTTTATATTGGAACTGCCTTTCAGAGTTCAGGCATAGCCTTGAGATTTTGTACCGCTAAAAGTCTGTCAGTATTTTTTAAAAAACAAACATTTTTAGAGACCTAAGTCATCATATCATTACATTAAGAAAACTTTAAAGGGATCAAATATCATTAAATAATTATAAATATTTCTTTAAAATTATATGACAATTCATTTTTTTGCAAATAACCTCAATTTTTACATATTTATAACTTAATAAAATAAAACAAGATAGCCAGACACACATACCACCTAAACTGTTTTGGTTTGAGTAAGATATATTGCCATTATCTTTTGCTTCTTGCATAAGAAATTAGATTTCATTTTATTTTAGGGGGTCTCCCCCAATATATATATATTTTGGTTAACTGATCTAAGGCCAAAAAAAAATCACATAAATGAATAGCACAAAGTGAACAAGGCTGCCTTGGCACCTTGTTGGCTGCTCTTTCAGTACAAAATAAGCCGTGCATCTTAAGAGTTCTTTCATCTGCTGCAAGGCTTTGATAATATGGTTGAAGAGCTACTGTAATCAGAAGATATTTTGGTATAAATAGGAGCACAGACACAAGTAGTGATAAGCACTGTGCATGCACAGGGGCCCTGCATATTGTATGGTTGCAACTGTACCTGAATTGTTTTTGTTTGTTCCAAAAAAGAAAAAAGCACGGGCTTTGTCTTGAAAATTGGCAGGAGTCCATTTCTTCCCTCTTGGCAAAATAACTCACTAATTATTATTTTTTTAAATGTTTTACAAGAGTCTAGACATGGGCATCTTTCTGCACTGGAGTCAATATTTTTTGATATATAAAACTCAGACACATGTTTCCAAGAGGACAGTAAAATGTGCTTTGATCTACATTGATTGGAACTATGACGCTGGAAGGTCATTCTAACGTTGTATGCATGTACTAAGCTGTTATAACATCCCAGCTACACAGTTGTACATATCAAGAGAATCTATTCAAAGGAAAAGAAAAAAAACAGGCACTTTATAATTAGCTGACTTTCTTTCTTTCTTTCTTTTTGGCTCACTGACTTTAGGCCGTGCAATAAACTTTCAGTATGGCCTCCAAACGGATTCATCCATTCTGCCACTAGAATTCAAGACTGTTGGGGAACTGCTGTGGCTTCCATCAGCCTCCACACCCTCATTCTGGTTAGGCAAGTTAGGGTTTAAGAGTGCGCTGCTGCCGTTGGAGGTGGTGGTACAGGGAGGCAGCATTCTGGAGGGGGAGCGATCTCCTCCTGGCACCATGGGGAACTGGTATGATCCTGACGATGTGCCGTAGTAGAGATAGGGAGTGCTGCTGGTCTGGAATGGTCCACTTTGATTTTGGGAGGAGCCTGGGTAAGGTGGTGGCAAGTAGGTGTGGTAATGAGTTGTGGATGACATACCCAATGACATGCCTGAGGTGACTGGCGGCGCATAAGTGAAGGTGCCTGGATAGTGCATTCGCGGGTTGGAGAAGCGGCTCTCAGTGAGGGATGAAAGGCTGGCAAACTGCCTGGGATCTGAAAATGGGCCCAGCTCGGAAGCACCTAAAAAATTATAACAAGACATGGGGGAAAGAAGGCTGTAAATATCCAATTTCTTTTTTTTTTCCTCTGAAAAGTGATGATATAACTTTTTTAAAAGAAAGAAAGAAAGAAACCCATTTCTATTCTTGTTGCCCACAAGAATAGCAAATCATTCTATAGAGACACTACAAGAAACATTAGCGCCTTTTATTTCCAATCTGTGGTCATACATGAGAGTCCACTGTGACCAAATAGAGGTGCTCTCCATGGACAGATTTTTAATATTTATCAATGTAGTAAATTTCCTTCCAAATGAATCCACTACACTTCTGGTCAAAATCCACACAAACCTCAACAGGTATCCATGAGAAATCTTACAAATACTGAGTTGGTACCTACCGCTGCCCGTGGCGCTCCCAGCCTTCCCCTGCTATAGACCTGGACTGCCCCAAAGTATTTTTATAAACAGACTGTGATGTACAAGTCCATGTCATCCTCATATCTTAGCATTTATTATAGAGGGTAAACACAGTTTTGTATGATGGAAACTGAGCATGAGTTTTGGGCTCCTTTGAAATGGAAGGTTAAGTGCAATGGATATGGATTCTAGTTAGGAAACTGTCAGCGGCTGTTAACAGGCCGTTAACAGGGTTAGAATTCGGTGAAAAACCACCATGGGTCATTTTATGTGATACAATGTACTGAAATAATATGCAGATGTGATGTTTCTCATCCCTTAAAGGGTCAGAAAAGAGTCTGTGTGTTCTTTCCACGTTCATGCAGATTTTCTCCTTTACTGTAGTTTGCTATTATGTGTGCCATCAACATTAACTATGGTTAACAGCAACCAGGTTGCGGTAATCTAGCATTTTAAACCCAGGTTCGAATCTCGATATGAAGTGAGGAGCACCTTGGTTTAGTCATAGTCAACCATGTAATGAACTGTGCTTAAGAGGCTGGAAAGCTACCCAGGAGGGAGAATGTAGGGAGAAGGAACATAAGATCATTGGCCCTCACACAGTGGAGGGGCAGAGTTTTATTTCTGTACTGGCCCACCATAGGAGAAAAACAAGGCCGAAAGGGCAAGAGGGCAAGTGTTTCATGAAAAACTATCAATATAAGTAAATTGTGTAGAAAATCACTGGCTAGTACCAATATCAAGAAGCTAGAAGAAGATTAAGAGAAAAATAAACTCAAATAGGCTATCTTTAAACTCTTGGTTAAAAAAAAAAAAGTATTTTTCAGGATACTTCAGGGTTATTTTCCCACCATCAAAATAAAAAGGCAATGCAATATGTCTGATCGACCATCTCAGACACACGTGTCCAACTTTGCAGCTAGGAAGGTGGAACTTTCAATTAGTCAAAGAATACAATGCCAATAATTCTTGGCTTCATGGAATAATTTACTGTGGTCAAATAAGAAGCAGTCATTCGGTCAATCATTTTATCGGTTAACTGACTGCTATCCCAACTGTGGTAGGTTTCTCACTCAGCAAAATCTGGGGTATCCAAAACTAGTGCCATCGAGTGAAAAGTGTTTTCAAGGTTCACTCCTTGTCTGCCACTGTGGTGGAAGCTGGAACATTTGAATGGCTTGTTAGGTAGAGCTGTCATGGGGAGTTATGTAGTGAAGACAGGCTAGGCTAGCAGACTAATCTAGTGGCTGCCCAGTCTAAATTCTTGCCTGCGCCTTAAGCCTGGGGGCAGGAACACAGAGGATCAGACCATATATAAATGGTTTTCTTCAGGGGATGGGGGAAATGGGTATTGAGGCTTAATCAATTACAGGGGCATTCAAGTGAGGAATGCAGATGGGGAAATGGAACCCATATAGTGAGAATCAGTTTGGTAGAATCTGGATAGAAAATTACACTGGTTTGAGATCTGGGAGGAAAACCAGTATTTGAGGATAAATTAATTCAAGGGGAATGGATCAGGGTTTGAGGCTCGAATCTCAGCTCTGCACCATGTTTGCTTCTTTTCTTGTGTGGGTCATTTGTCATTCTGCCTCACTAGTTTTCTTTCTTCAAAATGCATGTTGTGGCAGCAAATGTGTGGTCAAATAAGGGTTTTTGTGTTTGTGGCTTTGATTCCACTTCTTTCTTGCACCTGTATACATGTAATTCAACATCCTACTACCAAGAGGGGCCAAAAGAGTGTTACAAGCAGGACAAAAGGGCAACAGTCCTGTCCGTTTGCAGATTCTGGTGTCCAGAAATAGGGTACATCCTCTGAAAGATGGAAGTTCCAATCTGATTGAAGGGGTTTAGAAGGGATGGTTGGACAGGCAAGGAAGAGTTTTAGGTGGGTAGAGGCAAGGGAAAGGAAAATAAGAGTGGCATAGCAGAGTACTGCCTACTTTTTGAAGATTTGAGCCATCTTTGCTACCTGGCTACTTGCAATGTGGGAGAAACATCTAGTTCATAAACAGGTATTGTTTAATGCAGAAAACAGCAACCAGTGCACCTCAGCAAACAGCAGTCACCAAAACCTGAGGGTTTTGTGACTGTTCTTCCCAACGGCCTTGCTTGACAGTGGCATGAGATCATTACCAAGAGATATTGCCCTGAGAGTGGCAGCAGAGGATACATAGAGAACTATATCGTGGGACAATAATTAAATATAAATAGTAATAAATAAATAATACTCTGATGCCTGCTGAAATAACTTTGCCATCAGACTTTAAATGCCAATCCAAATGTAAAACCTACACTGCTTTCAATGTGTAATGATATCTCTCCATATTCTCTTTCACATCACCAGGATCCACATGAGACAGGAAAGGAGAGTCTCAAATGATGATCCCAGTGACACACATGAAAAGTGTCCCGCCTCCTTTGACTTCTAAGCAACTGTAGGTGGTTTGCTGCTGCTGCTTGGTTCTATAACGTCCTGGACATTCTGGTTTGGCCCAGCAACTACTTTAAGGCACTTAACCTTTTAGCAGACAAGAAGCAGGACTTCAACAGGCAAAATGGAAAATATACGTAGTCGTGTCATTAGCTACAGTGTATCTAGGCATAAGAAAATGGGCATCATCCAGTCTGGATCTGAAAATGCAGAGCCTGACCATGACTTGAAACAACTTGTTCTGAAATTGATGTAAGATTCTAGGTTTTTCCTCCTTGTAGCTGGTCCTAATCTCTCCTCTCTCCCTCCTGTGACAAACCCTCTGCTGGGAAGGGACTTTCCCCTTCATCTCTGCCAGAGGCAATACCACCCAGAAACAAAGTTGTTATTTTAAAAGCAAAGCACGTTGCTTCCTCCTTCATACTATGAAAAGGAAGTAATATTTATTGGGAAATTTAAAGTTAGTGAAAAGATTAATAGTGATCCATTTCCGCTTACATTACTGTTAAATTAATAAGGTAAGCAGAACAAGAATCACAATTTTCTCTTTTCTGTGTCTGTTGAAATTATGCAGTAACTATAGCTCATAGGTAGAGCATATGTTTTGCATGAAGGAGGAGTCTATAAAAGTTAGAAAGCAAAACACGGAGGCAGCATTATAAGGCTTACTGGAGGAAGAGATGAAGAAGCTGCTGTTGCAGAAGACACTTAACCACAGTTGCTAAGCCATCAGGATAAGGAATGCTGACCACCCCCACCTGGGACTCAGAAGGGAACTGGGGTATATTTGTTTAAGTACTTTTATCCATCTCCACATTATTTTATTTACTCCCCAAGTGTGCTGTCTTTATAGCATAAAACACTGTTGGCTAGTTTTGGTATGGTAAAAAGGTAAAGGACCCCATGACTGTTAATTCCAGCCGATTTTGACTATGGGGTGCAGTGCTCATCTCCGCTTTCAGGCTGAGGGAGCCAGCGTTTGTCCACAGCTAGCTTTCCGGGTCATGTGGCCAGCAGGACTAAACCACTTCTGGTGCAATGGAACACCATGACAGAAGCCCAAGTGCACAGAAATCCCATTTACCTTCCCGCCGCAGCAGTACCTATTTATCTACTCGCACTGGTAAGTTGACAGGAGCTGGGACAAAGCAACAGGAGCTCACCTCGCTGCACGGATTCAAAATGCTGACCTTGCAATCAGCAAGCCCAAGGGGCTTGGTGGTTTCGACCACAGTGTCACCTGCATCCCAGCAGGTATATTTTACTTGGAAGCAACTCATTTGAAATAAATGGGGCTTCCTTTCTACTGAGAAAATACAGTAATTTGCAATGCCCCCCACCTCAGTTTTCCATATCCACCAAGCAGCCAGTACTAGTCTGCATTTAATCACTGAGCTGGTGAGCAATTAGTGAGAAAAAACTGAGGCTGCAGTCCAGTGCCCACCTACCTGAGTCTAAGCCTCACTGAACTTAATAGGGGTGGGAGGCTGCAGAAAGCAGTTTGGTCTGCTTTCATTTGTAAAGCCATTTGTTTACACAAATACTTACTTATTTTTGCCATGTTGGCCCATAATTTTCAGTTGATTCCCAACAGTAATATGCTATGTACAGATTAACTCCTGAGAATAACACACAGAGGTCACCCTTTAAGGAGATCACAAGACAATCTTAAAACTTTCAACCACTATAGCCAAGATTTGTCTTATTTTTTGTTAACGGGATAAATAAGCCCTCACACCTTTTCTTGATGGTTTATTATACCACGTTTTGCCCATGTAATAATGATAAAAGTTAATCTTTTGCAGTTTCTCTGACATTCTGAAAAAACGGTACATTATTAATCGGTTGGGTAGGGAGCTGATTCGTTTTAGGTGCACTGTAAGTCTTTAAGACCTAGACACTCAAGAGGAAAGAAAAGCAGGAGGTGGACTCAAAAAACCTAGATAAATGAGGAAGGCAGTTTCCCAGAACTGTGTGTGTTACACCTGTGGGCAAACTCTCACAAAAACAGCCTAATGAGGAGTTGCCATGAATGTTGAAAATCATTTGAAAAAGCAAAAAAACTGGGTGAGAAAATAAAATGGAGTAACCTAGAAAAGGAAAGAGCATGAGACCATGAACAGCAGCACCCCTTTTAGATCGCGAGGGCACGCTGCAATATTTTGTTGCAGTTCCCACTTTTGTGAAATTACTGAGAGTTATTCCAGAGCTGACTGCAGAGCCACGTTTACCCTCAAGCAGTAGCTAAACACTCTGGGACAGGACAGGGGAAGGAGAAAAAAAATATTCCAGCCTCTGAAGTGGTAGGACTTTAAACTTGCATCACCAAACTGTTCATTGCTTATCAGTGTAATACTTTAGGACCAGGAAAAGAAATATAATAGGCATCGGTAATATGATTCCAGACTTCTGATGAGCTTGAAGATCCATTTTTATTTTAATCTCAATATGGAGACCACCCCAGAGACCTTAGGTGCATAACATGTTTTTGCTACAAAAAAGTAGTGAAGGATAACCTAATTTTACTAGAACTCAACAACATACGTTATCTTATTGGGTTTTCACCACTTATGTGTGTAAATTTATATGGTATTGGAATCAAAATAAAAAAGTGTTTGATTATTTAATTTCTAAAAAGGTAAAGGACCCCTGGACGGTTAAGTCCAGTCAAAGAGGAATATGGGGTTCATCTCGCTTTCAGGCCAAGGGAGCCGGCGTTTGTCCACAGATGGCTTTCCGGGTCATGTGGCCAGCATGACTAAACCGCTTCTGGTGCAACGGGACACCATGACGGAAACCAGAGCACACGGAAATGATGTTTACCTTCCCAACGCAGCAGTACCTGTTTATCTACTTGCACTGGTGTGCTTTCAAACTGCTAGGTTGGCAGGAGCTGGGACAGAGCAACGGGAGCTCATTCCATCATGCGGATTTGAACCTCCGACCTTCTGACAGGCAAGCCCAAGAGGCTCAATGGTTTAGACCACAGCGCCACCTCTCCCTAAGTACATGTACCCTGCCTTGGGCCAGTAAGCGGAGGAAATAGTCCCACCACAGTAAATTTGGCAAGCCCAATTTAATTTCTGTACTGCTTACTATATTAAAGATATTTCTAAGCAGTATACGAAAAAACTGAAGCCACAACAGACAACTTACAGAAATATAACAAAAATACAGTCACATATAGGAATGTTACACTAAAACCAAGTTACCAATATATATAAATCAAAGCCCATTCATTTTCCTTCCAACACACCTTCCCTCTCAGCCTCCCAGGGTACAAATAAAATCTCAGCTCAGCCACAAAAGTCTCACAGCGAGAAGAGATCCTGGAAAAGGCAGACGCCATCCTTGCCTCTCCCTCTAGACCTGCTTTTTACATATAGGCCCAGGTGGGCGGTCTTTCCCCCGGCTGCATCCCATTCAGCCCCCCTTGTCACTCCCAGCTCCAGGTGCCCCAGGGGGTCCAGAGGATGAGGAGAGGGTCCCCCTCCACTCACAGCACCTTCTTCCCCCTCGGCCCTCTCCTCTTCCTCCTCCTCCTCCTCCAGCTGCTCACAGCTATTGGTCAGGGGGGGGGACTTTTATATTTCTACTCTTTAGACTCTGCTGGGGAAAGTACAATTACTTGCAGTGCACTGGCAGTAGGAAATATATTTTAGATCAATTTTGACAGTTTTTTTCTTTTACTTTTTGTTGGGAGATATGAATACTAAGGAAAACATGCAAGAAGTTTCTTGAATAATATTTTTGTCAGAATTACATGAGGATTTAGAAGGCAGTTTAGAAACATATTTTGCCTATGAACTTATTCCTCAGAGCTGCAGACATCTTGTACTCATGCAAAATGTTAAGAATAACGGGAAGGCTGTCCTGCCCTGAGGACTGGAAGGATACTTCGTTTTATTTTAGAAGAAAACACACACAGTCCTGCCAATTTCTGCTCTGCTTTCCAGTGTTATAAATTGTACTTGTAATATTTGCCAGTGCAATCAAATAGTATCCCGTCTCCACAAACTGGAGAATAAACTATTCCTTTAGAATACCATTCAAATAATACACCTCTACTCCCTCCACCCACTTCCCCCCCTTTTTTTTTTGGAAAAGAAAGAAACCTCCTTGCTGTTTAAGGGCTTTATTAAAAACTTTTAAGCAAAGGGAAGGAAGATACTCTTTGAAACTGAATCTACTGTAGGACACAAGCCAACACAAAAGGCCACCCACAGCGCATGGGAGCCATGTGACTTCTCTGTCACATCCTGAAGCCATTTCCAGCCTCTGCACGAGTTTGTACTCCCATTTAGAAGGAGCCGGGATATATTGGGAACACACATATGGAAACACTTTCCTAGAATCCGTTTCCATGAAATCCATAAGGAGCCAAGTAGCTTCAGATGTGGTGGTGTGCCTCAGATTAGCCAAAGGGTGGCAGAGGAAAGATAGAAATCCACCCTCACAGCACTTATTTCAGTTCCATTAAATACACACACGACTTGGGGCTACCAAACTACTGGAGCCATAAATAAATAAATAAATAAATAAATGACTGCTTTTCTGTTCTAAAAAAAGCAGCATGAATATTCAGTATTCTTATCATAAATCAGGGAGAGCCATTAATGTCACAACAGCTGCCTGTGGTGTTTTAATTAGCTCCCCCCTCAGCCACCCCCTCTCAGAGATCTATGGAGAAGGAATATGTGCTGCGTGGGTGTAGGTTAAGAGGCAGGAAAAAACTCTTTATTCCACATGTGTGGCCAGAATCATTTTCCAAATTGCACATAAAAATATTAATTGATGGTCATGTGAAGTTTACATGAACTCCCTTCAGATGGTACACCTTCCTTCAGCCTGTCTGTTGCAGTTGTGACACATTAAAACCAGAGATTGCAAACCGGATAATATCCAGCACACTGCTTTGAGATGGCTAGAAGGCATCTCTCAGTGCCATAGCCTGCTTTAGCCAGGAGACCCCAGGCTCAAACCCAAACCCACTTCCTTCCCTCCTTCCTTCCTTCCTTCCTTCCTTCCTTCCTATCAGAAGCAGAGGCATAGCAGGGATTATATTTTCCCCCAGGAGGGACAGTTTCAACAATATTTTTTAAAAAAAAAAACAAGAAAGAGTTAAGTTGCCTCTTCCAACTTCAGATTGCAGTCTTGGGAGAAACAAAAGGCAACCTTGGGGGAAACATCCATGGGGCTGAGCTCTATGTGCCCTATGTCCACTATGAGAGGCGGTGCGCCTCTCTGGATGCCACTTGCGGGAAACTGCAGAAGAAGGGGGTAGAAGAAGGGGGCTACGACCGCGCCCTGCGTCCAGGATTCCCACAAGCATCTGGTTGGCCCGTGTGAGAACAGGGAGCTGGACCAGATGGGCCTTTGTCCTGAAGCAGCAGGTGAAGGAGTCACCTGAGGTCCTAATACGACAGAGTGAATTAGTGAAGACTTCTGTCCCAGTCTTCGCCCCATCCATCCATTCGTCCTTCAGTACCTTAATATTCCACTTTTTCTTCTGCATATTATGATGTCTCCGAAATCTCATTCTGTATCAAGGTAAATGAAAGTAAATGCTTTTGGAGACAAGAGCTATGCAGAAGACTGCAAAGCCTAAATAGTAGCTCCTGTTCCTCCAACTGCAGATTTTAACATAAAAGGTGATTTGGGATGGGGAAGGGGGGAGAGAGGTATCGTCATCCTCAGAGTTCTATACAGAAACAATAAATATACAGCTGGTATTTAGTTGTTATCTCCATCTGCAGTCCACCATCCCAACTTAATTGCACATTTGTTTCTGGTGCAGTGAAAACGTGGTTGTGTGTGGAAACTGTGTTGAATACATGAGATACAAAACTTATCTTCTTCATGCCCAACATTTATTTTGTGACTATTATTATTATTATTATTATTATTATTATTTACATAGTTCAAAAGCCTCTTTAGTTCTGTTTGTGTAAATGTCATCTGACATCGGAGGGGCTCTCCCTCCCTCTGGCAGCTACAAATTACCATTCACACAAGTTTTGTACTTCAGACGTTACATAGGAAGCACAAGAAGAGTAGAAGCCTAAATCACTTGCACTTTCTCTGTCTCCATACAGTATTTGAGCAAAGCCACAGCCGAGCCATTACTGGCAGACATCAGTGGGTCAGTGTCATGTTGAAGGCGCTGAAATAATGCCGCTCAGTGCAATATTGTGCTTGTACAGCAACCCAGGCACTGCCGTGCCATAAAGCCCTACGTTTATGCAATGCCGTTATGAAGCCAGGGGCTAAAATGGACAGAAAATGGGTTGTGTCCGGGAAGGAGCAGAGGAGCAGCCAGGTCAGTCATGGTTTTATCTAATATTGAAGGCATAGCTGTCAACTTTTCCCTTTTCTTGCGAGGAATCCTATTCGGAATAAGGGAATTTGCCTTAAAAAAATGGAAACATTGACAGCTATGATTGAAGGACAGCAGCCAGACAACGCAGAGAGAAAATATTTTTTTAAAATGTCAGCCCATGACAATAGCTCTCCCTACATTAGCCAGCCATATTGGCTAGAATTCAATCTAGCACAGCAACCAATCATGGCAAAGCACCGAACATATATAAACTACAGCAGAACTCAATTCACACCCCAAAAGTGCTGTAACACTCGACTCCCATGCCTACGAACCTATGAGTCTACAAGGGCACAGGTGGGAAAGGGGGTATTACTGGGAAACAATGGAGAAATGGCCCTTAGCTCAAAGGAGAATACACTTGCGAAACAAAAAAATACCCAGCAGCCAAAGATAATAAGGGTTCCTATAAACAAAGTACACCTGCCCTTTTCTCCTAAGCCCTTTTCATGTGTTCCGCTGATGCACCCAGTCCTGACTCTGCTGCACCCCTGGGCTTTGGCATGTCTGCGTTGTGCCTACAGATGTCGACGATTCTCCAGGCAATCAGAAATCCTACAAAAGATTAGTTTTCTAAAGAATGCAGCACTCTCTGCATGTTGGCGATCCTGCAGTAGATACAGTTTCAGAGACTATCTTCCTTAGCTTTTAAAAAATGTTTTGATCGAGTTTCTAAGCAGCAAGGAAATTTCTTTATTTTCCACATACAAAAAAAGGAAGTGGATGGAATGGAAACTATATTCCCGTTTGTGGGGATCGGATGGTATTTGATTTCACTAGCAAATACCACAGTATAATTTATAATGCTGGAAACCAGTACAGAAATGGCAATGACTGTTTTTCATGCAATGAAATAAAATAGACTTCTCTTATTTGTTTATTATTTCCATTTATACACAGTTAACTATCAGGAGATCCCAAGCCAAACCCAACACATACCCGATACTTGAAGAAAATACAATCTGAATAAAAAGGACAAACAGACAAGGAAAGAGAACAAGCATCTCTTCCATATACATCAGAGGAAATACATTTCACATACCAAAAGAATCCTGTGAACTTCCCCCCTTTTCAGTTTGGGCATGCTGCAGAAAAATGACAAATTATCATATGCCTAAAATGTGGAGTAATAAATAAATGAATAAGGGTGCAAGTCTTAAGTCTGCCTGCAGAAGGTGAGATGGCCCTTTAATACTTGATAATTACAATTAACTTTTTATTAGGTTTAATCCCGATCTGAGTTTTATTTGACTAAAGAACTCTAGCTGAAAAAGAGAGCTTCTCAGTTCTACTTTATTACTTTTTTATTTCATTACTTTATCAGACTTTTTAAATACAGTGGTACCTTGGTTCTCAAACTTAATCCATTCTGGAAGTCCGTTCCAAAACCAAAGCGTTCCAAAACCAAAACGTTCCAAAACCAAGGCATACTTTCCCATAGCAAGTAATGCAAAATGGATTAATCCATTCCAGACTTTTAAAAACAACCCCCAAAACAGCAATTTAACATGAATTTTCCTATCTAACAAGACCATTGATACATAAAATGAAAGCAATAAACAATGTACTGCAGTACACAATTAGCCAGTAGCTGAACTGGGTTCCACACAGTCACACGCCAGAAAGAGAGAGCCACAAAAACGCAAAATAAACAGCTAAAACAGACAGACCTCAGTGTAACACTCCAAACGAAAGTGTGGCACTCAAATTGGAAGCGTATCACTCAAAATGGAGCATGTTCGATTTTCAAAAAAAGTTCGCAAACCAGAACACTTACTTCCGGGTTTGCAGTGTTTGGGTTCCACGTTGTTTGTGAACCAAGGCATTTGAGAACCAAGGTACCACTGTATATAAAAAGGCTTCTCAAATATTCTGTCCACTTTACTGTTCCTCCTAGATACAAAAATGGAACATATCTACCGTGTTCAGAGCTCCAACATTGTAGCCTCCCATGTTGAACAACCGGTTGAATTTAGTTTTTGAAACTAGAGTGGTATGATGCGTTCTTTTTCGATGTCTGGAATAAGACATTTTGTTGTCCCCCATTAAGAATTAGCATATTGTTTACACAAAAGCTAAAAAGGCCAGTTAGAAATAAATCATTACAAAAGCAGTTCAGGCTGCAAGGCATTATTCCAGTTTAAGTTAATATAATTTTAATGAGCACTTCAGAAAAGGGATATGGTGCTTATGGAAAATGTCCCTAATTAATATCAGACCTTAAATTAGGAATAACAAAAAAGGCAGTATCATTTGGTCTCAAGCTGGAACTCAAGTATATTTTGGCATCATTACTAACTGTTAGCAGCAAGTTCTGAAAACAGATGCAAATCCTGATATGTGCCCTAAATATAAAACACATTGCACAAAAAAGCTCAGATAAAACATATATCTGTGCACTCACACATTGATTATAGTGTGCTATTTCCTGTACTAGCAACAAATATATTCCATTTAAGAAACTTTCAGCAGTTTATTTCCTTCCGCTAATAGTTTTTAAACGTAAACTGCTAAGAGCATATGAGTTCTCTCGTCTTTTTCTGTCACAGATTTTTTCTGGTTCCCCCCCTCTTTGTCGAAAGTATTTTTTACAGATGGAAGTGATTGTAGCATAATATTAAAATAGTCATCGTCAACAACAACAACATATTCATGTTGTCTATTTTGGGGCTTGAATCTGGTTGTTAGAATGAGGCTAAATCTATCCAAAAACCATGACCACAATTACTGAGGCTAGAGAGCAATCTTAGAATCATAGAATTGTAGAACTGGAAGGAATCCTGGGGGTCATCTAGTCCAACCCCCTGCAATGCAGGAATCTAAGCTAAAGCATCCATGAGAGATGGCCATCCAAATGCAAAGCAAGTGGAAACATGTCCAGAGCCATTCTTGGCCACACTTACTTTTCCTCCACTCCTTCCAGGCATAGTTCACAATTTAAAACTCCATGTTCAAGTGCCCTTTTTATCTTGGGAGCTTTCCCCATGAAAACCTGCTCTTTAAAGCTCAACTGGAGCAAACATCAATCTGCGGGAAACCCAAATTGACATTTGAGCACTAAAGAGTGGGGGGGGGCGGAGTTCCGGGGGTGTGTGGATCCTGGTCACAGAGCTTTTAAACACAGACTTGTGCCTGGAAAGAGCAGAGCAAAAATTAAGTGTGGATAAGCCCCCTTTTTATAAACTGTTTATGTATAAACTGCTCGTTTTAAATATACATTCTAACCTGCCAAATGATATGATTCAAACAGCAATCTGATAAAATCCTGCTGACTAGTCCCGCTGGTTTTCAACAAGTTCCTTCCTATCATATTAACACTATTTTTACTTTCCAAAGTGCTTTATCGTCTTCATTGCATTTGCTTTCACAGCCATCCTGTATTGATTTGCCAGTCCACTAAATTACAATGCATGATGTCATGAGAGATAAAAAAACTAAGGAAGCCTATTTTCTTTTTGAAAAGTGTATTGTGTAATCATAACATAAATATGGTTGAAAATCCCCAGATAAAAGGTCAATTGAAATATTAACAAAAATCCTTGAAGTTTGGTAAGTTAATGTTAAAACGTGACAAGCTCAGGTGTATTCTCATCACCTATCTTTTTTATTAAAAAAAATCTCTTCAAACATATACAGTTTAAGACTGGTTTTTATTGGTCCAAAATAGGAAGGATTAAACAACAATTAAAATTCAGTCACATTTAACAGCCAAGCTGTGACCAACTTGTACATTACTGACTACTAAGGGCAAACTGTGGGTGACATTCTGGCTCCACTGAAATCACCTCTGGAACTTTTCTTTATTTCACTGGGGCCAAAATTCTCCCCTTTACTTTAGTTTTTACTGGACTGGATTCCATTAGCTTTCCTATACATCCTCCCTGACAAATGTACAAGGACTCTAATTGTTCACATGCATCTGTAAGTTCATAGTTTGTTCACATCCGAGCACACAAACACCATAACATTTTTCCAAACTATATATACACACACTGTGGTTGCCAGATGTATCATTTTAAAGATTCTTGCTTTAATCTGGAGCGTCACAGTTCAACAAAATAAAATTGATCTATCTTATGTTGCAACACTATGGCTTTCCAGGTTACTATAGCTCTGAATGAACCTTTTAGTTTTAACGAAACCAGCAGCACATTGTTTTCTGTTATGCACACACAGTGCTATTTTTCTAGAAAAAGAGGTGCTCACCATGAGCCCCCCTCTGGTTCTCTTAGAATGGCAATGGCGCCCACCTGAGAGGGACCATGCTAACAGAAGCAACGTAGGCCAGGATTGTGCAAGAGCCTGCATATAAGAGAGTTTCTTTTCCCTTCCCACTATAGCTCTGAAGTGCTTCTACTGATGGGAAATGACAGGGAGAGAATGAAGGACAGGGATCAAGCAAATAACACAAGCTACTGGATGAGTAGGTAGAGAAGGCTAGTTCAACAACTGGGACTGAATATGAAGTTGCTGAGCACCAAGGCAGGTGGCCAACACAGTGGCAGAATGAGACCCCAAGAAGAGCTGCTTCACACATTGGAAGCTTCTTGGCATGTCCCCAGGCCTCTGAAGTGAAAGAGGATGCATGGGAGCTGTGGTGGGAGGGTATCATGATATTTAATAGGGAGAATAGCCCAAGCTCTTATTTTATTTGAAACGAATTTAAAAACAGCAACCCAATATTGTTATAAATATACCTAAGTTTCCCAATAAATATTGTAATCACTATCAGGAATAGGAGCAAATCTGAACAAGTCTCAGAGCCTCTTCTAACACTGCCATAGTGGAACAGGATTTACCAGTCCTGGTGCTTTCCCCTCGCCACAGTGTTAATGTCAGAAGTTGACATTAGCAGTCAGGCGCAACGGGTTCCATCCCACATTGGGGCTGCCCAGTGAGCATGTGTGACGTCATGCCTGTTGCACATGTGACATCACCTGGGGGCGCAGCATGTGATGTGTCATACATGTGGTGTGCTGAGTCGCCCGGCCGGGCACCAACAGTGAACGTTTAGTGGTGCTTTGGCGCCCCAGAGCCCCCAGAGATGGCGCCAATGTTAGCAGTACAAACTACAAATGACACAAGTGTTTCCATAGTAAGTTAATACATGTGAAAACCTACCTGTGCAACATCTGAATGGCTGCTTCTTCCTGGCCTTGTTCCTTATTTATATTGGTTGCTTTCTCTCTGCTCTCCTTTTGATCCCCAGTGGCCAACAATATTCTTATTAAACTTTGTGGGGGTTTTTCTCATCTCTATGCTTTCTTTCTTATGGCTTCTTATATGTGGAAATTCCTATTTTTAAAATATTAAGCTGGCCTCGTCTTTGTTCCACTTTAAGAAATTACCAGAATGCCATCTTTCTTCTTGCACTTCATTTATAGTTCCCTCTTTTCCTCCAGCTTCTCTCTCATTTTGTCTCCTGATTTTGCATCCCCTCTTGCATATTAGGCACTTTTAAATAATAAATGCTGGCAGTAAAAAAAGATGGAAGTGGGGTCAAATACTATGCTTTCCTCACCCGTCCGCCACCCCCACCCCTTTGTGAACTCTGTTTATCTACTCTGGAATTTGTCTCATTTCAGATTTTACAAATACCTGTTCTCTATTTTTAAAAAGTCAATCCTGACTTGCTTTTGGTGTAGTTCTGTGATGCTCCCTGCTCCATGAAACTCACAGCCCTGCTTCGTGAGCTCCACATTCATCCCCCCCCTTCTTTTGGAAAGGGGGAAAATATATGGTGAAGAGACCCACACAGAAGAATCAACGTTCCCCCCGAAAGGTGTGGGTCGGACAAGGGAGAGAGCTGGCTTGCTTCTGGCTTGCTTCTGGCTTGCTCTGCTTTGATGGGAGGACTTCTAAGCACTCTGGCTCTTCCGCATGTTAGGCACTCGGGTCTGAATGCATCCTGACAAGCCAGGGCTGCAGGGCAAGAAGCTCCCACAGCTGCTGCGGCCCCAGCCAAGCCGTACCCCGCAGGTATTGCCAGTGGCAACGCTGCAAAAATAACTGATTTGACAGCCCAACCCGATACAGGCTACCAGGAGACATGAACTAAATGAATACGGTTGAAAGCTAAAACCAAGCATTTGGGGTTCAGTTCAAACAAAAACAAGTTTCACAATTAGAAGACAGAAATGGCTGGCTGGTGTTTCCAGAAGTCATGAATTCAAATCTGTCTAATTTGGACATGTATCCTAATGTTTGATGGAACACTAAATAGCTAAGATGAAAAAGGATGGGCTGTTTTTTGCATGGGGGGGATTATCCACCCCTAAGATAAAAGAAATGAAAGAAACCAAGCTAATCAAATTGTATAGGTATCTTGGCTGGCGTTCAGCCTGTCAGAGATTCAGTGAAGTGAAGTTAACATTTTTTTATAGCATTGAGCTTTTTAGAGAAGGGAAAAACAAGCTAGGTGTTCACTTAGCTGGCTGGGAGTCAAACAGGTGTATGAGACAAGAGTGTGGGAGACAATCACTGAGCCTTGCAAACTTGATGTAGGGATAAGGACAGTCTACATTCTGCACACCTTAATAATGAATCATAGTGTTCCCCTTATGTTACACATAGTTCAAGCAGATGGGCTACAACTCTGTTTCCACAACTGTCTCTTTAGAGCTTCAGGGTAGCAGGTAGCAGGATTGCCACCACATATGATAAAATACAGTAGATGACGATATGCCATGGTATGTTGCATTACAATACAGCATGAAGGCTGTTTTACCTAGAGATGGATCACAGAGTGCATAAACTACTACTACTACCACTACTACTCATAATAATAATAGCACTCCACCCCAGTCACTCTGGGCGGCTTCCAACATAATAAATGCACAGCAAAACACTCAGCACTAAAAACTTCCTGATGCAGGGCTGCCTTCAGATGTCTTTGTAAAGTTGTATAGTTGTATATCTCCTTGACATCTGATGGGAGGGCTTTCCACAGGGTGGACACCACCACCGAGAAGGCCCTCTGCCTCGTTGCCTGTAAATTCACTCCTCGCAGGTCAATTGTATTTACATTGCAATTCGATACTGACTTACCTGGGAGTAATCCCCGCTGAACTCAATGTAATTTACTTCTCAGGAAGCATGTGTTGTGTATTTCCAGAAATGTTTTGCTTCCTTTTTCATGAGACAATTTGTCTAATCCATTCTATAACTGCATTCTACCCCTAAATAATGCAGGTGCTGATATGGATCTGAAGTATACAATGACTAAGCTAAGCAGCTTTCTCAAACTATTGCCTTTAGAGGAATGAATGTGAGCCTTGTACCAAGCTATTTCAGTTATGGAGACTTTTGGCTGTAATGAACGAACTAATTTATGGGAGTGAAGCAAGGCTTTCATCAAAAAGAAAGAAAACGTAAAGCTGTTTACGTAACCCACACAGGGCAAAGAAACCCCAGCTGAATACAGCGTGAAGCACAGCCATGAGATATTGCGCCTTCAAGGGATCATCAGACATTCAAACCACAAGGCCAAAGGAAGACAGGTTGTTTTTTTTAACAGCAACCCCAACAGCTTTTGCTAACCTACAAATGAGAGCAAAAACACTGCAATAGGTATGTCCCTTTTAAGCAGCCTTAGCCTTCCCTGCTTCTACCTGAGATAACTGGTGGAGTTCAAACATGGTCTTTACCTGAGAGCCGCCTGGGCACATCGGTGATGGCTGGAAGCCCCGTGCCTCTTGAGGAGGACAGGGGGGTTGTGGAATGAATGGAGGGTGAAGTCATCTGGCTCAAGTAGGAAGGGTAAGACTGGTCATAGGACCATGGAGGGGATGGCTGTGCTTGTCTGGGGTCTAAAAACAAAACAAAAGAGAAAATAATTTAAAATGAAAGACTTGTCAAGAGGAGCAGCTGGTGAAATTAGAAAGCCTAAGCACCGTTTTCTCACAAAGAATGAGAATGAGCAAGTAAAAACTCCAAACATTTGGGTTGTGTTTTCCTAATGTCTCCATGGCCTATCTAATGTTGTTTGGAAGTGGCAGAATTAGTGAGTCTTCCAAGGAATGAAAGCAACAGTGGGATCCTATACATGCCTACCCTGAGTACGTCCCCCTGAGTTCAATTAAACGTACTCCCAGGTGAGTATGTATACAATTGCGACTGAAGACATTGGAATTGGATTGTCAAAGCAATGGCTCCAGCAGGGGTGCTAACCTCTCCTAGATCAGATCTGGGTGAGAGAATAAGGATGTTCCATAGGGGTGTTCATTTAGCCAAGATTTCCATTAAATATTCATTGAGAAAGGATGTGCAAGGAGATGATGGAAAGTGCAAGTAATTGTGGAGAAAATTGCTGATTACTGGGAAAACTGATGTGAACATCTTCAGGACCACAGAGAAGCTGAGAGAAGAGATTTCAGAGTTATGTTCAGTCACTGTTCCAGAAGTGTTTGATATCTTGAATCTTCTGACAGAGTTTACTTGCAACATGGATACTGTAGATCTCCAAATGGAAGAACACTTTTATCCGAAAGAACTAACTCGTATCGCGACAGAATAATTTATATTAGAAGAACTACAGGTGTGGAGATAAGAGAGGCAGAAGTCTAGGCTTCCTGCTCCCACTTAAGACAACCCTCTGGGAAAAATATCTAACTTCTTAGAAACCTATCTTCAGCCAGGATTCCTGGGGAAAGCTACAATGCAAAATCAAACTAGTAGCAATGTTTTGGAAATGAATGCTCCATCCAAAAGCTGGATCATGTGGCAAAATAAGATAAAAGCAAAAAACATTCTAGATCATGCAAAAGCATACTTTAACTTATATTGCTGCTAATTCAAATTTTGTATTAGAAGCAAGGATGTTTGATGTACAATGTTTTTTGCTACGTATTGTTATTAATCAAATATTTTCTTTAAGAAACAATATAATAATATGCCCGAACATAAACAGATTTGAAGTTTCTACCACAGCAAATTGTCTTTCCACTAAAAATGTGGCTTGCCTCTTCAAGCAGTTTAAGGAACTGTGAAAAATTAAGTAAAACACAAGGCTAAGCAAGTTCTCCATCATGCACATATACAGTATATACACAGACTGCGGGCACTATTACAATTTAACCAGCCACATTTTATTTTGCTCTTCTGCTGCTAGCTGAAAGCTCTGTTAGTATCAGTATTATCTTGAGTTATTTCCTTTGAGGGTGGAAGATGGTGGGGAAGTTATCAACATAATACAAAAGGCCTTCCCGCGTGGCCAGAATTGAGTCTGGGACCTCGTACAAGCAAAGAAGGTGATCTGCCAATGAGCTATACCTTTTCCCACAAAAGTCATTCAGATAAGAAGGGGCCATTAATTCCTTTAGTTATTTGACTGGGGGGTATAGGCATTTCTGGATGTACGCTCCATTACCCGTAACTCAGCATAAGGCTGATATATGGTACACCACCCTGGTTTCCACTAAGAACTCCAAAAGGGATTCCCCCGGCAATACCCACTAAATAAAGGTAAAGGTAAAGGTAAAGGAGTCCTGGGCGGTTAAGTCCAGTCAAAAGTGACTGGGGTTGTGGTGCTCATCTCACTTTCAGGCCAAGGGAGGCAGCATTTGTCCACAGACAGCTTTCCAGGTCATGTGGCCATAATGACTAAACTGCTTCTGGCACAACGTGACACCATGACAAAAACCAGAGCACACGGAAACACCGTTCACCTTCCCGCCGGAGCGGTACCTATTTATCTACTTGCACTGTCGCGCTTTCAAACTGCTAGATTGGCAGGAGCAGGGACAGAGCAACGGGAGCTCAACCCGTCGCGGGGATTCGAACCGCCGACCTTCTGATTGGCAAGCCCAAGAGGCTCAGTGGTTTAGACCATAGCACCACCCATTAAATGCCCTGCTTTGAACTGAATGATTCTTAATATGTATTTTCTACATAGAGATATATTTATCTGGGTTGCAGTGGGTAAGAGAAGGAAGAATACAATGAAGTTGGCAAACAGGTTCTTTTGCAATGTTATCTAGTGATTTACTGATGAAAACAGGATTTCCTCTTCAACATCTATGTTGTTTACTTTATATTGCTTACAAATCAAAAATATATCCTACTTTAAGAGAAATTGCTTTCTGACATCTGTGCCATTGGAGTCTTATGGGCATAGTAAACACGTATCAGTCTAGATACTCATACTTTCTATTCTTTGTAAAGCAGCAAACCAATTCTGGCTTAACTGTATCTTTGAACAGAGGTTTCCAGGCTCTGTTTTGTAAAATAGTAATATGATACCTAGATGGCAGAAGAAGCAAACCCTTGTCAGGAAATTCATCTAATTATAACAAAATCCTCCTTCTCCCCTTCTGTATAGAAAAACCTTGATGTTTCTGCCATTGCCCCCCGTCCCCCTGTTAAGACATGATTTGTTTGAAGAGATGTCTGGAACTCTGATACTTCCCAAAGCAAAAAATAACTGTATATCAGATATATGAAGGAGGCAGGGAAGCCTTTCATTTTAATTTTGTTAGGATTTAATTTACAGTAGGGCTATCTCATATAAATGCTTGACCAAGAAAAAACACCACTCCAAAGTCAAACGGGTGCTTTCTAATTGCAGTGAACTTCTTCAAGCGTGTAGGGACTGGCATTATATTTACTCTTAACTGCATGTTATTTTACAGCACAACAATAACACAACAAACTATCTAGAGAAATGTAAATAATTTTACATTATTTTTTAACAGATGTTCCTCTGATTTGGCAGAAAATTATTCTGGGCAACGAAAGCAAGCTGACAAATTAGCAATGGGCCGCAACAAGCATTTAAAGGGATTTTAGGGACCCACAAGACACTGAGGTCCAAACTGTGTATTCTCATTATGACTTCAAGCCAAATAAAGACCATATAGGAATCTAAATTGCACCACAGTTTATTTTACTTAAATTGGGAATGCTTAAATGCATTGCTGTGCATTTAATTCTGGAATGTTCCCCAGTAACTCTCGTGGGATTGGTTAACTCTGGTCACTAGGGAGGGATCTTACTACATTTTCCACTTTGTTTTCTGTGTGAGTGGCTGGACTGTGTGGCTGCATTTCCATGAACACTAAAGAAGAGACAGTGTTAGATAACTCTCTCTCTCTTTCAATGCAACACTGGAGTGCTGATGTTTCTGTGTGAGTGCATGTGGCAGAAAGAGGTACAGAAGTTGATGTTCTCCCAAAGAACCAGGAAGGAGAAGCCCCCCCCCCCCGTACTCAAGTGTACGCAGTACTGGCCCCTCTTTTGGTTGTTGTTAAAAAGTGTGGCACTCACTGCAACCACTTCACGGTGAGAACGGACACCTATTTTTCTAGGGGGGGGGGAACCTTTTGCTCTCTGAAGGCTGGGGCATGTGCACTGGGAGCAGGCACAAGTTTATTCATGGAGAATGAGTGTGAATGAGAGAATGACAAAGTGGAGCCGACCTCACCTCAAGCAACATGTCAGCCCAGTGTGTGCATCAGCCTTGCAATGTGTCCAGGAACAACCCTCAGCAACAGAGACGTAGCTTCTCTGCAATAACCTGTCCCCTGGCGGCTGCAGTCATGGCAGTTAACAGACAGCCATCATAGCCCTTCTGACAACAGATGGATGCTACCGTCTCCTGACTGGTACCTTGCTGCACATTTGATTCTTCACAGACAAGGGAAATATCTGATGATTTCCAGTGTAAGGCTTCAGATAGTGGACTTCTTCATTCATTCTTCATTGGGACATCCAGCATAAATTATGGGTCAAATCTGTTTTCAGTATGATATGTGTCATCTGTGCACCAGGAATGGATTGGGGGGGGGCAGCAAAAGGGGGCATGTGCTCCATGTGACAGGTTGCTGCGGGGGGGGGGGGGGAGAGAGACCAAAATTTCCAAGTAGCTGGGAAGCAGTGAGAAGCTTTCCCCAATGGAATAGCTCATTCCAAGGGCAGGGAGCTGCTTCTCCTCATCCTCCCAACCTGCACCAGAGGGAGGTCAATGGTTGTTCTTGCTCAGCAACTGTGATGCAGGAATGGCAGGTCTGAGCAGGGCAAACATGCCAAAGGGAGGTGGAGGTGGAACTAAACTGGCTTAGACTTTGTGGTGATTCTGCTTTGATTTGTTATTGTTCATTATTACATTTTTTCCTACTACACTACTGTTAGTATACACCTGTTTATCTACCTTCCATACTTATTATTTATTTCAGATTTTCAAACATACAAAGTGTTTCACATGCCGTATCTAGCTGCAGTCCTTACAACAACCCTGTTAGGCAGGAATGAGGAACCTCTGAGCCACCAGCTCCAGCACCCCTGACTATTGGCTGTGATGGCTGGGGCTGTGAGGGGAGTGCAAGACTCACAGGTTCCCTAGCCCTGTTGTAAGGCAAGTCAGTATTATTACACACACACACACACAGTGCAGGTTGGTGCTTGTGTTGAGGACTGAAGCTGACAGAGAGCATCTTGCCTAAGGCCTCTGAATGAAATCATGGCAGATCCAAAATGTGAACTGTGGACGTCTTGATTTATAGCATGGTCTCTTATTAGCACAAAAATTCCTAACCCTGACCACTTCTGACCTCCTGCAATGGAGTGTTCATCCCCACCCTATTTTTTTAAAGTCATAAAGAAAAATCAGCACCACCCTATTCAGCTATTTTGTTAAATCTTCATTTTTAATTGCTTTGTATTCTTTAGAATCTGTGCTCCCTCCCATCTGGAGCACACATTTATTTAAAAATTTTAAATATGTGCGTGAATAGCAAACAAGACTCTTTCCCCTATCCCTCAAACCTTTGTTGCGGGGCATGGGAACTTGTGGCCCTCCGAATGATCTGGGAGCCGTGTGTTCCCTGCAGATTAATTCTAGGGCATAAATATGGTACTGGGTTGTGCCTGGCAACACTGAAGATGGGACACACCTGTTTATGACTGTGTGGCCAGGCCCCGGATGATGTATAGATGTTAAGGTTCAATATAGCCGTTTAGAATTGAACCAAACAGAACCACTCAAGGTTTATAGATAGACTGAGAGATCCATGTAACTTATGTCTCTAGATATCTGCCAGTTAACTGATATAAATGTACTGTGTGAAGTGGTTCTAAAAGAATAGAATTGTACAGCAAGTTTTGCAGGCATTGCATTTTGCATGCATGTCTACTTCGCTTGGATGTCTACTTTGCCAAAGCCATGCATTTATTTAGCTGTGTAATATAAAGAGAGTAATGGCCACTGGGGAATTGTTCAGGTGGCTTTCCCCTGTCCTTATTCTCTTGCTATTTCAAGTGGTGTGTCTGTGAGACCCAGTCGCGTGTGGGTCTCTGTGGGCCAGAAGCTCCAAGCTCACTCACAAATCATCATGAGTTCTGACAAGCACAGAATGCTTTCCCACTTGTTAAAGGCAAAGAAAACGCAAGAACCCCCAGAGCTGTTTAATCGGAAGGAGACTGGTTTTGCCCAGAGGAATGCTCAGTGCCGACATGGGAGGAGGGCAAAGCACCTACAGATGCTAGAGGAGCAAGAAAATAGCCTGCGACTCACCCAGCCTTCCTCTGCCCTATATAGCAGATAGTCAAAAGCAGACTAACCAGTGCATAAAACTATTAGTTTCTGAACATAAAAACAGGGCCATTAAAATATTTGGGGGTGATTACTAACAGCAGCCCTCCTTCTGTAAACATTTCTACTCCCCCTGCATGAGATAGACAAAAACTGCTGCCTTCATAGCATAGGGAGGCATGTTGCTCACTTCATTGCTTAACTTCATGCATAGCTTGGCTGCAACAAGTAAATAAAGGGGTGAAGCCTTAAATAATATGCAAACTGCAAATTCCCTACCATGTAGGTTCTATTAGAACAGGAAATGTCAAAGATTGCTTATTCATTTCTTCCATGAGTTTACTGTTATTACAGGCTTGCAAGTTAGGCGACCCTTGCCTTCACTGTTTTATTCAAAGAGGCTCAATCAACATGCAGTCAGGGTGGGAGTGACGGCTGTTGCACAAAAGTCACACTCTCTTTAGTGTTTCACATAAGCAGACACAAATTCAAGTTGCACTCATAACAGTCTTTCTAGTGTCCCTTCAACTAATTTTTAAACCGCTTGTTGCCTCTCTGCCTACCTGCAGCACTTTCACAGGTGTGGTCAAGCTGCTGAGATGTCATGAAATGGCCACCAACATACCAACTTTTGAGAGGTGACACAATGCGGAATATTTCGAAACAGCAGTTTCCATGAGGAAAAGTGTGAGTGCAAATTTAGAAATATTTTCTAGATAATTTAAATAGAAATGCAATGCATCTCCTCATAGCTGGGAAAGCACCAGCTGACTGGTATCCCTGTTCAATCTGCTAACCAAGCACTGCTAACTGTTGATGGGCAGCTTGAGGGCTCCTGATCTCCCTTTTTATAGTTGTTTGTCTTTAAACCAGACTTGGAGCAGGCATTCCTCAAGCAGAGCACGCCTCTGAGAGCCCTTTAAAACAGAGGACAGTCCTCTGTGAAGTAAAAACAGACACCTGACCACTCTGTCACACACGTCCATCCAAAGGCACAAAGGAGACAGGTGAGCAGGTAAGAAAGACTAGATGTCCCAGGGGAATCTGTGCAGAGTTGATGAAAGAAAGAGGACAGAGGACAGAGTATGTTGTGTACTTTGAACCAGCAACTGGAAGAATGATTATATATAGAATCATAGAGTTGGAAGGGACCCCAATCTAGTCCACCCTCTGCAATGCAGGAATCTCAGCTAAAGCATCCCTGACAGATGGTCATCCAACCTCTCCTTAAAAATCTCCAAGGAAGGAGAAAGCCTCCCAAGGGAGACCATGTAGAGGAATAAACATGCACGTACTAAAAACACCAAGATCAATACAAAATACACTCTAATTAAAGTACATAAATATATATATATACAGTGGTACCTCAGTTTACGAACTTAATCCGTTCCGGAAGTCTGTTCTTAAAGCGAAACCGAATGATTGGAAGACTCGTTTTGTTAGAAGTCTTTTTTATTTAAGTGTTTAATTAAGTATTAATTAGGAAGATTAATTTTTTATGTATGTAAATTTGCTTTTTCTTCTTTCTTTTTTCTGTATTTTCTGTATTTTCTTATTTTCTTTTTTCTTAATTGTTTTTCTTTAATTTTCTTTTTGTAGTATGAGATTGTAAATTCTTTGTATAAGTGTGTAATTTAAATTAATAAAGATTATTTAAAAAATAAAAAATAAACCGAACCGTTCTTAAACCGAGGCGCGCTTTCCCAATGAGGCCTCCTGCCACCGGTGCCTTCCACCATCCGGCTTCCGTTCGTAGACCGAGGTAAAGTTCGCAAACTTCTTCCGGTTTTGCGGAGTTATTATACTGAATAGTTTGTAAATAGGGATGTTCTTAAACCAAGGTACCACTGTATATACAACAAAAGAACCCCATTAAAATATTAAAAAGTAAACATCTATTATTAAAATAGGTGATAAAATTTCATTAGATAAGCACAGCAATTAAAGCAGTAATTAGAGTCAAGAGGTCAAGGGAATGCCTGTGTAAACAGGTGCATCTTCAAATAATAGATTAAGAGTGTTTGTCTGACATTGAAGCAAAATCAGGGTAGGTGCCAGTCAAGTCTCCATGAGGAGTTAACCATACTTGGGGCATGATTACAGTTGTGTTGCTCTTTACAACCGACTTGCTTTCTCCCACAAAGATCAGCAGAGGCGTGTGACACAAAGCAAGTTGACAAGCAGAGTGCAAGCTTACCCCAACCCTTGCTGCCTCCCTTTGCTTTCTCCCGTGTACCTTTTCTCTCCCTGAACCTCACCGGCAAAACCATGAGCATGTGAACAGGAACCATTTGAAAATCTAACAAGTGGTTATAGCAGTATGCAAAGCCAGGTTGACAGGCCAAGAGAGGGGTGGCTAATTTGTGGCCCTCCAGATGCTGCTGAACTTCCTCTCAGCCAAAGCCAGTTTGGCCAAGAGCAGCAATGATGGGCACTGAAGCCCAACAACATCTGTAGAGCAATAGGTTAGTTGCCCCAGGGCTAAAAGCAAGGGTCCTTACTGATCCGCCATATGGACTGCTCTCATGCATAATGAAAACTATAGAATCAATATTTTCCAAGCTTGTGAAAAGAAATAATTGACTGCTAGCCTTAAGAACAATGGGAACATTTTTAGTGACAAGCCACCAGAACCCTTGTTCCCAAAGGGTCACAACAGACAGTTGCCAACAACCCAAGACTGTCATGTATTTGCCTTTAAAAAGAGCACTTTGAAGCTCCCTTTGTTTCTCTACTCCAGAGAGACGACAGTCTTGAGAATGTACTTTATTCCTCTCCTCCGGACAGTCTGCTTATAGATCCAAACATCTATAAGCAACTGCTCTGTATAACACTGCAACACAGCTACTGACTACAATACTCTGTGCAAACGGTTGAAACCCACAAAAATCTAAGAAGAAAGTTCTGGAGAGCATGAGGAAAGTGGTGGGACTTCAGATCCGCCCAGTGCCGTGACACCCAGGGAAGTGTCTGAGGCCTGTCAGTTACAGGGTCAGAGAGAAAAGGCAACTACAGGAGTCTATAAAACACTCTACAGATTCCCATGAAACACAATGTTGGCTAGACAGCATTAATATAGTATGTTAATATTCTCCAAACCGTGGCGTTTCATAGGGATGGTGGAGTAGCAAACACACCAGTATAAAATTTCACAGTTGCATAGAGTACTCCAGTGACAGGTGGACAGATGGCAACACCTAAGCTCATAAATAGACAAATATGAATTTCCCTCATTTTCTTCAGAATGTATATTCAAACCTTCTTACAACAATAAAATATACATACTGCACAATAAAACCCATTAAACAACCATCACAAAATACCAACATCGTCAAAACAAAACAATCTAAATACCAACAAGAAAAGCCCAGCAACTCATAAAAACCTCTTTAGCTCCAGCCAACATGACCAACAGCCCCTCAAGTCTCAGTGTGTTAATGCATTGTCATATGTGGTGAGATTGTAATGTAATTTAAAATTTTTGGGAAATGATATACAACGAATTGAAGAAAATATTCCATTTAACATTTGTTAAAAAACCTGAAGCATTTTCGTTAGGAATTGTAGGGAAAGATCTGCCAAAAAAGGTGAAAACCATCTTCATATATGCGACAACGGCCGCGAGAGTTCTAATAGCACAAGGATGGAAGACGGAAGAAACCCCAACTAATGAATCATGGCAAGAAAAATTGATGGACTATGCAGAACTGGCAAAACTGACATATAAGCTACGGGACAAAGATAACTGTGACTTTAAAGATGAATGGGAACCCTTTACGAAGTATTTGAAGATGCAAAAAAGCGAACTGGACTCCTTGGCTGGCTTTGAATAAACATTCACAAACTTTTTATTGATAATAATCAGCTAAATAGTTTGAGGATCTATACAACTTTGTAACATGCAGAAAACAGCATTCTCAGAGAAACCACGGACTGGAACTGAGGGGGGGCTGGGGGGGGTTGTGGGGGAGGCTGGGGGGAGGGAGGAAAAATGGGGGGAAAATAAGGATGATATGTTTTAGGATAATATGTTTTGTTTTAATTTTGAGTAAAAAAAAATTTAAAAAAACCACCACAATAAAATATACATACTGTACAATAAAACCCATTAAACAACCATCACAAAATACTAACATCTTCAAAACAAAACAATCTAAATACCAACAAGAAAAGCCCAGTGACTCATAAAAACCTCTTTAGCTCCAGCCAACATGACTAACAGCCCCTCAAGTCTCAGTGTGTTAATACAAATTAGAATATATGAATTAAACACACCAAGGTCTTCGGAAATAACATTTCTCCCATTTGTTAATTTCCCCTGCTGCCGTCGCAGAATTTATGTGATTTCATGGTGTTGCTCATAACACTGTCAAAACAACTTGAACTGACAACAGCACACACTCCACATCAGGAAGCATGGCACAGCAACAGACTGTGCAGAGAGCACAATCTAGATCTGGTCCTAAATACGCCAGCCAGACATCTTTTAAACTCAAGCATAATGAATTAATAGGGTATTTCCCCAGGCCTGAGAAATGAAAACTGTGTGCTGCTGAGGTTTAAAAAACTGTTTCTCATGGTTCAGACCACTTGACTTTGCATGCTGTTATTTTGGTTACTGAAGTCACAGATTGCCTATAGATCATATGTTGGCATAGTGGTGATGGAGCATGAAACCTCACTTAACTCCCACTTACACTTCCTACTACAACTCCTCCACTGAAATTCCACCAGGCACACTGACCACATTCTTACCACCAGGCCTTTGGCTTTTCCTGTCTCATATAGAATAATCCTGGCCAGCTGAATTTTAGAAGGGGGGAAAAATCTAAAATATATGACAGAGGTGTCATATATGCAGACATGTTTTGTGAGGGTGGGGCTGGTGGAGTAGCAAACATACCAGCATAAAATTTGGATTTGAAAAGGTTTTTTATTGATGATCAATGTACTGGCTTTCATTTGGGTCTGTACTTCCTCAGGAAACATCAAACCTTATTGGAGAGTTTGTATTTAATGGCCTTTCGGTGTTGTTTCTGCAGTGCACTAGTTAAAAGTCCCTGCTGAACAAAAATGACCTTCTACCAATCCATATCTGCATTGCCAGATTCTGCATGTTTCACAGAGGGTTTTAAATCATTATCAATAAATACAGTGTGTGTGAGAGAGAACTAAATGTGTATAAACTAGATGTGTGTACACATCTAAATACAGTACAAATGCATGCTGAAAAGGATTCAGTAGGGACTAAAGTGTGGAACATGGAAAGAAAATGAAATGTAATACTTGGGTCAACATCTACTTCATCATTATTCAGAAGGGATTTGATAGGGATACTAAAGGCTATAGTAAATCATGCATTACCTGTGGAAGAGCATGCCTGGAATAAAGTAAGCAATTTAACTGAACAATCAGAAATGAAGCAACTGTGTTTATGTTTACTTTGTAGAAACTGATGCATTTCTTGTCTTAATTATTCCAAATACCCTACTGCAATTAAGCCAAAGTACCCGCAGTTGAAGTAATAAAATTTATCTCTCCTCGTGTTGTTTCCTTGTGTCTATTTTAGCAAGGAAGCCCCCAGGAGGAGGAACCTGTCGAGAAGTGCTATATAATAAAGACATAATGCAAAATCAATAAACATAACTAATATCAAAGTTCTGATTACAGTATTCTGATTCTGGAGTAATTTCTCAGCACAGCATGTTTTTCTGTGGTATGCCAGAATACTACCTGGGCATGATATTGTGGAGTACTACTACTACTCCCTGTGCAGAGCTACCTCTGACACTCAAAGGAAAGTATTTTTACTGCCAAACTAAATGCTTGACTGATTGCACATTATGAAGATTAGAGCTGGTAGAACTCTATAGCTGAAGACCTTCTACTATAAAACCCTGCATGTTCACCACCACTCCCAATGGGCACAACGGGCGAGATTCACTCAAAGAATCCCATTAGCAGAAACGGTGTGCATATGGGCTTCTGCTTGAGCCCGGGGCCTTTCTCACTCCTCCTCTCCCTGCAGGATCAACAACTTCCAGGGTGTCCTGGTTCATACTTTTTGAAATATGGCAGCCGTAAAGTGGAGGGGCTTCCACTGACAGGACTCGTTAGATGAAACCTGCCCACAATGTTTACTATAAATCAAAGCATTAAATACTATTTTATGCAAGTTGTACTGGATGTTTGGTGCAGCACTTGATTTCTGATTTACAGACCTCTTTGTGCTAATGTGTCTTTCTTCCTGAATACCTCTTCCAGTGATATTTCAGCACAGAAGATTATAGTAGGTGGCAAAAGTACACTTGGTTTGGGCACAAATTGCAGCATCAGAAATATGCAGTTGTGTAGCTCAATGCAAACTTTCAAGCATGGCAGAAATAATCACTATCAAAAAAGGCAAAGCACATTTCAAATGTTTGGCAGGGAATGTATGTTCTTCTAAGTACAAATTGCTGTGCTCTGCCAAGCAGTGCTACCTCTTATCATCTGCAGACTTACACTTATTTAGAAGAGATATTGTAATATTTCCTTTCTTTTTTTAAAAGTAATATTTATTGATTTTCCAACCATTTAAACACAATAAAACAGAAAAACAAAAAAGAAAAAGAAAAAGCAAAAAAAAGAAAAGAAAGAACATAAGATTAACAAAACAAGACGCAAGCCATTTAAAACACAAAACAATTTCGATATCTTAACTTTCATTCCCTTATTTCCACGACCTCCTCACACCTCCCTTTTTGTATTGCACTTCTATTAATTGTTTCAGCAATTCCTTTCCATCTTCCTGTTTTCTATCCTATAATTATCTTAACATATTCTAATCTTATATTTCCCTTTAATACTCTATTAATCTATTTATACTTAATTCCTTATAGCATTTCTATTGAAGCAGTATAACTTCATTCCAACATTTTTCTAACATTCATTATTTTAACAATATTTCTATAAATAGTCTTAAACTTTTCCCAGTCTTCTTCCACCGACTCTTCTCCCTGGTCTCGGATTTCTGCCAGTCGTTTCCGCCAATTCCATATAGTCCATCAACTTCATCTGCCATTCTTCCCGGATAGATAAATCTTGTGTCTTCCAGTTCTTCACAATGAGTATTCTTGCTGCTATTGTAGCATACGTGAAAAGAGTTCTATCCTTCTTTGGCACCAATTGGCCTACCATGCCCAGGAGAAAGGCCTCTGGTTTCTTCAAAAAGGTATATTTAAATACCTTTTTCATTTCATTATGAATCATCTCCCAAAGTGTCTTAATCCTTGGGCATGTCCACCAAAGGTGAACTCTAATCCTCAAATTCGTCTGTTTTTCTTTAAGTTCAGTCATCGCAAGCGTCAACTTATATTCATCAAGTTGCTTCTGTATAGCTGGGGCTCTCTTTCTCTTTCTCTCCAGTTGTGTTTCTTTACATTCAGCAACAACAGCTTTTTCCCTGGCCTCCTCCGCAGTTTGCCGTACCGAAATTGGTTCCTGTGTCAATTTCTGGGTGATTTCTATATTGGTATTATTTATACTTTCTATAATTAAGTTAATTTTAGTGATTGGAACATCCACTTTCGCATTTATCGTGTCCATTTTCCTGTGAAGCTGATCCAATGAGTCATTTATCTTAAATAATGCAGCCACTAGGGCCTCTTCTGTCAACATTTTTCTTGGTTTTACATATACTGGTACAAAGGCTGCAACCAAAAGAGCAGGGGGCCTGGTGGTGGACCTCTCCTGGATTATTGCCAAGTCCTCCCAGACCTTAATGTTTTGTCAGCAGTTGACTGGTCTGTTTTTCCTCTTCCATTAACCATAACACTTAAAAGATTCAAGGTCAGTCCCAGAGTCTCATGGTTTTTAACTTGCAGCTGGAAATTTCCCTAACCCAACTCTTGTAAAGCAACCGGTTTCAAAAGCTTCCACTAGGGGGAAACAGTTTCTATTTGTAATAGTCAATAGTATCCTCTTTTAAACAATCCAAAATTAGTTTCAAGTTAGTTTCAATTTTCAGTTACTTTTACTCCTTTTTGAAACAACCGGAAACAGTAGAAACAATGTATTTCTCTTGTTTAACTAGCTGTCAATGAACGTTCTAAACGCTGTCAATGAACATTCCAAAAGACGTCAGTCCTGCTAGCAGCCCGTTTCCAGGGTCAGAGCGGCGGTGTTTTAGATCTCTTCGCTCTCTCCTGCAGGCATATTCAGTCCTCAACTTCCCCCCCTCTTCTCCTGCCTCCAAAGGGGGGTTTTGTTCTTTACCGATGGAAATTTAATCTTTTACAAAAGACTTTCCAGGACTCCAGCTTGCAACTTCATTGCCTCAGTCTATTTACAAAAGGGGAAGGCGGACTTCCTGTTTTGAACCTCCCCGTTACGATGCCAAATTCAACATTTAGAAATCCAATTCTTCCGCTTAAACTCTACTCACGGGTAACCACTTTTAAAATCCAATTGTCCACAGGAAAAGGTCAGTGCTCTCCGGCAACGGCTATGCGGCTTCGCTCCGTGGAAGAAGCAGACGATTCGATCCACTCACCCCACGTCGCTCCGGAGCCCCAAAAACCGGGGTTCTCCGCGAGTGGGGGAGGCGCAAAAGGTGTCCGCCGAATCCCATGCTCACAGGCTTCTCCCGCCTGTGATTTTAACGGGTCTCCGCCTTCGCTGTGGCGGCCAGACCCAGATTTCCACGGAGCAGATTCCTCCCGGTCAGAGGAATTCAGCCATTACCGGAGGCGCCTCCCCGAAAGTCCTCGAGATATTGTAATATTTCCACTGCTGCCTCTTTAGCTACATAGAGTGAACTGTGAACTCCTAACATTCTCTATAGTATTCAATACCCTCATGAATTTGAACAGCATCTACCATTTATAGGCTTTTTAATGTGCTGCTCTTGACTCAGAACAAAAAGTGGTATGTTTTTAATCATAAGCCAGCAGCAGATTGTTCTACGGAAAGCATTTACGGTGTGTGAACAAGAGGAGCATGTGACATTTCAAAAGTTACAGGAGAATCTAGGATCCATCCGTGTGACAAATGATCACCATATGGAATCAGGAAGAAAACTTGTTCTCAGTCACTGGTCTAGTATTATATAACAGTCGAACAAAGAGTCAGGGCAGAGCGAGGGCCAGCTCCTCATGGCGAAACAGGAGACTCCCATGGGCAGGGCCAAGGAGATGGCTCCGGTCTGCTCAGCCATTAACCTCCCTGCTGGGCAACAACTAAGTGGGAAGGAGCCAGAGGATGAACTCCAACCACAGAATCCAGATCTTCAGACATGTACCACAACAATTTAGAATCACATCACTTTATTTACTAATTTAAAAAACTTATCTCCCTGTTGCCTGCCTGCCTCTCTGCACTTTCAGTGCCTTTGCACCATTCAGTGTGGCTTGAAGCAGCTAAAAACTCATGTCACTAGTAGTATGTGTAAATGGGCCTGAACTAAAGACATGCCTGTATAGACTCAGCCTTCTTTTTTTAAAGGATAAAACAAAATTGGGGCTCGCATTGAAAAAAGGGCTGCATTTCATTAACATTTCCCGCTCCCCACCCCACACCCACAAAATGGCTTTCCACTTTTTATTGGGATCTTTAGAATAAAATTGTATATAAACAAAGAGAAGTTCACCCAAGTGTGTGTGTGTGTGTGTGTGTGTGTGATAACAATTGGCCTAGGTTTGCTGCTGTTTCTTTTTATATGGACCTCAGCGCTTTAGATTTTCTCTGCTTTCCCTACACACATTCTGTTTTGAATAGTGAAAGCAATCTCTTGGCTTGAAAATAAAATGTATGCATCTCTCAAAGTGGCCTGGTTCATAGTTTACTGAAACAGTGATGCATAGCTATGGATGCTAGAGAGAAGCCACAATATCACATAATAAACGTGGTAGGGCGGGGGGGACGCAGGATGACAATGCTGTGCAAACTATCCTAAAGAGCAATCCTAAATAAACATGTATAGCTGGAAAATTTACATATTTTTATCATTGCGTGTAGACCAATTCCATGAATGAGACCTGAAAGATGAGAATTTCCTCTCCATTTCATCCCACCCCCAATTTTGACTGCAAACAAGAAAGAAGACTAAATGATTTTGTCATGAATGCTACAGAAAAATCTATTCCCCACTAGCTTACATTTGCTTATACCTTTCACTTTGCAACAGTTATTTTTCTACATTTTGAAACAATAAAAGGCCTACTATAATCAGTCATTCCCATGGCCCATACAAGCCCATGGTTCTGTCTCTTACCTGTGATCTGACTCTGTCCTTGTGGATTAAAAGGGCTTGGTGCAGAGTTCAGAGAGGGCCGTGGGCTCTGAGTCGGGACCCCTACTCTCATACTGGGATGAGGAATGCGCCCTAAATCACTGAGGCGCTCAGAGAACAAACTAGGTTTAGAGTCATCAAGCTTCTGTCTGTGCCCTGGAAACAGCAAATCATAAAATAAAAGTGTTGTTAGCATGACTGAACAATGTAGTATTAATTTTATTTTATTTTATTGCAAGGACCAAAGAACTTTTAGCTTTAACCTGGAACTGGTGCAAGGAGTGAACTACAGACTCTTTCACCCGTCACAATAACCCTACATGGAATATACTTGTGTCATTTTCCTTATACATAAGTAATCGCTTACATGAGCACAAGAATGTTGCATGTGAACGTAAGAACTCTGCTGGATCAAGCCAAAGGCCCGTCTAATCCGGGATCCTGCTCTTACAGTGGCCAACTAGATTCCTATGGGAAATCCACAAGCAGGAACAGGGTGAGAAGGCCCAGCAACTGATAGTCAAAGCAATACTGCCTCTGACAGTTGAGGTACAGCAAAAGCATCATGACCAGAAGTCATTCATAGCCTTATCCTCCAGGAACTTGTTTAATCCTCTTCTAAAGTCATGCAGGCTGGTGGTCACGTTGGTTGCAGGAGGAAATTTTATAATTCTTATGTATTTACAGTACTTATACTTTATGCACTGCGCACTTTCTCTAATCCTGAATCTTCCAACTTTCAGCTTCATTGGATGGCCCTGGGTTATAGTATTACGAGAGAGAGAGAGAGAGAGAGAGAGAGAGAGAGAGAGAGAGAGATGGTCCCTGTCGACTTTCTCCATACACAACAATGCATAATTTTATAGGCCCAGAGCTTGTCCCTCATTTTACTCACTTTTTTCCAAACTAGAAAGACCCAAATGTTTGAGGGGAGCCAAGCAGCACTGCACACTATTCCAAGTGTGGTCCCGCCACAGATTAGCATAATGACACCATGACATTGGCAGTTTAATTTTCAATCTCTTTCGTAATAATCCCTAACATGGAATTCTCCATTTCTGCAGCAGGATCAACATCTTCATCAAGCTGCATCAATCACTGCCAGTTGAGACCCCAGGAGGGTATAAGTGAAATTAGGATCACTTTATCCTTGCTTACATGGGTTTGAATTTTCCATTTTAAAGCCCACACACCCAATTTGGGGAGATCCTTTTAGACCTTCTAATAAGTGCTTTTTCTTTAACCACCTTTAACAATTTGGCGTCATCAGCAATCCTGGACACCTCACTTTTCACCCCTAACTGTAGACAATTAATGAACAAGTTAAAAAGCACACGTCTCAATACTGATCCTTAGGGGACTTCGTTTTCTACATCCTCCCATTGGAAGAACTGCACTTTTATTCCTACTTGCTGCTTCCTGCTCCTTAACCAGTTAACCATGACTGCTAAGCTTACTCTGAGTCTTTGGTGAGGTATTTTGTCAAAAGCTTTTTGAAAGACTAAGTCTTTAATAATGCTTCTCACTGGTTTTCCTGGAACAGACATTAAGCTAACCAGACTGCAATTTCCTAGATCCAATCTGAAGTCCTTTAAAAAAAATTGCCCTACATTGGTTACTTTTTAGTACACACACACACACACACACACACACACACATATATATATATATATATAGGCTGATCTTATGGATAAGTTACTTTTTTGTTAGAAGATCGGCAATTTAACATAGCTTTCTTTAGTGGGTACAATCTGGACCCAGTGATTGTCAGTTTGAAATTAGTCCATAAGGCCACTAACTTCATCTCTTATCACCACTACTTGCCTCAGTTCCTCAGGTGCAGGGACCTGCCCTGTGGCTTCTATTGTGAGAATGCATGTAAAAAAATTCAATCAGCTCCTTTGCAACCTCCTTTTCCTCCTCTAAAAAGGTAACGGACCCCTGACAGTTAAGTCCAGTCACGGACAACTCTGGGGTTGCAGCGCTCATCTCGCTTTCCTCCTTTAGCACATCTTTGACGCCCTTTCTCATCCAAAGACCCAGCCACCTCTCTTGCTTGGTTTTGGTTGGTTGGTTGCTTTTCAAACCCCTTATTGCTGCTTGTGTTTCTTTTGCCACAGTTTGTGCTCTTTTTTGGAAAAGACTTCCATATTATCAAAGAAGACTTCTTGCCTCCAGCAGCTCCTTTGACTGTACTCATTAATCAAGCTGGCATCCTCTTGGTCCTGGCAGCACCTTTCTTGATCTGCAATATACATGCTAGCTGAACTTCTTTTATTGTGGCTTTGGACAATCTCTATAAAGAGATATGACCCTCTTCACTTTCCTCTTTTGAAGTCAAATATGACTGTTACATTTTCTTGGCAATTGTCCTCTTACATAGATCTTGGATTTCATAGCATTATGTTCACTGTTCTCAATCAGTTCAACGTTTACATCTTGCACCACGTCCTGGGTGACACTTAAGATTAAATCCAATCGTTCCAGAGCACAGTCACACAGGGTATTTAGACATTTTGCTTCTTTGAGACTTAAACACACCAGTATATGGGACAGCCATTGAAGTCAATTCCCATTTCACCCTGGACATTTTTGTCAGGAGGATGATACAGTATGTTGTCCATACTAAACTACTTCTGTGGCCCACCAGCACCACCCACAGCAAGTCTGCGGACGAGAAAGAATCCTTCTAGGTTCTATATCCTCCAGTAGGCCCTGCCCTGCCCTTCCTAGGGAGCTTTTATCTGGAGATGACCATGTCTCACTTGTTCTCTCCATTCCACTATATGCCCTCTATATCTATTCCATCTTTTAAAGCCAAGCACTCCAGTTCCCCCATCTTGGATCAGAGGCTTCTAGGATCAGTTTATAAACATTTATATATGGTGTCTCTCTCCAAATGACTTTGGTGTATGTGCTTGACCCTATGGTGCTTCAGCCTTCCTGAACTGATATCATGTCCCCCTGCACTCTCAGGGTCCAGTTCTACCTATCCCCCATTTGAACAAGCACAAACATTTTCACCCTCATCCCTAGAGATGATTTGTTCCTGTTCTGGAGGGTAGGACCCGAACCAATGACTTCAAATTACAAGAAAGGAGATTCCAACATTAGCGAGAACTTTCTGACTGCAAGACCACGAGACTCCTCCAGCAGAGGCTGGATGGTGATTTGTCATGTATGATCTAGTTAAGAACTTGCACTGATCCCTTTCTCCTTTCTCTCTGCTCAGGGTGCTGCATTCAGGAAGTAGGAAGGATGGAGAAGCCTTTTCCATAGCCAGGCTAGTGTGTGTAACAGCTTACCAGGCTGAAACCCACCCTAGCTTAATGAGCAGGCAAGATCCTGAGCTGCACCATGCAGAGGCTCTGCACAGGTAAAAAAAAGGTAAAGGTAAAGGACCCTGGACAGTTAAGTCCAGTCGTGAACGACTCAGGTTGCGACGCTCATCTCGCTTTACAGGCCGAGGGAGCCGACATTTGTCCGCAGACAGTTTTTCTGGGTCATGTGGCCAGCATGACTAAGCCGCTTCTGGAGAAACCAGAGCAGCGCACGGAAACGCCGTTTACCTTCCCACCGGAGCGGTACCTATTTATCTACTTGCACTTTGACATGCTTTCGAACTGCTAGGTTGGCAGGAGGGGACCAAACAACGGGAGCTCACCCCATCACAGGGATTCAAACCACCAACCTTCCGATCGGCAAGCCCAAGGCTCAGTGGTTTAACCCACAGCGCCACCTGTGTCCCCTGCTCTGCACAGGTACAACAGGTCAATAGAGCTTGACTCTCACCGAAGACTCATCCATTTTTCTACTTATCTCATGCTTTCTATGTGCAGATCTGAGCAGCTGTTCCTTTGCTCCACCACTTTCCCCCAGAAAACCCACTCTTTAGCACTGAATCAGAGTAAACGTCAATCCAAAGAAAACCTGATTGACATTTGCTCTGATTCAACAGTAAAGACCGGGTTTTCCCTTGGGGAAAGTGGCAGGGCAAGGGGATTTCACAGTACAACAAGAAAAGGTTTGTATCACTGCTTATAAACATAGAACCCAAACCATTACTGAATTGTTAGGCTACTTAACAAATCTCACATGCTGGTCAAAATTCTGAAAACACATAAATGTTGCCACTTCTTCTCTACAGAAGCACAATATATAAGAGATGCATGTAGAATCACAGGATTGTAGAGTTGGAAGTCCAACTACCTGTAATGCAGGAATCTCAGCTAAACATCCATGACAAGATGGCCATCCAACCCCTGCTTAAAAACCTCCAAGGAAGAAGAGTCCACCACCTGCCAAGTTGGAATCTCCTGAGGCAAACCCCAAAATGGTACAGCCCCTCCCCGACAGGGAAGAAGGGGTGATGGAAGCTCTACATCAGAAACAAGGAGGGGAAGAAAGTTTGACAACAGGATCGGCTGCCCCAGTGGATCCTGCTGTGTCACCTTGCCTCATAAGCCCTGCTAGCACCAAACTTATCAATGCTCAGAAGGTATTTAGGGAGAATGCTCCTTGTATAGGCAGAGAACAAGGAGTTTGATGTAAAGTGAGGCCATTCAAATAAATTCTGGAAGTTTGCAAAATTGATGTATTGAGCATTCTACCTTAGGAATTTAAACTACTTTCCTTCCTTAGTAGAATTTTTAATGAAAACTTTATTTTCTTCTTCTTAGAAAGGGGGACTGGTGAAGAAATGCATAAAAACCAAACCCAAGTGGATGCTCTATAAGTGTAGTTAAGTGGCGAGAAGCTATACACACAAAGATACTATAAAACGATTTATCAATTGGCTTTTAATGAGATTGTAATAGTGGTTTCATTAATACTGTAAGTTCTCAATTAATTCTATTCAATATTCTTTCTCTGTGTACGTACCTAAGTCAGATATTTCTCCTTCCCACTTTTTATACTGGCTTCTAGTTACAGTAGAACTCTCTTCAGCATAGAAATCTATATAAATATTGCACTCATTGATATGAAATCCATGCTTAAATATGAAGTTAATGTTCCCAAATCCTTCCTTCAGAATCCCAAAACTCTTCACGAAACATGAAGCAAACCATGCTACCCTGCCACTGCCATCACTGCCCTTCCCTATTTCCCTACACCTTTACTCCAAACCTTGGTATTAAATTGTTTAATGATATGTTGCCATTACTATAATGAATCCATAACTCTCAAAATTAGCATGCTGCTTCCAAAATTCTCCTGCATTAAAGAACTGGGTATAAAACTTGAGAGAGAGGGAGGGAGATAAACAAGAGATCTCAGAGGGGCAACAGTGGTGCCCAGCAACTGAATTCTTAGTATCCATAGGAGGACCAGCAGCCCAGTTTCATCATTATATAATAGGATAAAAACTGTTTGCCAGTTGCCATTGGATTAGCTACTGGGATGTTACAGACTGTCCACAGCTATTAATGATTATATAAAAATATGCCCACACATCATGAAAATGCTCACTTTCACTACCTGTAGACAGGGTATCACTGGAAGATCTTCCCAAACTGAGATGGTTCATTCCTCCCCAACCGCCAGCCTCCTAATACCTTCTGTCTTGGCCCAAGCCTCTTAAAACAGTCCAGAGGGCAGAAGTTACAGATACCTCTATGTATGTGTGAAAGGAGAAATCCGCCTCCTGTGCAAATGGGGAGAATAGAGAGAATTTGAGGTCAGGCTGTGCTAAGAAAGACACAACAAACTCCATCTCCTGGTGGTACAAAACAGGGATGAGTAGTAGAAACTGCTGTAAATCCACTGGAGAAGAAGGCTTGGACTTCACACATTAACTCTTCTTGCTTTGGTGCCATGATGACATGATGTGTGTAGAAAATGGGAAGTCAGTTTGACTGAGTGAAAACACTTTGCAAAGAGTGTACAAATAAGGTGGATTCTGTGCACATGGAGTTCCGTCACTTCTGAGGAAGCTTGAGAGCAAAGTGCTATGATGCCAGGATTCACCTGGACACAAGGGGAAAGAGCAGAGAACTTTGGGAAGGATAGCCATATATAGCAGGGTAATGAATACAGCATGCCGTCCTAATAAAGGAATTGTCTACACCAAAATTCACGGTGGGTAATCAAGTGTGGAGTCGAATCTGATTTACATCACAATCCTAACCATTTTTACGTAGATGCATGTCCCTCTAAGTTCAATGGGAACTGTTCTCTATTAAGCATGTTTAGGATTTCACCCTTAAGTCCACAGCTGTCCAGAATCAAGTAATATCTTGAAGTGATGTAGGAACCATTGGGTTTTGATCAATTTTCACTACTTGGAAGAGGAGCAATGTTTATATTGAAATTTCACATATTACAAAAGCACTCAACAAACTCAAGATAATTATGTGGTCACAATCATTTTGTCTGCTTTTCATGTTTCTAATTCAATTTCCAAAGAGCGAAGTCACACATTTCCCTTGCGGTGACAAGCCTTGGCACAAACGCAGGCACACCTCATACATCTTGCCAGACTGGAAATGCATGACTTCTCCTTTTGCAGGGTCAGCCGGCAGTGTTAAAAATAGGTGTGCAACCCATTTTTACTTTTGCTTTCTTTATGATGGGGATGGGGAACCTGTAGTCCTCCAGATGTTGCGGGACTACAACTCCCATTATCCATGGCCATTGGCCAAGCTGGTTGCGGCTAGCAGGAACTGGAGTCCAACATCATCTGGTGGGCCATAGGTTAGACACGGAACCTAATTCACTCCGGCTTCATGTGTATTGACTAAGCCCCTCTCCTTTCCATTTTACCAGGCAACCAAAGTAGCACATTTTTTTTACAGGGTTAACATAGGTGTTCATGTTTTCTTGCTTGCTTGCACAACAGCACAAAGCTGCAGCATTAGTGAGAATGTGCAGTTGCAAACTTTTCTCCAGGATTGAGAAATAAAAATAGTTTTTAAAAAGATGACCTGTGAGGGTGGCAGGCAAAGGAAAAAATCATTAGAACAGGGATGAAAACCATACCAAAAAAGCCTGGAGGCAGCTTTTGGGTTTTTGGCAAGGAATGTTGCACTGCTGTGTAATACACATGCAAAACACATGGTTCAAATATAATTTGGCAGCAGTTAAAGGAGCAGACAGTAAGATGCAATGGTAGAGCCAGTCTGCAAAGCTACCATTGCACAAGTCTAAAAAGCTATAGGCTGCAGTAAAGACAAGCCCTAGGTTATATTTTTACCAGGAAATTATTGCAGGTGATAGATTCATAAGCAAATATAGCATCCTTCGGGGTGGGGTGGTGGAGGAAATACAAATGCTTTATCTGAAGAAATCTCATCCTAGCTTATGTAAAAGGTGTAGGTGTATTTTAAGTTCCTAATCTAGTGCACTTTTAGAGAGAAGCACTTCTTTCCCTAGAGAAAACCTTTTCTCTCACAATACAAGAATCCAGCATCATCCAATGAAGCTAAATGGTAAAAGATCTGGGTCAGACAAGAGCAAGAACTTCTTTACACAGCACATAGTTAAACTATATGCCATATGTCCTGATTTTCCTGGACATTACCAGGTGAAAGTGACGTCTGGGGGAAATTTCCAGAAGGCGGTGGTTTGTCCTGGATCTTTGGCAAGTAAACCAAAAAATCTCATTTTTTTGAGGGGGAAAGCTAAACAACTTTCAGGTGTTCCTAATAATGCGAGGACATGGAGGAGTCATGATCACTGCATTCTCTCTCCAGGATCCAAGGTGCACCTTTGAGCACTGAACACTGGGGAACAACAGTCAGCAGAGCGCCCCGTGTGCTCCGTCTTTCTTGTGGCTTCCCATCTTTCTCTGGCTGGCCCTTGTGGGAAGTGGGATGCTGGATTAAAGAGAGCTGATCCCCAGGGCTTTTCTTAGGTTACAAAAATAACCACAAAGAATTGTTATCAAGTACAAATGGGAAGTACAGGTGACTATTCTCTGTCGGATGAGCTTTTATCTTCTGGGTAGCTTCTATGCTGCAGATTAAAAAAAAAATACCCTCCAAGCAATTTGTCCTGCCCTAGTATAACAACATGACACTGAAGACCAACCTTGCCAAGAAGTTACAGAGAAAATTATTAAGTATGGAGAGGAGCAGGGGGGGTGAGGCATATTCCTGTGTGCATTGCCGTCATATTACTATGGCCCTGACCAGCCAAACTACTAACTGTGGGCCCTCTTAATAGCAAGAATTCGCAGTGACTAAAACCACTTTCCCTTTCAGGTCTCGTGAGGGTGGTTCACTCAGTCACACATTTATGATGTACAAAAGTAAAAGGTCCACTTCTTAAAGCTGCAAAATGCAAGTAAATTTGAAACATCTTTGGATTTGAACCTCTTTGCCTTTGACTCAAGGAGGGCAGCCTGCAAAGGAACTCCAAAGAGTTTGCCACCAGGAAAGGGGGAAATAGCTCCATATGACTGAGAGCTCCTCTGGTTCTCAGCCAATTCCTCTTTGCAGTTCCACTGAAGATCACAGTACATGCTCCCAGGAGGACTGTATCAATAAAACATCAGACAACGGGACTGCTGTAAACAAAATCTCCGATTGGTGTGGGAACATTGGACTCCAGTATCAATAGATCTTCCACATTAAATGGTAGATGCCTCAGTTAGCCCTTGAAGGAGGTGTGTGAATTATCTGGCCCCTTTCACCAACACCCCCCCCCCCGCTTAATTTCAGAAAGCACTGGAGTACAACAATTTTGACCAAAGATTTGAGGACGGCATCTATTGGAAACAGCCTGTTGTCCCTGATGCCTGAATGGGCTCCTCTTTCTTTCCCTGAAAACTATTCTGTTTTACAGCTGGACTCTATGGTCACTGCACAAAGGATCTGCACCTCTGCCCTGCCCCCCCGCAATCCTGAGCTGAAAGCAACGGCCTAAGCTTCTCAGGACAGACTATCAGCAGATGGGGTGAGATAGGTCTGCTCAATGCGATTCACCTATATGCCAAAACTAAAATAAGGATCTACACCCAGAAAGGGGTGGGTAAAGGAACTGCAACTGAGAGATATCTTAGTGTCTGCTGCACAGCAAATAGTGGCTCCAGAGCCCAGACCAGAACTTATGATTTGCTTGCATTTCTCCTTTGCCCGTCTTTCATCTATGTTATCAGTGCATCCTTTCCCTATTGGCATAAGTAGCTCCGGGGGGGGGGGGGGGCTGTGGTGTGCCTGTTGCAGAAGTGCTGTCTCAACAGTGGCTCATAGCTCATTCCAGTCACACAGGGGCAGCACACAGTGCAATCTGTAATGCAGAACTGCCTGCTTTCCCTCCAGCTAGCCATGCTCCCACACTTTTGAGGATTTGCAAAAACTGTGGTTTTCCCTAAGTTCTGGACTTAGTGCAATGAAGGCATCTGAACATGCTTGAACTCTCCACTGCCAACAAGAACTCTGCACACATGCAGTCGCGTGTTACGTTTGCTTCAGAATGTGAACGGGGCTCCGGAACGGATCCCATTCGCATCCAGAGGTACCACTGTACATGCTTCTAGCCTGAGCCTGGTCTTGGCTGGGGAGGGCGGGGTATAAATAAAAAATTATTATTATTATTATTATTATTAGCTACCATCCATTCTTAAGGAAATCAGCCCTGAGTGCTCATTGGAGGGACAGATCGTGAAGCTGAGGCTCCAATACTTTGGCCACCTCATGAGAAGAGAAGACTCCCTGGAAAAGACCCTGATGTTGGGAAAGATGGAGGGCACAAGGAGAAGGGGACGACAGAGGGCGAGATGGTGGGACAGTGTTCTCGAAGATACCAGCATGAGTTTGACCAAACTGCGGGAGGCAGTGGAAGATAGAAGTGCCTGGCGTGCTCTGGTCCAGGGGGTCACGAAGAGTCGGACACGACTAAACGACTAAACAACACCACCATCCCAAACATACCAAGCAATCCATTGTACATACCCAGGTCCTACGTTATAGCCGCATCTCTTCCAACTCTACAGACAGAGACTCTCACCTAAGAGATCTACAGCAAACCTTTTTAGAACTAAAATATCCACCTGATGAAGTTAAACAACACAACAACAGAGCCCGACTGGTGTCCAGAGAGAACTTGCTGCAAGACAGACCCAAAAATGAAAATAACAGAACACCACTAGTAATCACATACAGCTCCCCAAGTTAAAACAGTTCAATGCATCATCAGAGATCTACAACCTCTCCTAGACAATGACAGCTCTCTTTCTCAAGCTCTGGGAGGAAGACCTTTCATTGCCTACAGTCAGCCACTCAATATTAAACAGCTCCTCACCCACAATAATACAACAGCCAGACTTAACATGGACACTGGTACCAGAGCCTGCAATAAGCCCAGATGCCAACTTTGCTGCCACATACACCCGGACAACACCATTACTGGCCCCAACAACATCAAACATACCATCTCAGGACTATTTAATTGCTCATCTTCTACCGTTGTGTCAATTGCCAACAGTGCCCTTCAGCTCTCTATATCGGACAAACAGGCCAAACCCTACACCAAAGGATAAATGTACATAAATCTGACATCAGGAATCACAAGACAGAGAAACCAGTAGAAGAACACTTCAATCTCCCAGGACATTCAATAAAGGATCTCAAAGTAGCTGTCTTACTACAAAAGAATTTCAGAAATAGACTGGAAAGAGAAGTTGCTGAATTGCAACTTATTGCCAAACTTAAAACCATGGAGAGACCTGGTCTGAATAGAGACATTGGATTCTTATCTCATTATACATGATAAAGCTATTTTTAGCCATCTCACCCCTTGCTTTTTCCTGTAAGACCAATTGCAGTCGTTAACAGTCATCAACAGGTTTACCACACCTATCAGCCAATCACCCATTCCCACCACCCTTCTGAGTAATACCCCTCCCCACCCTCTCACTATATATAAGGGTCTGGTGACTTCTGTTTCAGTGTATCTGAAGAAGTGTGCATGCACACGAAAGCTCATACCAGTAACAAACTTAGTTGGTCTCTAAAGTGCTACTGGAAGGATTTTTTTTTATTTTGTTAAGACATCTGTATGACATTGTAAACAAAATAGTCTTCCCCCATCCTATCCCTAAATCAGAAAATCCAATGGAAGAGTTGCACTATTTCCCTGGTTGTAAATGGTCCGTGGTGCTACTATTCTCATGAGTTATGGGCCTGCACAGATTGCTCTGGCTCAAGGGTGAGGAACCCTTGGCCCTCCAAATGTTGCTGGACCATAACTCCCATAACCCTTGGCCATTGGCCATACTGCAACATCCTGAGAGCTACAGCTTTTCCCCATCCCTGCTCTAGCCATTTTTTTCTCTATGGTCTGTCTTCCCCTTCTAGTAATTAGCTCTATCACTTTAACCCTTCCCTTTCTTAAAAGGATTGTCTTATTATCCATTTTTTTCTCCCTCCTCTCTAAAGGAAGTCTTTGGAGAACTACACCTAAGGTATTTGCAGTGGCAGTTTGTTGTGATGCCAGTAAGTGATGTTATTACCACTGCACCAGGACCAGGCAATTCATCTTTTGCTCTTGAATTTCATGCAATACATCATATCAGAAGGATTCTGCTCCAAATCAACCACCTAGCTTAATTTTGAAGAGAAAAATAAGTGTGTCATAAATCAACTGCAATCAACAAAGAGTAAGTTAGTGCCTCCCTAACAGGGTTCCAGAAACAAGGCAGAAAAAAGAGCTACTGTTTATTAAACCCATACTAATATAAATGTTTGTTTATGATAAACTGTTGCTCTCCTTGTTAGTTTCCCTGTGGAACCCTCTTGGTGTGCCAGACTATTCAAGGTTGCTGTTTTTATTTTAAAGTCAACAAAACATAGCCAAACCATTTTTATCACAGAAAACAGAAATCTTGGAGTCCTTCCAGTCTATTGGGTAGACATAATTATGAGAAGAAATATATAATCTACCCAAGAGACATAATTACATAATTAAGCCCTAGGCTCTATGTAAGAAAAGTTCTTACAATTCTCCAAACAAGGCGCTGCATAGTCCTCATAACTTTTACTCACTTATTGAAATAAGGGGGAATATGTTTTTAAATAGCCCAGGGCAGAGTTTCTGCTACAGATGGTATCATTCTAGTAGGAGAGGTAAGGACATTTCCCTATATAATCGGGGCAGGGAGGAGAGGGAGGCGAACTGGCAGCAACCAGTCCCAAACTGGGGGGGGGGGGGACTAAATAAATTGCCCTTTTTGTATATTAAAAAAACCACCCATTTTTGCACCACTTGCCCCCTTCTTCAGGACTACAATTATACAATTGTCTGGTGAAAGTTTTCAGTGCAGTTCTACTTCCCAAACCTCCCCAATTCATCCTGCAAACTTGCTGGACATTATTTGCCAATGAGAAATCAAGGGCTCTGGTGGGTGGCAGTTTCAGGACCAAGCGCCCCATCGCATCACTTATTGTCAGGGCAGAGGAGGAATGGTGGAGTCTGCCTCCCCAGCCTGGCCCTTCCAGAGAAGAGGAAGACAGTTCAGAATTACAAGGGGGCTTTGAGGGAGGTCACAGCTCAGAGGCAGATGAGGGGAAAAGCTGGGAAATAATGGGAGAGGAAGAGGAAGCACCCAGGGGTTGACAGCTGACAGACACAGTGCCTTTAGAAAGCAGGATGGATAAAAATCTATGATTTTTTTAAAAAAAATCAGATTTTTTTCTATTTAAATTGGATTTTTAAAATAAAATGCTTTTGAAGGAAAAATCTTTCTAAAGATAGTTTTCTATTTAAATTACATTATAGTCCAAAGGCTATTCATCAGGAAATAAGGATTTGTTTTAAGTTTTTCATGTGTGCTAAAACTCAGTCTAAGGTTTTTTTTTAAAAAAATGTTTAACCACATCAGTTAACAAACATGGATACATATGCTATGTTATTGTTTTAGTTAAATAAATTATTTAAATTATTATTAAGGAAATGATTATTTTTCTCCTTCCAATAAAGTACAGCAGAAAGGTTGTCCAAATATAAAGTTAACTTATTAAACCTCACAATAATTTCATAATTATATGTCAATGTATTTCTAATAGTATAACTAAATCAGTAATTTTTGATATAACTGTAAAAACTACTTTGCAAATTTATTATTCCAAAAATGAAACCTTCATCTGGTTGTAAATATTAAGATTATACCAGCAAGAATGAGTCTTTCTGTAATAAAAAGATTTAAATCAAGTCTTACTGGCTAGTGATTTAAATCATGATTTAAATTGATTTGATTTAAATCAAATCCACCCTGCATTCCAACCCCCCCAACCCCCTTTCAGAACCCGGAGAGCCTTGAAAGTAGGAGAGCAAAGAGCCCCAAGGCAGAGGGCATGAGGAAGTGGGAGAGACGGAGGGGGTGGAGATTCACTTGGGAGAATGCCATTATTCCAAGAGGCTATGTTCCAAGCCTCTCTACAAGTATGGTAAGAAGCTTTTCCTTGTCTTTGTATGATCCTGGCAACTGGCCTTCGTTACAGCCACCTGACACTTATTTAGGTGAAAAAGATAAAGGACCCCGGATGGTTAATGGGGTTGCGATGCTCATCTCGCTTTCAGACCAAGGGAGCCGGCGTTTGTCTACAGACAGCTTTCTGGGTCACGTGGCCAGAAGGACTAAACCGCTTCTGGCACAAGACACCATGACGGAAGGCAGAGCACACAGAAATGCCGTTTACCTTCCCACCGCAGCAGTGCCTATTTATCTGCTTGCACTGGTGCGCTTTCGAACTGCTAGGGTGGCAGCAGCTGGGACAGCAAGAGGAGCTCATTCCATCGAGCTGATTTAAACCGCCAAACTTCTGACAGGCAAGCCCAAGAGGCTCAGTGGTTTAGACCACAGCGCCACCCATGTCCCTTATTTACCTTATTTATTTACCTAGCTACCTACCTACCTTATTTAGTTATCACTTATTTACCACACATAAAACATGTTTTGTTATGTACTGAAGTTCTCACCCTGGGCCAGCAGGGGGATACTGTAGATAGTTATGCAAATGAAGGATCGAAAAGTGACGTTCAGTGATTGGATAGTTTTAGAAAATGGCAACAGTTACATTGTTCTGGAGCTCTATATAAGCAGACTGACTGAGCTCCTCAGCTTAGTTCTGTTCCAGCTTACAAAATAAAGAGCTGCTTTGGAGAAATCGCTGTGTCGTCTGCTATGTCAACCCACAACTTAACATGTTTGGTCCAGATGGTATCATATTGAGCTTTACTGTATACAGAATTCCACTGGCCTGCTCTCTATCCCTCAATTTCACGGCAATGTTGTTCCAAACACCAAGCACTCCGACAACACTACTTTCATTGGTGACATTCATTTTGTCAGGTATTAGAGGTAGAAAGTACAAATGGAAGTAGTTATGATTTTTGCTTATGGTAATAGCAGGAGTAATACCACGACCATGCATTGTTCTGTACTTTTATTTTGATGCTGTTAATCCAACGTAGGTCCAATGAAGCAGATTCCCAACTTAAGGGATCCAACAAATGAGTTTCACTCATTTGTTTCTGAACTGAAAAGAAGAAAGGAGGAGGGGAGGCAGAAGGGTGGTTCTGGGGGAACTTACTGGAGATGTTTTGCCATTTGCAAGTTCATTTCTCCTTCATTGCTTCTTTTCTACCTGTAAGACTTCATTGACGTCTGGTGTTCTCAGTGACATTTTACTTCGCTTTCTTTGTTGCTCAAGTCCAGGCCCAGCAGCAGCCTTCATGAAGCTGCTGCTCCAAACAGGGTCAGCCAGTGCTGAAACATGCTGTGGATTGAGCCCACCCTTCTCCTCTGGCTCAGTTTTCCTTGCAGTGCATGAATGTGAGTCACCTGCCGTTTTAAATTGTCCCCAAATACATAGGGGCATTCTGGAAACTGAAAATAAGAGGCAGCTTCCTACCATAGGGCACAGCCATTGCTAAGTTTGCTGAGCACCCATGTTGATGGCAGGGAGTACTGTAGATATACTGTAAGCAAGCTCACCAAAATTGTACTTTGTTTTGCCCCCCTCCCCCCATGTAATGCTACCTGTAATTTCAGCTGTTTCTGGAAGACAGAGGTTGGCTGTCTAATGATGTCAGTGAAATAGGCAAAGTGGGTGGCATCACTGTACACAATAACTTCGTTATCTCTTAGCATTTATCACTTAGTAGGAAAAAGTGTCTTCACCATCATGTGCAAAAAGAATGCACATGCGCCCATCTCACTGAGCATACCTACAGCAGTGGGTAGTCACAATTTGCATCATATTAGTTTTGTTTAATTGGTCTGCAAACTGCATTGGGTCTTTGTTTTAGAGAAGAGCAGGTAAGAAATATTTAAAATGCATAATTTACAGGAGAAGGCGGTCAACCTGAACTTCAAAGCCAGAGGGAAGACTTTTGGGAAGTTATTTCTTTCCACTTCAATAGGCCTATTTAATAGAACAACATTATTCTCACAAGAATGCTTGCATTTTCTCTCTTGCGTACACAGTTACTATTTTTATTTACCTTGATCTCTTTCTTTTTCCCTTTAAATGAAAGTACCACTGTGAGTTTGCAAAAAAGCCCAATCAAGACAATTATTTACTATTGTTAAAAAGCTGAAGAAACAACTTATACAACATCATGCAATTCCCATTCTCTAGCTTAATTCCTTTGATATATTGTAGTATCTAAGCAACTCCCTTCCTTAAGCCCCTTCCTCTTGCCTCTCAATGTTTAGGGAAGTGAGGTTATAGAACAATTGCAAAGGCACATAAGGCTTTCATTATGGCTTCATCAATTTATTATCATTATGCAATCGATCTAAAAAATGGCAGTCCTTTAAAAAAAGAAAAACCTGCAGTGAACACACCAATCTCTTTAGCCTAGTCTTGCTACACTGTGTTGCAATACATATCAGAGGATGGGGAGTTGGGTAGGCAAGTGAAGAAAATCTCTTGCTTAAACTGGAATACCTCCAATTCCTGGCAGAATGAGACAGTTCTCTTAACGCTTGCGAAACATGATAACTTTGAAGGAATGAAGAGTGAGCGAGAAATGTAAACACAACCATTATAACAGATTTGAGATACTTATTTTTAATCCAGTCTAAGACCCTTCCAATTGTATAGTGCTTTGGAATCCTTTTATTGTCAAACATCAATAAGGTGCATTTTAATTTCTTTCCAAAATCACTGTGGTTAAACTGGAGGCACTGAAGAAACAACAGTTAAACAGAATAAGGAATGGATGGATGTGTGCATCTGCATTGCCTATTTCTGCAGGCAGCTTTCCTGAATGAGTTCCTAACCATGAGTTAGATTTTCAGCTGTTTTAAACTCTTAAGCAAGCTATGGTTCTAAAACACTCATAATCACTAAAAATATTCAGGCAGTAAAGAAAGCTGGAAAAGAAGAAGAGAAGAAGAAATGCAATTTCCTTCAGTTTTGATGTGCTTGGAAACAACACAGAAAATAAAGTGGTTATCTGAAGAATCCGAAGGTTCAGCTCAGGAATCAGGACCTCTGCAGCAGAACAGCAGTTTACCCACATAATCCCAGAGTTTAAAGCTGCTGCACAATTTACTATAGGCTTTATAGAAGGATAATTGCCGTATCCACCCATGAGTAATAAATGGAGTCTACCATGTTAATCTTTGTATTCTTATTGTTTGTAAATTATACCAGACCTTAAGAACCCTTCCCTTTCATTCCAAGGAGGAATTAAGTTACTCACACTCAAACCTGCAAAGCTAAGAGATAGCAACTGCAAGCCAGTCGAGAGATGAGTGCCAACTAATGTGAACAGAATTGTGTTATTCTTACATAAAGAGTACCTAGTATTAGACCAACAGCACATGAGATTAGTGGGTCTTCCTCCCCAGAAAGTGGGGGGGGGGTTGCAGCCAGAGTTTGGGAAGCAGGCAGAAGGGCAGCCACAGTGTTTAAAAGAAAAGAAAATCAAGCAAAGCTTGTTTTCGGATCAGTTCCATAGGCCAGACAGACTATTATTTGTTCTCAGTTATAAGGCAGAAACTAATTAATTTGAGCTTTAAGAAAGAACCTCTAGCAAGCTAGAAGAATAAAACACCTTTTAGCCATTGCCTATTAGGGTTTTCTACAAAAATCTATAAAACCCTTAAAAAGAAAGAAAAAAAAGAGTCAAGACCAGGCATAGCTTTTAAAAGGTTTACAGATTCCTGGCAGCTCCACAGGGTGAGGTTTGTGACATCTAATCTGCAATGACAGCTTGATGGATGTCTCTCTTTCTTCCTTTTGAAAGGTATAAAGAATTGCTGGTTTCCTCAGTAAAAATTATGCTTAACACACTTCTTGCTTTTACACTTCCCATAGTCTGATTAAAAGGCTAGAATATGATGAAAGCCTTGTGCTCCTGGTAATATATGGGATTAATAGGGCAGCAGGTATGTCACAGATTCCACTCATAAGGTGCTTTGGATAAAATTCGTCCTGGGGGAAACCCACTTATGGCAGCAAATGCAGGGCCTTTCTCCCGCGACATCACTAGCCTTCAGATCTTCCATTCTAAAGCAAAACCTCCCCAAGCGAGGCACATTGTTTATTCTGATCTTCCATTTAGGCAACTCCTATTCTCATTCTATCCTGGACAGGGACTCTGTCGACTTATTAAGGCGCATCTTCAAGATCAGAAGGTATTTCTAAGCCTCTGCTCTGTTCAGACATAAATAACATTGAACCATAGTTTATATTACTCTGGGTATATTTCCTTAATCAAATTACTGTAATGGAAGCATACAGGCAAATCAATTTTCCATTTGGTTAGTGAAGAGCTGCTGCTGCTGCTGCTGCTGCTTCATCCATGATCCCAGTCCATCCCATTGCATACCCTATGGCTTGCTAAATAAGGTTAATAAACCTTTATTGGGGGTGAATTATGATTGAGTAAACTAGGGTAAACAACATCTGTGAATTGAGAACCCAGTTACAAGGTAGACTCTTACAACCAAAATTATATGACCAAAATTATATCTTATCCTAACATAACATTCAACCTAATATGAGAAAAATAGAACTATATTTAGGTCATTTCCGGATGAGCATAAACTGAGCAATCATCCTGTTTTATTTTCCCAACATTTGTACAGAGCTTATACAATATCCCTGTCAAGTGGCTGTTATCCAGCACTTTTCATTGTTGTTGTTTGTCCAGGGTTTTGGCTTTTTTAAGTGGTTTTCATAGAAGGATAGAACTGTAGAGCTGGAAGGGCTCCCAAGGGTCATCTAGTCCAATGTTCTGCAACACAGGACTCTCAGCTCAAGCATCCCTGACAGAGGGCCCTCCAAGCTCTGCTTAAATGCCCCGAAGGAGAGCCCACCTCCTCCCAAGGAAGACCATTCCACAGGCATCTCTCCTGAAGCTGATAAAAGGGTTGCCTTGTTCAGGGGGCGGGATGCATGTAATATGTGGCTGCCATTAAGTGGTGACTAAGGGAGGGTGGCACACCCTTGCCTGCAGTTGCGTGCTTGTTTTATTAATTTAATACTTTCATATACTGCTTTCCATCATAAGTCACCCCAAGGCAGCTTCCCTACAACAGCAGGAGATGACACTCACGGTCTCTTCCAACTGTACGGTTCTATAACTCTATGCTTCTATGGCGCAGAATACCCAAGTCAGGCTGTGAGCTGCCACCACCCACCTCCCTCTTGGCGGCTGCTGCTGCTGTTGCCATTTATTAAATTTGTATACCACCTTATAGTCACAGGTCTCAGGGCAGTTCACAAGATAGCAGCCACATACACACAGTGTTTAGTTCCTCTGAACAAGATGCCATTGCTCTTGTGAACCTGAGATTCTATGTCACGTGTTGATGCTGGTGAACCACTCAGAAAATGCCTAAATGGCAGCATTGATGGTTTTGTCTTCTTAAATTGAATTCATCAAAGCCAATTGTTAAAAAAACATAAATCGCCTCAGAAGAATACACACACACACACACACACACACACACACGCAAAAGAAATGCCATGGAAAGCACAAGCTGCTGAGAAACTTTAGAAAGAAATCAGTGACAGCAAGCCACATAATTTCCCCCAACAAAAGAAACATAAAGGGGGTTCATTTGCTCCCTCATCCTTTCCCATCAGCTGGTTAGTGTTTCTGTCCCTCCCCTCCCCTCCCCTGCCCCCCTCCCCTCTACCCTTGCCTTGCAAGGTGGTGGTGCCGCCACAACATTTTTTCTTTTACCTCTTATGGAACTTGCTCATAGAGGGTAAGGTCCAAAACTAACTCTTTGAAAATTGGGGGTGAGCAACTGCTAAGCAATTAATATCTCTGGGCTTTAGCAGGATGCTGCTCTTGGCATCAGGCTTGACGCTCTTTGCTGACTAGTTGTGAAGTTTGTTTAGTAACAGGGAGCTTCCTGAGAACTTAAAAACTACATGAAAACAGATTTTCTCCCCTTCAGAGATGGCTATGCGCTTGGCTACCAGTATGTAACACACTCTGAAGAATCTGCAGAAGAGAGAAGGAGGTAGGCCCAGCGTAAGCAGAGAGATGCTCTCTCTCTGTAGTGTGTGTGTGTATGTGTGTGTGTTTGTTTGTTTGTCTAACTCATCTGACACAGAGAGCTATAAAATGATACAAGGCCATTGCAAGACATGACTGAGAACTTTCCTTCTTCACCAAAAAGGTATGTGTCTCTTGGATAGCCAACATGAATTTGCAAATATAAACAAATGCAGCTGCTTTATTCTATTCTACCTCTACATTTCCTGCTTTCATAAATAGAGCAAAAAAGGAATGTAGATTATCATGGCTTTCACAAGTTCTGTTCTGCATTCTGATTAATCAGTTTTGTTTGCTGGAAATTTAGTTGATCCCTCATCAATCCTACTTGGTTAGATATCTGCCCTAGGCTCTGATCTTGATACATTTCAGCATTGATGTACTAAGTGAAACATTCACAGTTCATTATGAAACTACCAATTTATTACTTTCCAACATAACCCACTTGAACATGCATGTAAACTAAAGCCAGCGTGTTCCCAGGAATAAGCACCTCTGCATCTCAATCCTTCAATGGTGCTTCAAGCCTATTTTTAGGAGGCAAATGAACATGTGTGTGTTGATTGGCAAGCCGTGTGTGCATGTGAATGGCTGTAGTAGGTACGTGGCTTTGGTACATGCATGGTGCTCACAACAGTCTCTGATTTGCAAATGCACCCATGTGTCCCAAAAGGTTGCTTTGTAACCACTGAAACCGGCAAAAACAGCAGTAACTCACTTGCAGACCAATCCTATGCGCATTCGCACAGAAATAAGCCTTGCAGTTTATGCTTATTCCAAAGTAAATCCCACTGTATTAATAAAGGCTTACTCCTTAGTAAATAACTTTAGTATTTATTGAAGCCTAAATTACTGACGCGGGTGGCACTGTGGTCTAAACCACAGAGCCTAGGGCTCCCGTTGCTTGGTCCCTGTTCCTGCCCACCTAGCAGTTCGAAAGCACGTCAAAGTGCAAGTAGATAAATAGGTACCGCTCTGGCGGGAAGGTAAACGGCGTTTCCGTGCGCTCCTCTGGTTCACCAGAAGCGGCTTAGCCCTGCTGGCCACATGACCTGGAAGCTGTACGCCGGCTCCCTTGGCCAATAAAGCGAGATAAGCACCGCAACCCCAGAGTTGTCTGCGACTGGACCTAATGGTCAGGGGTACTTTTACCTTTTAAATTACTTAAATGTTACATTTGTGCTGCTGCCACTACAAAAAGCAACAACTCAAAACAAGATTATGTTTTTCTTTTCTTTGACATGAAGTCCTATTTTGATTCACATGGAAAACAAATATTGGACTGGCAGGACTAGCTTGAGGGTAGGGACGTTGGGGAATTCTGATGGAAGCAGGAGTGGAAATTGCCAGCGTTCACTTATTTGCCCCATGTCTGAAACAGAAATCAATCCACCAAATGAAATCAGTATTCACTGTTGTTGCTTTCAAACTGTAACAATATATAAGTGACAGGCCCCCCCTCCCATTTGAACTGTGTTTCCTTTGCATTGAAATGAATGGAGTTGATTAACATAATTATACTGAAGTTAATTACATAATTATGCAAAAAAAATAATAATCCCCACAGCAGACAGGGAGAGAAATAACATCATTTGTGTCAGAAGCTGAACTGCTGTGGAATAAAAATGGTGCTGCGTGCAACCACCGTTGGTCAGAAGAGAAACAGATGCCTCCTTGCATCCCCACTTGAGGGCCCCATTCTTGCTCCTAAATACAAAGGAACAGCTTTCACTACAACATACTTAGTTGGTCTTTAAGGTGCTACTGGAACATCTTTCAATAATTTTTTTTTAATCTTTCATCATTGTTATTTATTACGACAGACCAACGTGACCTGAGCCTTTCACTCCAGTTGGGGACAGGCCTACTTCTATTGAACAGAGCCCAGGACTCTGGTCTTCCCTGCTGAACCATATTAATATAGTTCTCTATTCTGACAGCAACTGTCCTGGAAAGGAAGAGGAGCACTGAGAACGGAGAAGCGCCTCTTCCTAAGAACAGTCAGAGCTGTCATTGCTGGACAGCTTTTTATGTGCACAAACCTGGTTCATAAGGAGACAATGGAAAATTCCTTACAGTGAATTCCTATTCACTGAAACTCCTCCTAGAAGCAGCCTTTAAACCTTAGGGTTTTACTTCAGGGCCTCCCCGGATGCTTTCTGTTGTCCTCCGCCTTCCATGCTTTTTTTCTTTCTGGAAGGTATAGCTGTACTCAGTACATTAATTTCCATTGGCATAGTTTGCTTGAGCTCACTATGGCTCATCCACACAGCACGGACTGATGCAGAAACCAACCCAATCTTAACTGAGACTTTAAAGGTTTTCCTTATTTATTCAATTAATAGAACTTTTCAATTACAGAGTTATTTCACCTACACATGGCAACACATTTGCTTTATGAGTTAACTTCTGCAATTGAGTTTTCATCCATTTAACTATTGCAAAATACAAATGAAGCAATCTATTCCATTGTAGATGTACAAAGGTGAAAGTGACTACTTTCTGCCTAGAGAAAAGAAAAGGAAGTTGATCTGTAACTACCGGTACTTTTCTTCGGAGAATAATGCCACATGTTTAAACAGCATTTTCTTTCCTGAAGCAAGGGAAGACTTCTCAATCCAACCAAAATAATTATGCAAACAATTTCACTATTTCTTTCAGTGGGACCCAATCTGTGTGGTCTTTTCATGCTCGAAGACACCTTTATAGAGACATTTAGGGCATTGTTACATAAAGTTCACTTAATGTGAGGGATATTGGATGAATTTCCTGCAAGATTAGCACTTGTCACATTGTATAAGGCTTGCCTTTAACTGGTGCCGCTAATTCCCCTGAGCCAGCAGAGAGCGAAAGCTAAGAATGCAAAATGGTACAATAGAAAACAGACACATTCGGAATGGACTTCTGAGTTTAGGTTAACAGGAATTTATGAGGAAAAGCTTGGAGTTTAATCTCATGTTCAGGGTACACATATATGGCTATTTGGGGAGTAGCCATGAAACTAGCACTTCATCTCATCACAGCAAGCTTTTCATGACTGAACTCTTCCATGTGTAGTATACACACTGCAGGAAACAGATCCCAGGGAATTGTTGTGTTTTAGCAGCAGGAAAAAGAAGTAATCTACAGCAAAGGGTTCCTTAGATGTAGTCCTACTGCTGGTACACTTGAACATGGTTGGGGGCTGTGTGGATGCCGTAGTCGAAGCAGCAGGTTGGTTCTGCCGGTGTGCCTGCGCTACCCTGCCCTACGCACTGCTTTCCTCTTCTCTCTATGCACACAAGGGAGTGGTCCTGCTGCCAGCAGGTTATTGTTGCAGCAATGGTTCATGTTTTCCAAAATAAATTAACTTGTCTAACAAAATAAGAGCCAAGAACATGAATTTCTGTCTTTGGCGCTACTTGCATTTCGTGAGGGGGAAATCTGCTTCCCAATCACAGAATTTTCCCAATACTGGAAAAAATCCAGAGTTTCCCATTATCTTCTATGACAGTCCTCATTATTTTTCCAGGAGATTTAAAAAATCAAGGAATTTCTGTCCCTGGACAACTGAATTGTAACTCCTGTCATTGTTTATGTTATATTGACTTATTTTTATTTAATTAATTAGATTAATGAATTGCTTCCCATGATACAATCTGAAGCAATTTAGCAATAAAAACCCATATCAAACAATTCCAAATCCAGTATAAAGACTGGAATTTTTAAAAAAACCACTTAAAAGGCTTGTTTGAAAAGGAAGATCTTCAATAGTAAACAGTAAATATCATGCCTGTCCGATATGCAATGGGAGGGGGCTTCAGATGGCCAGTGGCACCTCGCTAAAGGCCTCATTTCAATATTGCGCGGATGGGCTTCCCGATAAGATGGTCCACATCATCAGACCACGTCAACTGAAACTGATCTCATGATGTCACAAGCAGACATTGTGCTGGGCATCTCACTGGTAACTGTAACAAATGTGGTGCCAACAGAAATGAGCGACTTTTTTCTGCAAGTGCCTTGCAAATAAATCACAGTGGGCTTCCAAAGGGCACAGAACTCCGTTCCATGGAGCAGATACTGACAATACAATAAAGCTCTACTGGATGCCTAGTGATGGTGGTCCTGAGCTGGAACTAGAGGTAGCTGCAATACGGATAATGAAATAATACCTCTGATGGGGGAAACATCATGTGTCTTCTGGGGTAGTTGGTACACCTTTGGTCCCTATCCTGCACTCAGCTCTTACCTCTGGCTCTCAGAAGCTGTAAGCATGGGACAGTGGCCACACCCTGGGAAATAGCTTCAACTGGCCAGCTAAACCAGCTGAGGGTAGCTGGTGGGTCTCAAACCTTTGGTGAGTTAGGGACTTCCCCTGCATGCAAAGACAGGCTCTGGAAGATTGTGTGGATGAGGTCAATTGTGGATGCAAAGGTCACTAAAGCAGTTTCTGTACATGCTGTGGAGGGAAGTGAGGGACAGATAGGGCACATCGACATGGGAAGGTAGCTCATCTAGGAGAAGGAAAACTCTGATCCCAAGCCTTCTCTGCCTTATGGGATATCTTTGGGAGAAGAAATGGCTAAGGAGTAAAGCCTAAGACAGTTGGATGGCGCCTTGTGCATCTACTTCCAGCAACTCCTGCAGCAAAATTGGTGCCAAACATCTTGTTCTGCTTCCTTTGGACCACATAAGCAAGGCTGAGACATGGGTCTTGTAGTTTGGGCAGCCCAAGACCTCCAGACACACTGCCCAGGCTTGTGCCCCAGGGAGGTCACTTTGTTGCAGCTAACACAGCAGTTTGATTTCATCACTGGAGCTGCACTCCAGTGTTTCTCGAGACAGACAGATGGCAACAACAAGAACTATTGAACTACTGCTGTTTCCAACACCCCACCCAAGGCTGCCTCCGTTAGTTAAGCTGCTGGGCAACAAGATGGAGTGTAGACCAGCAGCAACCACAGCTCACTGTCTCCTTTGCCCAACACCAGGGGCAGGCCCTCAGAACCAGCTCCAGGACAAAGGGTTTTCCTGGTAAGGGAGATGGAAGCTCTATGGAGCACAGCAACTCTTCCCTCCCTCCAAACCCATCCCTGCAGCCTGCACTGATGCTGTACCAAGTCAGATCAATTCCTCCCAGCTCACACACCAGGTCTCTGTAATACATGCCAGATCAACACCTTTATTATGCATTAAACAGCAGCACACAACAGACAAGCAACCAGGAACCTGGCAATGGGGGGTGGGAGCAAAGAACAGTATTTAAATAGTCTCACACCTTTACCTTCTATGATGTCTTATTACCTCCCCATGACTATGTGCTATGGTGATATCCAATTCACCTGGTTCTGTTAGCACAAGGATTTATGCTTGTGCAATGGAACTGTCCTCCCTCTCCTCAAAACAGATTTAGGGGGTGAGGAGAGTTCCCTTGTGCACATGGAAATCCTTGCACTAATGGAATGAGTTACTTAGCACTACACTGGACACAACCCCTTGTCTCCACCTACCCATGGTCATTGAAATTGACATCAGCCATATAGCTCCCTCCGCAGACTTCCCCCAAACACGTGGTGTACACAATAGAACCATCCAACCCACTGCACAAATTATACACACAATAATAGCCCACTAACATGTTATAGCAAGATCTACAACCCATAATTTATTCCCAGCTGACAAAGCAGTTTCATTAAAAACACCTGACTCACCCAGCCCTGCCCCACATGACAATATCTACTTCCACCTAGCAAGGGCCATCATTCCACCAATTCCAGGCCCTCCTTAAGAGAGCAGCTTCCCCCATCCCACAATGCACTGCACAGGCTCTCACCCTGCGCAGGAAAGCACATGCATCGCAATGCCCTCCTAACACCAAAGACAACTCCCACAAACCGAGTAACAATGCACAGGATTATGCCGGAAGCCCCTTGAGGAGTTCCTTGTGAAGCAGCTCCTGCTTGCTGAAGATCTTAAGCATGTTGTTAAGTGTGGAGCTCACCATCCTCAGGCTTTGTTGAATTTTCTCTAAAATTCTTTCTATGTACCAAACAGACACATCCAGATTTGACTCGTTTCACTCACAAGTGGTGGTGGGTCAAAATTCAGACAGAATTCAATGGATGACTTTGAAGCAATATTTTAATTAAATTTAACCTCTCACTGCAACTTTTAAATAAAAATCAGTTTCTACATCTTAATATCTGATAAAAACAAGACTGTGGGCAAAGAATACTCTGATTAAAAATACTTAGAAATATTCTTTTTATAATGAAAGTAAGGGGAAAGGGAAAAACAAAGCATGTTATAGGTTTCTATCATTTGACTTCATGCAGACCACTTGCAAAACCATAAGCAACTATATTTCCAATAACTAAATCTAATCTCACAGAAAAATGATATTCAGTTGTTTGCTACTGATTTCTCCATCATTAACTAAATTACTAAAAACAAAAGAAAGTTACTTTCCCCCATCATTTGATGAATGAAAAGAACTATCATTGGATTACCACACAACTTTACTGAATTTAATTTAAGGTCCATTTTTTCAAGCTTGTAAAATAAACCATTTGAAAGAAAGCAACATCTAGGTGCATGTGATCAGAAATACAATACAAGCTAGCAGCAGCAAGCACATCATCATTTGATAGACATGAAGGTGCTATTATTACTTAATTTATATTCTGATAACATGCCAAAATAACTGCTAAGTGGTTTACAGTCATAAAACCCATACATAATTAGTACGCATAATAAAACCATCACAACACTGAAAACACCCATAATTAGAATTGACAATAAAACAAGTAGGTTAAGTAAACCACAATTAAAAGAGTTAAAAGAACAATTAAGACAATCAGATTAAGGAGGGCCAAGTTCAGGGGACTGCTTCCATAAACTGCTCTTCCATCTTGAAGAGCCTCTCATATTTCAGCAGGGAGGCGAGGGCATTCCACAACTCTGGTGTCACCACTGGAAAAAGCCAGCCTCCATGTTACCACAAGATGATAATTGTCAGACGGGGGCAAAACCAACCAGGTTCCATTTGCTGCCCTTAATGGAAAGGAGCACAGCTTTCAGGTAACCTGGTCCAGAGTTGTGTTGGGGTTTATATGGAAGTAGCAGGACCTTAGAATTGGTTTGGTGGGCTGCTAGAGCAGGTCCCTCAGCACTGACACATGGGCCCGATAAGGAGCACCACTTGCCGGCAGCAGCCATGGCTGCTGGACCAGCTGCATGAGTTTGTCATGGTATAACAGCCTGAAAAGCCTTAGTAGCAGGTGCTACTAATCACAGATTCAGAGTAGGAATGTGCATCTCTTACAAGTGGGCATCTGAGTCTGAAGATGCTCAACTGTTCTACTTTGTTTATAAGCCAATCTCTCGCCTATAGAGGTGAGATTTGTTTGCAATGTAAGCACCAAGAATATGTTAAGTCCCATTAATAGAACTGAACTATTAAAAAGGTATGGACAAGTTGTGCCTGCTGTTTTCACAAAACACTATTTCAAACCAGAATCAGTACCTTGTGAAAATTCAAAATATTCTGGAACCAAAGTTACAGATGAATGAACTATTGGCATTTTCTGGCAGAGGAATGAACGTTTAGTTTGGCCACATTGTAACGCAAACAAATTTTGATGTAAATCTATAAAGATGCACTCTTTCCATTAGCGTAAGGATTTATGCTTGTGCAATGGAACTGTCCCTCTTTTCCTCAAAACAGATTTAGGGGGTGGGGTGGGGAGCCCCCTTGTGCACATGGAAATCCTTGCATTGATTCATGGAAGAAGTTACTTATCACTACCTTGGCCACAACCTTTTGTCTCCACTTACTTATGGCCACTGAAATTGACATCAACCATATAGATGTAAATATATATTTATATAATGAAATAAAAATGAAGAACACCTAGATTATTTCTGAGGAGGAAAGCACTAATCTTAACTGAGGCTTGACAAAGCAACCTCCTTTTCCGGGTTGTATACTTCTCATAAACTCGTCTCAGACCCATCACCATGTTAATGTTATCACTGAGGGACATTAACTGTATGAGATCCCTCGCAGCACAGGGGGGCTACTGCTTGCACATGTGCCCCCAAAATCTGCTCCGGAGGACTGTGGGACTTCCTGAAGCCAATTTCAGAGGTGCCTGGGTTTTCTGTAGCATTTGTTTCATTCATCCTCTTTAGAAGAGTGGAAGGTAGCTGATTCGATATGTAAATGAGTTATCCCCACTTACCTAGGAATACACCTCATTGAACTCAGTGGGACTTGCTTTCGAGTACACATACACAGGCTTGCCTGAATTACTAGTATGTCTGACATTAACTGAAAAGAATATGCTCAAATATATTTAGCAAGCTCATGTCTGAGCAAGGATAATGAACTCAAGTCACCCAGCTCTAAGCCCAACGCCCTCTATCCACGCAACGGCAAGGCTTCTCTTTCCTGTGGTGGGGCATCTTCCCTCTTTTAGTTAAGCAGACTCTGAGGAAGAATCTCAGCAGGGAAACTGAAGCAGGAGGTTTGATTAACCCCTTCTACCCCATTCATTTTTTCACTTTAAAATCATCCTCACTCCCCAAAAAGCTGCCCTGTAGTCACCCTGCTGAAGCCACCATTATTGAAAGTCGCTTCAACATACAAGGAAAAAATACCAAAACATCAAAAGGAAAGATGTATGCACCTGCATGTAATATGCAGTGGGTTGTTTAATCATAAAAATAGCATAGAATTTAATGTCAATGGCAGTTTCTCCTGTGGACGGAATAGCCACTTTGGAGGAACAATTTTAATTGCAACTGTGGCATAAGGATCACTCAGCCTGCCAGAGTTGGCATCCTGGCATTCTGTGTCTACTGAGCACGCTCAGTCCTCTTGGGGACCTGGTAGCATTTTTTCTAAAGATTTGTATATACACATTCTGCAGGGCTTCCCCAGGCCTGCTGATACCTCCCCTCCTGCGTGGAACTGTTGCCATTTTGGCTACAAAAGCACAACCCTCAATGAACTGAGTCAAAATTAGAATACAAGAGACTATATTGTCTCTCAGCTATATAGTCAAGGCACACATATTGGGGAAATGGTTGTTTAAATAAGCATCTATTAGAAGAGAGGGCATTTGAGGGCAAAACAAGGGGAATGCAGCCTATTTCCAACTGCTGTGATAATTTCTGCATAAGAGATGTGAAGGTTGAGCTCTCTGGCAAATCATCCCAAGTGTCTGTGAGTTAAATTACTGCCATGCAGTCTGTTAGGCATGGGATGTTTCGTGTATCGCCTTGCATCAGTCCCACAAAATGTTGCACAACACAAATGCTTCTTGATGTGTCATTTCCTGCTTGGCCCGCAGCCCAGTTCCTGACAGGCAAGCATAAAAAAAATTAAAGAAGAGGTTTAAAGCTTGTGTATTCATAAGCACATTCCACAAGCCATCAGGCAGCGCCCCTCCCTGCAGTTTGGAGAAAATCATAAAGGAGACAGGGCAGCATGGAGAGAAGGAACTTCCTCAAAACCGCTACAATGGTACAACAGCAAAGAATTTGAATAATCTCAATCATTATGCAGTTTGGGGCATCCTGCTTGCTATTCATAGCACTCGTAAATGGGGAGTGTCTGCTCACACCCTTGACTGTATACCTCATTTTTTTTGGGGGGGGGACACTAAATACTCCCAACCCAAAGCAGCTGGAACTAGGAAAGGGCAACCCCCACTCATTTGCTTGGTGGTGGTGGGGAATTGTTGTGTCTGACTGGAACATCTAATGAGGCTTCCCCCCACTTCCCAGTGCCCCAAACCCCCCTTGGGGAAGGTGACCAGCATAATGTGTTTCCCCACCAAAGACTGGGGCTGCGTGTCTCAGAATCTCCTCAGCAGAGAGGCAGAACACTGGTTCCCTGTCAGTGATTCTGTGACAGGGAATCCAAGTCCCAGTCCTTGAAGGAAAGGATGCTCTGCCTGGCTGCCCCCTGATGCCTCTAACCTCTCCTTCACCAAGGTAAGTTTTTTGGCCCTTGGGAAGGGACAGGAAGAGCTGGCTGCTGATCAGAAGGGTTCAAACAGAATCAAGGGAGGCACAGGCTACTCACAGCCAGTTGTACTGGGCTTAATTCCTCTCTCAACAGGTGCTTGTGTGAACACCTCTGCTCAAATTCTCACAGCATCCGCAATGAAATGCTGAGACGCTGCTTGAGGTCACTTTGTTTTGAGCTGTCAGCAGAACTGTTACCTGGGTGTGAGTTTGGGGTGAACTGAACTGCTTTCCCTACAGTGACGGTGTGGAGGTGGAAGAATCAGACTGCACATGTGCCAGCCCTGCCCACAGGATTTCACATCCAGCTGGCCCCCTTGACACCCTGCTCAACAGCTTCAAGAAAAATGCAGCAAGCAAAACCAACCCCTGTATATGGTGTTTATTGACCTGACTAAGGCCTTCAACACTGTAATTTGCCCTGCCCTGTGGACTGTCCTTCTGAAAATCGGCTGCCCAGATAAATTTGTGAACACCCTTTGGCTCCTCCATTATAATATGAGGGCAACAATCGTGGATAACAATGGCTCTCAAAGTGAACCATTCATAGTGGGATCAGGCGTTAAACAGGGTTGTGTTATCACCCCAGCCCTATTCATTATCTTCATTGCCATGATCCTATTCCCAGCTTAAGAATGGAAAGTGAATACTGGTGGACAACAAAAGAGGCTTAAAGATGCACTCAAGGCAAATCATTTAAAAATGTAGTATAAGCACTGATAACTGGGAAACACTGGCCTGCGAGCGCTCCAACTGGAGAAGAGCCTTTAGCAAAGGCTTTGTGGACTTTGAAGAAGCACGAAGTCAGGATGAAAAGGAGAAACGTGCTAAGAGGAAGGCATGCTTGGCAAACCCTCACTGTGATCAACTCCCACCCAGAAACCTATGTCCCCACTGTGGAAGGATGTGTGGATCCAGAACTGTTAAGGCTGTGTTCATGGAAGACAATCTCACTCGGCTAAAAGTGAGGCCAGAGCCATGTGACCACTTATGAATGGTCTGCTGATTAGACTACTGGGTAGCACCTTTTCCACATTTCCCAGGATGTTGCTGTCCACTCCAGAATGATAATAAAACAACCTCCTCCCCAGAAAGCCGGCAGAGGAAATCTTTGGGATGATTCCAGTGATAGAAAAAAGGTGGGGAAGATACTCCTGTACCACCAAATAAAGGCTCAAATGGGGGCTGTCGGTTAATCAGAGCTCTATGAATGTAAGTGATGGTACATTTTTGCTGCGTTAACGCATTACATTTTAAGTGTTCACATAACATGTGTGTGTGTGATGGTTCAAATGGCCCTAATCCCACATTGGTAAATATACAGATAAAAGGTGTGAAATGGCAATTTATAAAGATCGATTTTTTAAAATCAAGTAGTCAAAACTTCAAGCAAGGTGAACTGGAGGTCTTCCCTTATAAAAGCTTAGCTAATCCATCCATGAGCATCCAGGACAAGGACTGCAGCTCCAATTTACCAATGAAAATCATGCAGCATTTGTTCTGTCAGCTCTCCTTGCCAAGAGAAGGTCAAAGTGCCTTTCCTATAAGGAAGCCTTACAAATCCAAGATCTCCAGCATGATGTCATGTCTTAAAATGATAAGCTGGCAGCCCAAGTAACTCACATTCTGTAAAGATGCACACAATGTTATGTTTATGTTACTTACGATGAAGGTTCTAATAAGTCATCGTCTGTGTTCCTTTAAAGAGGAGTTTTATAACTGAGATGAATCACAGCGGCAAAAGATCAAAGTTTAAAAACATCAATGATGCCATGGGGTATTTTTTAATCTTGTAATGAATGATGATCATGTGCTCTTATGAAGTTGGTCCAACTGCCAATGCCAGATGTGTATATTAAGAAGTTGTTTGTGATGTGACAGACTCTGGTTCAATTGCCAGAGAAAGGGAGAGCGAGAATGAGGAACATGGCAACGTGCTTCAGACGTCCTAGTGAAATAAATACAGGTCCCAGCAGAAAAGGGAACTGTCTGTTGATGTATCAACTTACTAAGAAAAAAAATATACAAGTATTATCAGAACTCCTCATTGGAGAGGCCCCACAGATTCCCCTCAGATGCCTCACCTTCTTTGTGCTACGCCAGTGCCAGCTGCACTAATTTACTGCAGTAACTAATTGCCGATTTACTAATCTAAATTGGTCCTGGAATTCTCAGGAGGAAATGAAATTTTAACACACTTCTGCACACAGGTAGGTAATTTGCAGAAGGTAAAAACATTTTGTGGAAAGTTGCATTTGCCCACCTTTTTGTACAAATGCTCACAGGTAGTGAAATGGAAACCACAATTTCAAGACATCCTCCACCAAGACTAATGGTACTTCAGAACTGTTGCTGTAATTTTTCCTAAAATATTAGGGCACACTGAACCCCTATTCAAATTCCTATATACTATTATAATCTCAAGGTGGAGCCCTAAAAATTCGTCTATACCAGCTCAATCAAATCAAACAATTATTGAGACACAAAGACAAAATTTGGTGAGATCTTTCTAGCCATACCAGCTTCTACTGGCTTTATTTTTTGAACAAATCTAGAAATTATAATAAACTAACCTAATCAAGTAGTTTTGACTACTTGATTTTTAATGCCATTTTAAAAAATCATTTTCACTGAGGATCCAAAATTTCTGCTTTGATTACTGAGAGTGGCAAGAACAGGGCATTTCTGAAATGTACCTAAGTGTTATGCCTATCAGGGTGGTTGCTCGAGAGCGGACAGGCAAGATCCCTCACTGGTCTTTTCAAAGGCTTTATTATTGGTGCAAAAACATTTACAATGCAGAACGCCTCTATTCCATGTCTTGCTCAGTCACTATCAGAATCTGAGAGTGGGCGATCCTTAAACTTTCCCCAGCAGAGTAGTCTCTTGACCCCCATCCGACGCCTCCCCTTTCTGTGCGAAAGCCTAGTGCGCAGGGCAGGCTTGGGTAAAGGGGGGCCTCCCCCCCCCCGCTTTGCTCAGCCATGGTGCCTTGGCTCTTTCTTGCATCCTCCGAGCCCTGCATCCCTTCCCCACCGGAGGCGGGGCTGCCCTCCTCCACTGAGGAAGTGCTGCTTCCCACGATCTTTGGAGGCTCTCTGTAATCCAGCTGCCCTTCCACTTCTCACCTCTGAGCCGATGGTAGTTCCCTGACAGTAAGTTAATCAAATTAAAGAATGTCCTTAGTTGGTTTAATCATAATATAAACAAAACAATATTGACAATTCACTGAGCTAAGTAGTCATAGCCCTGTTCCCATATTGTATTCTAAGGCTGCACATTTACCTTGGAGTGATTCCTTTACACTCATTGGGAGCGTACTTCAAGCATTTTTGGCCCCATCCTAAAGCAGCTAATACTAGTCAGGATACCCACATGTAGAACCATAAAACCATAGAATTGCAGAGTTCGAAGGGACCCCAAGGGCCATCTTGTCCAACCCCCTGCAATGCAAGTGCCTCAACACATAGTCCCCCATTCAATTTGAAACCAAACTAGACACTGCTTAACTTGACAAATGTGCTAGCGCCACCACTTATTCTGGACTTGGATCAGGACCAAGGAAAGGCTCTCTTACCACCACCTACTAGCAATAGTACAATCACATTTCACTTACAACAATTCATAGAGCCCAGTAGTCTTCACAAACTGTCATAAACTCTCCAACACTGAACCCCAGAGAGTGTTATCCTGGAGGGCAGGCCCCACAGACAAATCCTTGACTCATAGAATTGTGCCATAGGAAGGGACCACAAGAATCATCTGATCCAACCCCCTGCAATGCAGGAATCTGTTGCCCAATGTGGGACTCGAACCCATGTGCAATGAAGGGCCTGTATACCTTAAACAAGCCCACAGAACATGTTCAACCATTTCCTCCGCCCCAGAAACTTCACAACATTCAGTGTCAATCCTCCCAGCCCTGTACAATCCACTCCAAAAATTGCAATGCCCCATCAAAACGCTGAACTTACTAACCTCCCCTGCCTCTTTTTCAGTTTAAAAATCCAAAAATGATGGGCAAAAGGCATGGACGCCCAAATCAGTACAAATCAATACAAATCTGAGGTTCTGCCTTCTCCTAACAAAAGCCGGCCCCTCAACAAAATCCTGGCTACACCCATGACAAAAGGGAAACACCCTCCTACCTACAGAACCCATCTCCCACTGCCTTTGCCATTTAGCTATGTTTAAACCAGCTTTTTATCTTCTGAACAAGAGGAACCTCAGTTCTCATCAGCCACAGCCACCATGGCCCAATTTGGGTCAGGGATTATGGGAGGTGTAGCTCATCAACATCTGGAGGGCCACAGGTTAGGCCCTTCCATTTCGTGTTGATTTTGTCCACATCTTCCATTCATTTTATTTATTTATAGTTTAAAGTAATTGTTCTTTGCCACAAGCATTCCCACAGCTTAAAACGAAACAACACAATAAAGCTCTTCTCAATAGTACCATGCTAAAGTCTGCTATATGTTGCCATGGGAAAGGAAGCTCCGTTAATGCCCAGGACTGCTTCCCCTTCTCATTGATAAGACAGCCCTGCTGCCTGAGGAAAACAGTTCTGCAGAATCACCGCCACATCACAGGGGAACATTTTGAGAGCAGCTATCACTCAGAGCAAATAATACCATAAACAGGAAGCTGTCTTCCATCAAGTCATATTGTGTTTCACCAATAGCTGTAGATGAAGGTTCACTAACTTTGCACCTGAGGGCACCGTGACACCTGTGGAAGCCTTTACTGGCGCACCTGAACAGGGTCCCCAGGGTCTGAGCTAGCCCTCCTAGAAAGAAAGTTCTTCAGGAAAATGTGCAAGGTCCCTTCTAAGCAATTTATGTGAAATAGGCTAGTCTGGCTGCTGTTGCTGCCTGTCAATCTTTGTAGCCAATAGGAATACTTGAGGTCCTAAAGAGCTGGTGTTTCCCACCTTCCATTTAGTGCCCTTTCACCACTTCTGCGTCTCCCTTTTCCCCTAGCAACCAGGATGCATCTTTCCTATGGTAGGTTCATCTGAGACCAAGTAGTCTTTAGAAGTTATTCTTTTCCAAATAGCACCGAACAATCAGTGTGAGTGGATGTTAAAGAATCCCTCCCTCCCCCAAGGCAAACTTTGCAAAGTGTCTTAGGTATTTTGATGTTGTCGGCATCCATCTGTCTTGAGAGACAATGGAGTGCATCTCCAGTGGTGAAGCAAAACCGCTGCATTAGCAGCACCAAAGTGACCTCTCCTGGGGCGCAAGCCTGGGCAGTGTGTCTGGAGGGCCTGGGCTGCCCAGATGATAAAATCCCCCTCTCTGACTCACTAATGTTGTCCACAGGAAAGCAGAGCAATACAGTTGGTTCCAGCTTGACTGCCGGAGTTGCTGGAAAGAGGCGTACAAGGCACCATGCAACTGCCTTAGGGACTGTACTGCAGATTTGTGAAGGGTTTACTCCTTAGCCTCCTCTTCTCACCAAGACATCCTGCAAGGCAGCAGAGGTTTAGGACCAGAGTTTCCCTTCTCCTGCATGGGTTACATTCCCTGACTGACAACCCCCATTTCCCCCTCACTTCCGTCTACGGCATGTGCAGAAACTGCTTTATTGGTCTCATCTGCTCAGTCTGCCAGAGCCTGTATTCACATGCAGTAATTCAGTTATGGCAAAAGCTTCCCCATGACTGTATTCTCTTTGTGGGTCCCCAAGCCCCCATATGGCAGCCATGTTTTATTTTCATTCTAATCCTGCAAATCGTTTGTTAAGCGTTTGCATATTAATTAAATTATTTCCATTGATTCCTATGAGGATATTTCTATCGTGTTCTCGACCACAGAATTCTGACCTCCAAATGACAGACAAAAGCGAAACCCAGGGAAACCGTCTGAAACCCTGCAAAAGGCTGTTATCTTAATTGTCTTATCTCACCTCCTTCCCTGGCAACCTCAAACCAATAGAACACAAAAAGTAAGGTATGTTTAAGCCTGCTTATTTGTTTACACACAGATCCAGCTGTTTGGATATCTGAATCTGTGGTGTGTATAGCGAGACTTGGGTGCTAATTCCTTGTGTTTGGATAAGTGAATTTTCCTACAAGTGCTTGGATAATGGGACCTACGTGCACTAGCAAAATTTCATACATGAATGTACTTGCTACTGAAATGTTTGCTGCTTGCTAAGCATTCATATGTTGTGCTGATGGGCAAATTTAGGCACAAATCTGTTCCTTTTGCTGCGCTTAAATATTGTCTGCCTGTTTGGAAATTTCCTGTTTCAAAGGTATATCAGCACAGTGTTGCAGACTTCCAAACGGGAAGAACCAAATTAAATCCAGATGTAGAAACTTGTCAGTGTTTCACAAAGGACAAAATGCTTTCAAACTCACTAAGTGCTAGCAGTTGCAAATGAGAAAAGGGCCTTTTTCAAGAACAGCAAATTTAGCAAAGATGAATGAAAAAGACAGGAAGCTTCTCTGATACAAGGTGAAAACAGTCTTTGACATGCGCAGGCAAATTCCATATAGTTCAAGAACAGAAGGGACCCCAATATTTCTCCATTGTTAATCAGAGGGAAACATGAAGAAGGCGGCGGTGGGTGTAACACTGAAACAACTGAATTTGCACTCCTGTCAAGGTTTCATCAGCAATTACTCATCAAATGCAAATAAATGACTAAGATGCTTCCATCAGAAGCATTTATCTGATTTTAATGTGATTACTCTTCAAATAATCATTAATTTCTTAATACGATTAACTGTTAGTATCCTTCCATAATTCCAGTCCGGGACAAATATTAGGGCCAAACATCCTTGCCTTGCCCGGCTCCACGGCAGTCCCCCTTTCCCTTTCTGCATTGCCTTGGAACTTCAGTCCCAGGTTATGTTAAACCAGAGCTCCTAATTTTATCTGAACCAAGGAAGTCTGCCTTAATGACAGTTAGCAACCAGAATAATAAGCCTGGCTTCTCGTTCTGGTTAGTTAACTGAGATTCACCTGGATGCCTGAAGGATCCTGTTCCTCATTCCCACTGTCTCATTCTTTGGCAGCTGAACCAGGGCTGGTTGCATCGCAAATGACTTCTTCATTTTACACATAGCAGCCCACCTCATTGTTTTCTTTCTTCAGCTGGGATTAAGCTATCATTCCCAAATTCAGATGTAATGGGAGACTCTGGCTTAATACACTCTGACGAAGTCCGCTCATGACAGCGGGCAGTTGTGGTGGGGAGCAAATTAGGAGTACTTGGTTCCCAGCACTCATTCTTGGTGCCATAAACCTCAGCTGTATAAAGCCAGGAAAGATCATCTGAGTGCAGACAATTCCTAAGCATCAATTAAAGGTTGCTAGTTCAGTCCTATTACAGTATATTGCCATGTTCTTTATTCCCAAGGGCTCTAGCATGATTCCATTGTTAAAGCTAGATTCTGTACTAAGAAAATCTAATTATACATGACATAATTAAGTAGTAAAAGAGTAAAAATAATTGCCTGTAATAGGGGGAAATGTATTCAGAAGCATACAATGATGTTCGTGCCACGTTCCACATATCTGAATGCTTTTTCCTTTACAAAACAGTGAGCATATTTGCTCAGGTTCTGGAAAATGGCATCTGAAGGTGCATCTAAGTAATTACAATCACATTAACACAACCCTATAAAGACTTAATCTCGAACAATTCACACCTCATTAATGAGATGCAAAGTAAAAACCCTTGCTTCCTGGTCTTACTGAATTAAGCAGGGGATGAGATCTGCCTGACCTTCAGTGCCAGTCCTTCTAGGCCAGGGGTCAGCAACCTTTTTCAGCTGGGGGCCGGTCCACCATCCCTCAGATCATGTGGGGGGCCGGACTATATTTTTTTTTGGGAGGGGATGACTGAATTCCTATGCCCCACAAATAACCCAGAGATGCATTTTAAATAAAAGGACACATTCTACTCATGTAAAAACACCAGGCAGGCCCCACAAATAACCCAGAGATGTGTTTTAAATAAAAGGACACATTCTACTCATGTAAAAACATGCTGATTCTCGGACTGTCTGCGGGCCGGATAGAGAAGGCGATTGGGCCGCATCCGGCCCCTGGGCCTTAGGTTGCCTACCACTGTTCTAGGCCACAGGGACATTATCACAAAAGGGCTCAGGCGACTGAAGTCTTGGGTTCTCAAAATATTGGACTGTTTATTGAATACCCTCTTCACTTGCCTTACAACAGACTATGGGAACCTAGTACACACACACACACACACACACACACACACACCCCTCAGCATTTTGCAAAGCAGTGTCCACACAGTATGGGCAAATTTTAACCAAGTTAGGAAAACCACTAACAAAGGGAAAGTGGGCATGGATAAAATTGGCCAGAACCGTGTGGATGTCACTTCACCCAAACAGCAAACTAGTGAGGACACAGCCTGAATTCCAGGAGGAAAACACATTGCTTGGATGATGCAAGAATTCAGTCTGAGCACCATGAGCTTCCAATGAAGTCCTCTGAAGTCCCATTACTGGAATGGCCACCTGTGCTCTAAACTTGGAACAATTCGCCTAAATCACAGCGAGGTCTCCACAAGAGAGAGAACCGGGCTTGGAATAGGAGATGAAGAAATAGTATCCTACACTGAAGGTGATGGCAGCCATTTACTTCCACAAATGAAGAGCACCAGACTCCAGATCACAAGCAGAGAACAGTGTACTTACTCCTTGGTTCTCTGGGTCCATCCACTGTCACCTTGATAGCTCTGTGGTACGTAGCCACTTGGGGGGGATTTGTGAGGACTGTTATTGTCAAGGTAAAACTCTTCCCTGTAAGGAACAGTGAAAACAAGGGGAAGGGGAAAGGAAAAGAATGAGTATAAAAATATGGTTGCTTGAGAAACCATCTACAGCACTCAGAATCCCAATCAACAGAAGATGGCCTGGTGGGATTGAGCCACTTACCTGGCCTTCTGGCAGCGGTGCTAGGAGTACTGAAGTTGAGGCAGTGGGAAAGCACCAGCGAAGCCAATTGCGCACTCCTTTTCATGCAGCTGCACCACCTTGCCCCTCTGCCTCCCCCTAAGCAGCAGTGATGCTCTTGCCAGGAGGTCAAGTAGGTGCCTCTGTCCCGTCAAGCTGGCTGCTACTGAACCCAATTATCATCAAACTCGAAGCCCCAGTGGAACAAGGAAACATTATGCTGCTGTGGTTTCACTCTAACGTTTGGAACTCATTTTTTTTAATTGAAATATCAGATGGTGAAATAATAGTGGAGAAATTATTACAGGCTTCTTCTTCTTTTTTGCAGTGAATGTCAATCAGCAGGCTTTATGCCCATTACTGCTTTCAGGCAGTAATGTCCAGACAGCAGCATTCAGCAACATAATACACAACTAGCATAAGAGGAGCTTAGCAGAGAAAGGCAGGTGTGGGTCTCCTCTGAGACACATGCCTGGGATGAGTCTTAAGTCACCTACTAGTCCAGCAGCGGCTCTGCCGACTATGGTACCCAAGGTAGGCGAGCCCTACCCCAGACCCTCCAAGTGTCCCTATTTTCCAGGGACAGTCCCAGATTTACAGAAGCTGTCCCGCTTTTCCTTAGGACGTCCCTATTTTCATCCGAGGAATTTTGGAGGACATGCTAGCCCTCATACTCCCAGAGGAGAGGACTGCTGAAACTAGAGTCCTCTGGGTGTTTCCCAGGAATGTTTTTGCTCACGTAACAGGGCCTCTGACAAAGATAAGCCAGGAATATAAACAGGAACACTTCAGAAATGGGACAAACATCATTTCTTTTACATAGAGCATGGTATACAAGGTGCGTTCCACACTGTTCTGCAAAATAACATAAGCAACTAGCGGGCCCCTGCCCCAAGAAGCTAACAATAGAGAAAAGGTTTGTCCCAGCCTGAACAAGACCAGGAAGAGGAGCTCCATGGGGGAAACCCCAGTGGGAAAGAAATAGAAAAGAGATGTCTCCTAATGAAGCAGAAAGGTGCCATGTGATGTTTGGTGGTGCCTGATCATGGCACTAAAATTGCAAACCACAAGGCAAGAAAGAGCTTTTTTCTCAGTATGGAAGGTGGTTGACAGACTCCAGGAACACCAAAGGCAGCCCCTCCTCATTTTTATAATTCAATCCAAGTGTGGGGATCGAGCAAGCAGGCGGGAGGGGGGCTGCAGGCAAGGAAGCTGCTCAACAGTTGGGCAGCCAAGGCTCTCTTTTCACCAGTGGCTCTGCTTTTAAGAGGAACAAGCATTGCTTGGGGTTCTTATGCAGAGGGGCTGAGGAACACTAAACATTACCATATTTCTTCCCACAAGTCCTGCCTTACGTCTTTCTGAACGGGGAACAAGGCATGTGATTCAGTGTAGTAAGGTCATGGCCAGCGCTGATTGAACTGCAATAACTTACTCTGAGCAGAATGCCAAGTTCCACGCAAGCATTTACACCAGTGTAAAACTCTTGAGTAGAATTACTGTTCACTGCACTGTGCAGCTGAAATGAATTTTATGTTATTTTACATCACATTGTTTCATTATTTAATTTGTCCATTACAATATGTGAAAAGAATAAATATTGCTCCCGGGAGCCATCAAACAGGGAGCTAGTGTCTCCTGCTTTTAATATGCCTGTAGTCATAATATGATATCATCATTACTGGAACAATCTATAGAACTCTTCTTTCTTTCTTTCTTTCTTTCTTTCTTTCTTTCTTTCTTTCCTAAATACCTATCCAGTGTGAAGTTGCTTTGCATGTATAAAATGTGATCTATTTCACAACTGCAAGGTAGCATGCAATGCAGTGCAACCTTGCAACTGTTAAAAAGACAAAACTATATAGAAAGGGAGAAAGAAAAGGGGACAGGATCTGAATGCACCTTCAGTCATGCAAGACTGTGGTCTCTGTTCTGCAGTCACTGCTCTAATCACTTAGATATGCAACTGTTAATCATTTCAGATAGTCAAAACTGCAAACTGTTTCAAGACAGGAAAAGGTGGGCGTGCAACAGTGACTCAATAAAGCCGTCAGCAATCTCATGCCTATGGCTCATTTAGGCTTGACTCTTTTTACCAGAATCTTAAAAAGGTCTTTTTCTCTTTAAACGCTCACTCTTTTCCTCCCCCCTCCCATCCTGCCTTGTCTCTGCCTTGTCAGCATTAAATCAAAACCCAACTCTTAAACAATATGTAGCAGCACAAAACTTAATAGAGTCTTTTCAAAGTCTAATACAAAGCAAGCGCGCAGATGCGTGTCTGTGTGTTCATTTCGTATTAGGGTACATAAATAAAACAGAACAGGTCTGTTGCTGTCAACTCTAGTAAGCAAGCTTTCCTCTACAATCCACCTCTCTAAACTTGCTTCAGACCTACAGCATTCGTTAACAGGCATGTGCTTCAGAACATCTTGGACATATATACATAGAGAGGAGAGAGAGAATGAATATGACTGTAAATCTTTCAAGGGAATGAAATATTTCTATCCCAGTACTAGGACACAGCATTTTCAGGAAAATCTGTGATTTAGAACACAAATAATGGTTATTTCGCTCATTACAGAAATGGAACACTTACGCAGAAGTGACCTATCACTAAGCGACACCCTCTGAGAAGTATGCAGCTGGAGGAGAAACAGTTATTGTTTTAATCTTAACTATTCCGTTTTTCAACAGATCAGCCTTTGGGCATGGCTAACCTTATTGTTGACCACTGGTTTGTGATTGATGTTATTTTGGTGTTTTATTTAATTCCTTATTTTAAATTTTCATCTTCCAACAACACCACTCTTCCACACGCCAGAGGCAAGCAAGTCTTTGATCCTGGCTAGTAAGAACAACCCCTGCTGTCCAGAGGTAGGTTCATTGCTACCACTAAATCAGGATGCCAGCAAAACCCTCAGTGGGTTTTTAGGAGAGTAAACTAAGCTGCCAGACCAGCCTCTCCCGCCAAGTTCTTTTCCTTGCCACCAGCCCTGCCATTATCCCCCATCCCCCTATTTTTTTACAGGAGAATCAAGGATGCCGTTTTAAAATTCCTTCCTTGCGTGTGTTGCCTCCACCTACGCCTCCTTATGCCCAAGAAGAGAAAAGGGAAGCTCCCATCACCTTGTTCCAACCACTTTTTCGATCCTGGCTAGCCAGAACTGATTTAAAACAAACAATATTTTTGTCAAAAATTGCTGTACAAGGCTTGGAAAAAGACAGGCGTTCGTATAACTGGGGTGGGGGTTGAGGGGACTGATCCTGCCCAAAACATTTTAAAAACAATGCTGCATTCTCTGTATCCTAGTGTAACTGAAAGCTCCCTGCACCATCTTAAATGTTGATCTTCTTATTCTGATATTGTACTCAAAAGACAAGTAATGAAAAGTGGGAATATACTTTAGCTGGACATCTTTTTTAAAAGACTGCTAATAAATTTGGCTTGGAATTCAGGAACCTGGCTTTGCTCACATAAATGAAAGAGTGTTGGGGTTAAAAAAAGAGAAGTGATGGGTCTAAAATGCAAAAATACCTCTAGCAAAGGCTTAAATATAAAATATTAAGATGCTTGGTGTGTTTTGATACATTCTACATAATCAAAATAAATATCAGTATACACATTTACCAACTGTATTTCTCGTTATGTCAGAGAAAACACTGTGTTTTATGAGGATCTATAGTCATGCAGAAGATAAAAGTCATGATCCAGCCCAAAGCTAAGCACTTTTTAGTCCCATTGGAGTCACTAAAGGCACAATCCTAGCCCCACTTACTTGGAAGTAAGCACCATTGACTTCAATGGGACTCACCTCTGAGTAGACTTAGATTGCATCATAAAGCATTTGCTGAAATCTCTCACAGTAAAATCACTGTGACTTTAAAAATGCCTGACTTTTGCTAGATCCTGACCAGATTCTCTCCCCACCAGCTCCTTCCCACATTCTTTTTACTGGTTCCTCTGTGGCCTTGAAATTTACTTCTGGTAGCTAATTACTAATTTTAGTGTTCTTTTTATGAACCTCGCTGGCTCAGAAGTCATCTGGCACCGCTCCTTTAGTGCACCCCCATACTGGGCATTCTTTGTCATTAACACATCTGGGTGTAGTTGAACCTCCCTGCTGAAGAGAGAAACTACCCTACAAGCACACAGGGCAGATTCTGCAGTCAGATGCTGTTGCAATTAATTTACAGACCAAATATCTTAATCATAAGTATTTGCACCGATATGTGTGTCCACAAGTCAGGCAGTAACTCTACAAAGATGGTAGAATGTCTTGCTGGTTGCAGCATTAAACACTCCAATCTTAACCACTTATCTACCAGTGCAGTACAAGGAAGTTAAGTAATTACATCCACTGAGCCACAATTCCCCCTCCACAAAGACTCCTGGAAACTGAAGCTGATAAAGCTGAGAATTCTCTGTTAAAGGTTCCTTGCCCCTCTAAGAGTGCTACAGTTTCCTGAGGGGAGGAAATTACTACAAAGATAACATATATTATATGCCATACAGCAGAGCTGGGAGACTATGACCCCTCAGCTGTCTTTGGACTCCAGCTGCCAACACCACAGACTCTGGCCACGCTCTTTGGGGGTGACCAGGAGGTGGCGTCCCACAGCACCTGAAGGACCACAGTTTCCCCACCCCTGCTCTGCAGGAAATCAAGGAGGATCTCCTTCTTGACTCTGAACAATATTGGGATATCTTCTAATGAATGGCCTGCTGTGTTATAAAACATCCTAGGAGGTAAAGTGTCTGTGGGCAGTAAGGCTGGGAGACCATTGTATAGACCTTCCTGACTACAGCCAGCAGCGTTTGAAATGAATCATAGAGTTGGAAGGGACCCAAGGGCCATCTAGTCCAACCCCCTGCAATGCAAGAATCTCAGCTAAAGCATCCATGACAGGTGGCAATCCAACCTCTGCTTAAAAACATCCAAGGAAGGAGAGTCCACAACCTCCCAAGGGAGACTGTTCCACTGTCTAACAGCTCTTACTGTCAGAAAGTTCTTCCTGATGTTTAGTCAGGAACTTTCTTGTAACTTGAAGCCATGGGTTCGAGTCCTACCCTCCAGAGCAGGAGAAAACAAGCTTGCTCCCTTTCCCATGTGACAGCCCTTCAGATATTTGAAGAGGCCGATCATATAGCCACTCAGTCTCCTCTTTTCCAGGCTAAACAGACCCAGCTCCTTAAACCGTTCCATATAAGGCATGGTTCGATCGAAGTGGCAATTTGCAACTCACCACTGCTCCTGGACTGAGTCACCTGGTAAAAAGATGAGCGGCACATGCAATCTGCCTCTCCCCATCCCTACCCACTTTCTTTCACTCCTTGCCTCCACTGCAGCATCCAGGGGGCCACATCAAGCGGCTGAGACAAAGATGTAGTGGCAACAGGAAGCTGGAGTAGGGAACAGTTGGGCAGACCTCCCTAACTAGATAATGAAGCTGAAAGAGTCTGTGGACGGGAGTCTTTGGGGCTGCCCAAAGGCTGCAGAACGCACTACCCTTGGATGCTTGCATGTGCCTGGTCCTTTTCTGGAAGTATTGCAAAGCTTTCGAGTTAGTCTGATCTTTGGTTGCCAGGGCAGTGTTTTCAACTGCGCGTGAAGTTCTAGCTCATGTTTTATTTTGCCTTATTTTCATATTATGCATGTGTTTCATATGGTTACCTGCCCTGTTCCAATAAATAGAAACGTCTACTTAGCCCAGAACATTCTTGCTATGTTTATAGCACATGAGCTCCTGTTTACTACTACTGTTTCCTTTCCTTCTATTTTAAGCAGTGCTATAAAAATCCATCATTAATGATAACTTTTTCTTTCGTGCTCTCTGCTCTGTGTCTGAGAGACAAGTCTGGACCAATTTCTCCATCATGCCTCTGGCAGCAGAATGGAGCTAGCATTTCAGATCCTCTACCAAATCCCGGCTGCTTCAAAGGAAAAACCCTACTTTCTTCCGTTAAGATCATAAGAAATATAGGAGGAGGGGGTCAGCTCTGTTTGGACATAATTACACTTCATCAAAAGAAGCTTTCTTCATCTTCCATGCGTGAAAAGTCTGCAAGCAGTTAAGTCTGTCTCTCCCCCCCCCCCTTCTTTCTTTCTTTTTTTAATATAAAAATTGCTATTTGGGAAAGTAGCCAAAACTTGGAAAGCCAATATAGTAAAACTTTGCACATACCCTTTGTTATCCTTTGAAGTTTCTTAAATAAATATGTTGAGAGTTTGTAAAATACACTATCACTTTTCGTAAATTTTACTCATTGATCACAGAAAGCTTCTCATCCATGGGAGGTAAGAGTGAGGGAGACTCACTGTGATTTTTTTATATACTCACTTCATTTCCTACTGTTTAATAAATGTATATCATAGGTTTCAAATGAGTTTTGGAGCAGACAAGGGCTACATCAGATTTCTGTTCTTTTCCAGCACCAGTCTTGTGCTGTAACTACTGTACTCCTGTTGCAGGCTATCTTGAAATAGATGCCAAAAAACCTTCAAACTCAATCAACCAACATAAAGACAAAACAGAATTTTAAAACAATACATTAAAATAAGAAAGGGAATAAATATTTTTTATCAAATTATCTGTGCAATAGAAGTGTTCTTTATTATATAGCATTGAAATAGATTTAAAAGATTACATGATTGGCCACATTCCTAAAATAAAAACCATTCACTGGGAACAGCCCTTGCTAAATAACTTTTACCAATTTATTTTTAAAAAAAATTATTTATTGAATTTATATACCGCCCTATACCCTCAGGTCTCAGGGTGGTTCACAAATGGTTAAGATAGTAACAATGACCCCTCTGATTGGCCAGAACCGTGATTCTGGCTCCTCTCACAGATTTGCATTTATGTTAATTACATGCCTCAGAAAAGCCTGGTTCCTATTTTTGCACAACTTGTTTTGTTTTTAAATGTGGTTCTATAGGGCACCACAGAGCGAGTGCTGGGCCAAGGTGGCCAAAGGACCCCAACCCCTGGGCTGGAGCAGTAGCCTTGCCTGGCTAGAGGGAAGGGAAGGGTCAGTCTTTGCCCAGCCAGGTCAATTTTGCATGCACTCATTTGCAAGTCAGATCCAATCCATTGCAGCACCAGTATATGTGGACTTCTCCACTTATCTAAGTATTTAAAAATTTAATGCTTATTTCATCTCAATGAATGTATTTCTAAACATAGCTTATCCTAAAATATTCATTCTTTACGCATTTTGGTATACTTTTGAGCCAAGAACTATATCACAAAATTAGGAGGAATTCACAATCCAAAGAATACTACATATGTTCTATAATTCTATGATTCTATGTTCTGATCTGTGTATTAATTTGGGAGGTGAAAATGAAGCTCATTTGCTTTTTTAAAAAAATCATCCTTCACTGCTGCTTTAAGGAAGGCACAAGAATACCACATGGTGCCATCTCCCAGCGTAAAAATCAGAACGAGTCTGCTGTCAAACCCTTCTTTCCCAGGCTGAGACTTCTTGGGTAACAGCAGAACAAGCAAGAATCCAAGTCTGGAAAAAGGTTTTTCGGTTTTTCCTGCCTGAGAGAGGAATGGGATGGAGCAATCCCGCTCTGCCCGGCTAGCATCACATCAGGATGCCAAAGATTTATTGCGGTGTAAGTTGTTGCTTGTGCTACAACTGACAAAATATTGAACAAATTAATATATTTTGACTTACTTAAACCTCATATAGCTAGCAAACTCATTTTGCTTTGGGGATTTCTGTATTTTTAAAAAATGTAAATCAGCATTGTTTCAAACATCTATTTAGTCACTAATTTCAATTTTGAAGCAGTTACAGGGATTTTCAGTGGAAATTCTCTTCAGTCTTTCTATTGCTATAAAAAGTTTTTACGACTGGAGACTAAATTTCATATTACAGAGAGATCTTTAAAGGGCAGAGGAAACTTCAGAGCTGAATCTTCTGGGAACTAGAAAGTCATATTCATTTCCATTCTAAAGTAAACAATACTTGATTCTCACTAATTTAGCAACTGTACTATGTATGGAACCTGATCCAATGTTTATTGAAACCTACAACAGCTTTTCAGTCTCAGTAAGCACTGGATCAGACAGACCCAATGCTAAATAAAAATAACATAATTTTAGAGATAAGCAAAATCTCCCCACCTCAGTTTGGAATGGGCTTGGAGGAAACGCATGCATTTTTCTGAGAGGTGACCTAAAATTTCAGAAAATTTGGGACATTCCATTCTTCGACCACAGGAGCCAACTCCTAGGGGCCAAGGACGCTTTGCCATACAATATTTGAGGAGTCAAGCAGCCCCCAAAGTTGATGGACATTGCCATTTAAATGGGGTGTGTGCTGCACACCTTGTGGTCGACTATGTGGGGCAGGGCTTACCTGGGCCTCCCCAATATTTTATTCAAGTTGGCACCCTTGTCTTCAACTGTCCTTTTGTAGCTGAACATCCCCCATTTCCTGGTCTTGGAAAATCACTATCTCTAATTTTAGCTTTTGGAGTTGCCTTGTTTTTTGGTTTTTTGTTAATATGTATAGTTGCTATTCAAAGTTCAGCCCCCTTCCCAGGTCCCTAGCAATTAAATCTCTCAGAAGGGAGAGATGCATCTTGCTTTTAGGCACACATACAAGACAATGCACACTCTTCAATACAACAACACACAGCACACAGCCTGCTGTTTCATACACAGTGGCTGCTGACGTTAGAGGTTTCAGCATCATGTCATGGTGATAGGTGATGTCTCTGGAATGAGAACAATTGTGTCCCTATTTTTGTCTGTAGGGTGCTGTTTAGGATGCCACCCCATCAGCATGTCCAGCTTTCCATGCAGGTGCTCTCCCTCTCTGACAGGTGCCCCTTCTCCCTTCCTTTGGCCTAAAACTTCCATTTCTAGCAATGGAGTAGAGAGAGCACAGCGAAGAGAGCTGTTACCTGGCTCTTTATTAGGCATGAAAGCATTGCCAGCAGGAGGTTCCCTGGGAATTGTAGTTTATCTGTGCTTCTGGACCTTTCGCAAAGGAGCTCAAAGTCACAGCAAATTGTATTTCCCAAGTCTCTTTATGCTGGGAACCTTTTGCTGGCAAGGCTTTGGGGCAGGCCTCCCCATCACTGCTGCTGGAAGACATATTGTAGAGAAAGAAGAAAGGGTGGGAATGGCCCAGGCTTATTTACAGGTGAAATTAAAATTCAAGGGGATTTTGGTTTGGATTGCTAAAGCCTTGTTGTTTTTTAACTAGGGGGCTTCATTTACAAACATCCAACCTAATCCTGAAACTAGGCAACATCATATTAAAATGCTTCCTGCAAGAGCCTGGGCAGCTGCTTCCCTATAAAGACTAGAATCTCAGAATCCTTTGATGCTTCCTTGAGAGAGAACTCAGGTAAATATGCTGAGGACTTGGCTGCAGCTAAGATGATACATATTCTTTTTCTCAATACCATTAACTTTAAAGTGAACTTCATTTGCCTCTATTCCACAACAGAAATTCCTTCATGCTTCTGTAAAGGTAAAGGTAAAGGGACCCCTGACCATTAGGTCCAGTCGTGACCAACTCTGGAGTTGTGGCGCTCATCTCGCTTTATTGGCCGAGGGAGCCGGCGTACAGCTTCCGGGTTATGTGGCCAGCATGACTAAGCCGCTTCTGGGGAACCAGAGCAGCGCACGGAAACGCCGTTTACCTTCCCGTCGAAGTGCTGCCTGTTTATCTACTTGCACTTTGATGTGCTTTCGAACTGCTAGGTTGGCAGGAGCTGGGACCGAGCAACGGGAGCTCACCCCGTCGCAGGGATTTGAACCGCCGACCTTCGGATCAGCAAGTCCTAGGCTCTGTGGTTTAACCCACAGTGCCACCCGTGTCTCTTCATGCTTCTGTACTACCACCCATTTGTTGGTACCAATAAAATTAGAACTATTTTGAAATATTTCTTTCCAAAATTCAGATATCATAAAAACAAGTAGTTTGGGTGGGGCATGTGTGCTTTGTACCCTAGAATGGCAACGTAGTCTGAATAAATACAGAATTTTGCAAACCAGCATTTATCTTACAAATGAAAGGCTGAGCATGATTTGTTTATAAAATAATCAGTATTTTTGTGTGGAAACATTTTCAAATTGGGGCTTTATATTTGTTGATAGAATAAATGCATAATAATAAAATGATGTACCTCTTCCGCTTCTGCCAACGAATCTCAGGTCATTAAAGCGTGCCACTTGATTCTTCATTACGGCAGACGCATTCCTCAGCTCTGCAGAATAATTTTCATCATTCCCAGCCATGACTGTGACCACTGTGCCATCAGGGACTTCTCCTAAAGCCACCACCTATGGCGATAAAGACACAATAGAGTTATGTGGCTTCAATCTCAAACCCACCTATGAATTTTGAGATGAATTGGGACATGCAAATCGTGCAAAGAGTAATCACAAATACCAGCGTTATCTCTCACTGTGGTGTGTGAGCCCCCCTTCCTTGTGCTGAGGGTCAATGTCTATAGTGGGAAGCAAGCTCTATACATGTAGACTCCCTTCAACATGTGGAATCTGGCATCCACATCAAGGTGGAGGAAGCCCACATGCGTCCTGCACTCCCAATTACAGATCCCTCCAATGCATGGATGGTCAGAAACAGGGCCAACAGAGTTGCCTTGGCGGCAGCAGGAGCAACCTGGAAAAGTTCTAGAACAGATAATTAACCAGTCCATCCATGTGCATGGGGGGGGGGGCACTGATCACTAAGAACCAGCATGTCATGCCAGATCGACCTGTTTGCCTTCCTTTGACAGAGTTATTAGCCTTCAGGGAAATGCTCTAGACATTTTAACTTCAGTAAGGCTTTCAGCAAGGTCCACAATGGTAGTCTTGATGACAAGCTGGTAAAATATGGACCATTCATAAGTGCATTCTTAGCTGGTTGGCAAACTATTCCAGGTATGTTAGCCACTGGTTCACATCAACCAGGAGAGAAGTAACAGGTGAGGTGCCACAGACCTGTCCCAGACCTGGTAATGGTAAGCATCTTTATAAATAATTTGGATGATGGAATGGAGGGGATGCTAATCAAATTTTCAGATGACACCATGCGCAGGATAGCAAATATATCGGAAGAAAGAAGAAACAGGACCCAAAAGGATTTTGACATGATTTTGAATTGGGCCAGAGCAAAATGAATTTCAACAGATATAAATGAAAAGCTCTGCATTTAGGCAGGAAGATTCAGATCCAAAAATAGAATGGGTGACTCCTGGCTCAAAAGCAGTGCATGTGAAAAAGATCTGGGGCTTTTAGTAGACCACAAGCTAAACATGAGTCAGCAGTGCAATGCAGCAGCAAAAAGGTGCAATGCACTTCTAAGCTGCATCAACAGAGACCCAGTGTACAAATGGCAGAAAGCGAGGATGCCACTTCATTCTCCTTTGGTCAGACTTCAACAAGAACACTGTGTCCAGTTTAAGAAAGGACATTGACAGACTGGAATGTGCCCAAAGTAAGGCAACCAAGGTGGGAAGGGCCCTAGAAAATAAGTCCTATGCGGAAAGGTTTAAGAAGTTTGGTATCTTCAGTCTGGAGAAAAGATTATTAAGAGGCAATTGAAATAGCCATATTCAAATCTTTGAAATGCTAGCACTTAGACAATGAGCCACTTTTAATTTCCAGTGCTTATGAGACAAGGACTTCAAGAGACAAGGACCAGTTAATGGGTTCAAATGACGTGGTGGGGATAGTTGTAGCTTTAAGAAATATGATTTATTCACTCATTTACACTTGAGTTTACGTGGAGTCCAAATCTTGCAACACGGTCATCTCATGAGGGGCTTTCCCCCCACAGCAGTGCTGCACTCAAGGCCAAGGCAACTCTCCTAACCCTGCTGTTCCTATAAATTAAGCCTCTTTTATTCATTTGCCTTCTAATGGTCAGTTCTTTTGACGCTCTTCACATGCTAAACGCTGATGCTCAGAAGGAGGTCCACACATTCCCATACACATGGATCTTGATTACATTCTCAGGAGTCTGGCACACAGTCTGTACACATAAACACTAATTAAACAACTCAGACCTGTTACATAATCTCCTTCTAATACGCATTGAGATTGTCTTACAACATATCCCAGTTATAACATACAAGTTCTAATTAAATCCTAATATTTACTAAACCTAAACATTTAGCACCATTGATCTATTACAATATATTCAATTTTAGATAGACATCAAGAGTGAGCCAGCAGTAAATCACACTGTTTAGTAGCAGAAGCACGATCTTCACAGACTTGGCTGAGTGTCAGGCCTAATGAGCACAGCAGCTCATCCCCAGCAGGTCTGACCCCATGAATCAGTTGCTGAGACTGAAAGTCCCCACCTCCCCACAACTGTCTAAGTCCCCTCCTCTGCAGGGCCTTTTCCAAGCAATCAGAAACTATGTCTGTGTGCAGCCTACCTCTCCTCCACCCATTTCAGCCCTCTTCTAGTTCTGGGAGACAAGAGGGGAGGGGAGCTGGTTGCAGCAGGAGGGGGAGACACCTGTGACTCTTCATCTGGCCTGATTCATCTCTGCCTCTTGGCCTCCCTCCTCCAACCCACCTGCTTCAGCTTCAGCCTCTGATTCTGGACTTTTCTCCGCCACAGACTCTCCCAGCTCACTAAACCCGTTACTTCTTCAGCTTCCAACACCTCCTCCCAATCTTCTCTCTCTTCCACCTCAGACCACTCATCAACATCCTACCACCCAGGCTCTTAGCCTTCTTCCTTTGGTGGGTCCCAAGCTGGTTCCTCCCACCATTCCTCTGCATCCAACAAGTCCATGACAATACTCTTATCACATGATTAAATATTTTTGATCTCCAATGAATACTTTTTAACACTCTAGAAATATGCAGATTCCCCCATCCCTAGTAGCTGATTAAAAGCAGACTACAGTATCATTGCAAAGTGCACTGAGAAGCAAAAACCCAGATGACTCCAGTAGTGAATATTAACCTATAAATGTATCTGGAGGTGAATTTGTTTTCAATTCTGCTTTGAGTTCAATTTATTCATGCCCGTGTCTGTGTTTTAGCCACACCACACACCTCTGAGAATCCATGATTCCAAGGCAAAACTCACATTGGCATAAATGGATTCAATATTAAATATCCTAGAATCAACTCAGTTGAGGCAAAAAATAATTAACGTGAAAGAAATCCACATTCGGCATAGAGGGAATCAGTGCGCCTGTATCAACCAACATGTCAAATCAGTCATTAGTCTGAATGTTTATTTGCCAGAATAGAAACTGAAGACACAATCCGCTTACAGCTTCTCTTTACACTGGAGTTTGTTATTTAATTATTAAATTTATATATTGCCTTCCTCCCAAAGGAGTCCAGGACAGCAATTTCCTAACTGTGGCCCAGTGTGCTTGTTGAGTTATCATCAGCATTTAACTCTTATAGTCTGTTTCAGAACTTCAGAGGAGAATGCTCCAAATGGCAGCATCTATGAACAAGGAGGAGGAGCCTGCTGACTCGGAGGAAACGCATAGGTCTGCTGCATTACAAAAAAGATTTGGGAGGGGAAATCCTAAGGAGGGACCCCCCAAACAGGCTAATGGGATCTGAGCCTGCTCAGTGGGCAGGGAATGCCAATTGATTCTTGGGGGGAGGGCTGAAAAATGGGGTAGATGGAATGGCACATCCTGGGAAAGGGTCTGGCTGAACGAGAGTCTTCCATACCACAACGTTCTGCCGCAGGTCTTGATTGTGCACATTCGAATGTTTATGTAATTGTTCGGATTATTTTATGTAATTAAAATTATTTCCAGATTATTTTAATTGTTGCCTTGCTTTTATGTAATAAATTGAAGAAGTTTTTGTAACATATATTATGGAACTTATTTCTGTTTTTTCTTGTTCTTTTATCATTTTATATTGTTACAGGAAATTTGAGAGATGCATCCAGTGCTGGCATGAACAGAAGGAAGCCTTAAGCAAGGAAATTCACCATCTCCTACGCCCTAGAACATGTTCTGGAAGGGGCTGCCCTCCCCTTAAAGGAGCAGCTGCACAGCTTGGGGAACTTTGGGATCCATTTCTGTCACTGGAGCCATAAGGAGACTCAGTGGCACAGACTGCTTTGCATCAGCTTTGGCTGGTGGCCCAGCTGCAACCCCATCTCAACAGTGAGAGTCCAGCTTCTTTTCTGTTCTCCGGTAACCTGTAGGTTAGATTACTGCAATGCATTATACATGGGGCTGCGTCTGAAGACAATTCGGAAACTACAGCGAGTGCAGAATTCAGCAGCCAGGTTATTGACTGGGACCAGAGGGTCTGTGCATGCTATACAGATTCTGGCCTCACTGCACTGGCTACTAATCAGTTTCCAGGCTCAATTCAAAGTCCTGGTTTGGTCCTATAAAGCTTTATGTGTGCATGTATTATGTGTGTGTCTTACACACACACACACACACACACACACACGAAAAGGCAAGCCAAGAATGTGGAGGGGAAGTGTCATAGGCTCAGCTCTGCATAATGAAAATCACGCCAAAGCATGTGTTCAAAGGCAAGCATTTCCTAAACTTGAAGTGTGTTTGAAAGGAGGAGCCTGCAGTTAGTCAGTGGCAAGGGAGAGGCATTGTACATATGTCCACAGGTACTTTTCTTCTTCAGTTCTTGTACTGAAAACAAATTCCTTGGCTGAGTCAAATTAAGCCATTACGAAAACAGCCAAAAAGAGATTGCCTGGAACAAGAAAGTCATAAAAAGGACCTTGATTGTGTGAAGATTTGTTGAAGGAAGGAAGAGGAATGATTCTTGCATGGAAGGAACAGAATTGTCTGTTCTCTGGTTGTAGTTTGCTAGCAATGAAAGTAAATGCCATGGATAATTTCTAAACAACATAAAAAGAGCCTACTGGATCAAACTAAGCATTACTGGCCAGCATTCTGTTCTCACAGTGGCCATCCGGGTGTCTACAGGAACCCACAAGTGGGACATGAACTCTCCTACTTGCTAAACCCAGCATATCACTGCAGATACCAAGGGAAGGACACAGCCATCCTGATTAGTACAGCAGCCATGGTTAGCCTTAACCTCCATGGGAAGTCCTGGGGCTTTAATCTACATGGAAGATCACACGCAGGGCCGTCCTAACCACAGGCACTAGGGGTGCAGGGAACCCGGGCGCTGGGCTCTCAGCGGCACCAGGCCGAGAGTCCGGGGCCCGAGAGTTGGAGTCTGGGGAAGAGCCCGCCCATCAGTCGGAGTGCAGCGGCGGGCGGCTCTGCGACGCGGGTTTGGGGGAGAGTGAGCCAGTGAGGCACTCAGGCAGCCAGCCAGCTCTGCCCTCCTGCGCACCTGGGATTGGCGTAGGGCCAAGGAGAGGCCCACCCAGCGCACGCTGCTTATGCTACGAGGCGCCCGGCTTCGCTCAGTCGCCGACACCTCGCTTGGGACCAGTGTTCTATAAATGTTGAAATGTGCACATATGTGTATTAATCTACTTGAATTGTTGTGTAGCTTGTGCTTTTGTCAGTTAGAGCTACCCATTTACCTGACATTTGGTTCACTTTCTACTTGTGGCACATTTGAATCTGGACTGAGTTGTCCCCTCCCCCCACTGTTCCCCACAAGACAAGGCCACTGGACAGCTAGACTTTGTCCTTAGCTCAGACACAAGCATGCCTCCACTGATATCTCTGAACTCTTGGAGTGTGGTGCTTTCTTCAGTGATGATTGTAATACAAATGGCCAGTTCTCTGCTGGCCTTGCTGCTACTTTGCTCTTTTCTGAGGTTCCCTTTCCCAAAGCTATCCTGCCCAGTTATGCACTGCCTACCTCAAACATGATTTGGTCTTATAAAACAGGGTAGAATGAACCAGGATGAAAAACTGGATTTACTATTACTGTTAACTATATTTGTATGGTCGCCCAATGAAGTATATGTTCTGAGTGACTCACAATACAGTAGAACCTCAGTTTTCAAGTGTCACAAGAGCTGAACGTTTCGGAACCTGAACACCCAAAACCCAGAAATAATTGCTTCCGTTTTCGAATGCGCCTCAAATGCACCATTGAAATTCATTTTTTCTAATTATCTAATTTCCAAAGATGCCATGTCATAAGTAGTTGTGTTTTTTCCATGCAAAACTTTAATGGCTCAGGAGAAAGTCTATGACAAAATGAACAAGCTTCTTAAAACTTTCAAATTATTGTTTAAAAAAGGATAATTTCATCCAGCTAGCCTGGTAACCAATTTGGTTAAATTCAGGCCAACATGGCTTGAAATGACCAAAGTGTTTACCCTGAAGAGCTCCAGATGTGAACTGAAAGTAGGGTGTCATGTCACTGGGAAGCAATACCATATAAATAAAAAATATCATAAAAAGATTATTTGGACTAGAACAAGAATAAATCCTTCAAAATCTCTTTTAAGGCTATTACTATTTGTAATACTGGAATACATTTCTATAAAAATAGCATCCATAATCAAATTTAATTACCCTAAAATCTTCTGTATTAAAAATAACTTCTTGCCTAGCTATGGCCGAAAGTACATTTAATATTTTTCTTTAAAGTGTAGCACCTCCCTGTAGCTTTAAAAAGAGCAACATGCCTACACTATGCTTTGTTCGATTTAGAAATGCATGTGTGCCTACAATTTGTACACCAAATTTCAGCTTGAAGCTACTTAAACCAGCTGAGTTATAAACTCTGAAAACTGGGGGTTAGGTGGAAATGCTGACCTTTAACTTCTGCAGTGCTACTGAATAGCTATACCCACCTAAATGTATTTTTTTGCTGCTGTTGCTATCATAAAAACATTTTGCTAGTATTACTGTTTTCAGAGTCGGCAAAAAGTTTAGACACAATTTTCTAATAATTCTGACTACGAATCCTTCAACCACTTACTTTCATATAGTCCCACTGACTTAGTAGGCCTCTCTCACACACATACACACACTCCCTCTCTCTCTTATTTGTGAATGCTCAGTTAGTGACCATACAAGATACAATAAAACATTACCAGTGGGTTAAATGGGTCCAGTCCCACCATACAGAATGAGTCATGACATGGGAATCTGATGGGAAGAGGTGGCCTCAGCTTAGAATGGACTTCATCTACTTCACCTGAGCTGTGATGAGATACTGCTCCAAATTTCAGCAGCAAGTTTAAGCCCATTCAAAGCAAATGCTATATATAAACACTTTGATCTGGTCAATGTAATTCTTAGGTCAATGTGTATTTTTATTAAGCATTCTAAATATATAAGATTACTTTTAAATTAGTGACAAATTTGAAATACTCAGATGACGCAGATGCTAAAGCAGAACTGTATGCAATTACAGTTTCTACAATTAAAACCAAAATACTTTACAAAAATACACATTGTGTATCTTTCTATGCAATTTTCAACAGGTGTTTTTTCCTCAGAAGATAAATTAGGAATGATATGCAATGAGCTTATATACTAAACACATTTGTAAATATATATTGGAGGTTTCAGCACAATCTTCCTACAAATCACTTGAGAGGCTTTTATCAGTGGCATCTAGGAAAAGCATTTACCAGGTTCTCTCTCCCTGCCTGCCCTCTCACACCCACCCACCCCCAGCACCAGATTTAGGGCAGTATGGGAGGGTTTTCTCCCCAGGGAGCCAAGCTGGGGGGGGGGGAGAGGCAAAATTATATATATATATATATATATATATATATATATACACACACACACACACACACACACACACTGGGGGGAGGGGAACACAGCAAGACGCATACCCCTAAACATCTAACGGGAGAAGAAACTAAAAGAAAATTTGAAAATTGTTTCTTCTCTAGTATGGAGAATCGTCAGTTCCATTGCTACCCCTGATGGCAGCCTCATTTTCTGTCTCGGTGTTTCCTGAGTCTCAGACAGAAGTGAGCGTTTAATGTGTGAAGTAGGAGTTGGAAGTAGGAGGGAGGATGTTAGTGCACACAACCTCATGCCAATGTGGAACTTACTCTGAGCTGTGAACTGTGTAATACGAGGTAATGCATGTTCTTTGTACTTTTGTCCATTTACTGTATTTATTTTTCCTGATTTGAACTACAAAATGGTGATTTTCTTGAGTCAAAATGAGAGTACCCCTAAACATTTTTTTAGAAAAAAGCACTGTGTATATATATAAGCTGCGCCCACAAATAAGCTGCTCCCTTAAAATTCGGCAGGCACTCACACCCATTCTGTTTTGCCGTATGTCTGTTCCAGCAGCGATATTGTAAAAGCCATTTTTTGTAAGGTCGCAAATTTAAGCCGCACTTCACGGTTGGAATTTGGGGGGAAAGTGTGGCTTATATTCAGGCCGATACAGTATATATTTAAAAACCTATATTTATACAGGTGCCTACTCAAAGCACCAACAGGAACTATTGTGAAAATAAGAAGTATTAAGGTGGGGCACCAAATTTTGTTCTTGTTTAGGGCACCCTATTACCAAAGTCCACCTCAACCAACACCATGTGCCCTCATTTACCTCTAGTGCAACACCATGCTATAAACAAAGTACACTGCTCTGTCACATTATACAAGTGAAAGCTCTTTCTGCATGCTATACAAAGATCAGGAAAATGTTCAGGGCACAGGTCAGCATATTTGACACCTCAGTCCTGGCTGTTTATACCAGCCTTCCACCCACATGGTGCCCTCCAGGCCTTTTGGTCTACAGCTCCCATCAACCCTGATCATTGGCTATGCTGGCAGGAGGTGATGGGAACTGCAGCCCAAAATATCTGGAGGGCATCTGGATGTTGCAACAGGAAGGTATCTATTGCATACATATAAGGCACAAACCACAGTAGCATCTTTATGCAGTCAGCACTGAATTGAGTCACCCAATTTAACTGGTGCAAGTATGAATACCTGACCATGGGCAGACATGTGATTTATGGGTTTTTTTAAAAACAAACAAACAAACCTGTCCTATTTGTCTAAGGGATATATTCTTCATACATATTGCCTGTGCCCATGCATTTCAAGATTTCTTTTGGAGGCTGCCTTCAAAACACTTCAGAACTGAGCAGACAAGCATATATTAATTGCAATGGAATACAGTATAATGCTTGCCTCTGTGCATTACAAATCCAACATCAGAGTAATTTAACACTGATCAAAAGTACAATAAAAACTTCACCCTTTCCTATCAGCACTCTCTGCGAATGAAAAGTATTAAGAAGAACTGACACGGTTCTTGAGAATGTTGGCAGATGTACAAGAGAAAAAAGGACTCCCTGAGAGAAAGTCTACTTTTCCAAGGCTCTATCTCAACTTGCTATCTGCAAGCTGCATCATGTAGAGCCAAGACAGAGAACAATAATGATCACATCTGAGGCACAGATCTCTCGCAGTTTATGAAGAAAGATTGCAGATTGCATAGTAGGCTGCTGGCGAGTTCAAATAACTGGCTTCTGCTACCCTCCAAAAAGGGGTGGGGAAGCAACCTTCAATAACTTTTTCAATCACCTTGTAACAAGTGTCCAGTAAAAACAGGTTACCTGGAGGAATCCAAAATTCCATGGACTGTTTGTTTGTCCATTGAATTTTGAACAAAGTATAGAACTTTACTAAACACTAAAGCTATTCGACAACAGTAGAATGCATGGCATATTACCGCCATCATCAAAACTGAAACTACTGGATTTCCAAGAAACCTACAGCTGAAAAAGTCATTGTTTGTTAGAGGAGGGGAATCCAGCAGACTGAATTTACCTTGTCAAATTTCTCCACAGCTTTAATAATGTCTTGTTTTCCATTTACAAACACAGCACCATTTCCTGCACTGTGTGAAATGTACAGTCCATTCTCTGGAGAATCATCATCATTTATTTATTTAGTTATACCCCGCCCACTCTGGGCGGCTCTCAACAGAACATTAAAAATGTGATAAAACATCAAACATTAAAAACTTCCCTAAACAAGGCTGCTTTCAGATGTCTTCTAAAAGTCAGATAGTTGTTTATTTCCTTGACATCTGATGGGAGGGCGTTCCACAGGGCAGGTGCCACTACCAAGAAGGCCCTCTGCCTGGTTCCCTGTAACCTCACTTCTCGCAGTGAGGGAACCGCCAGAAGGTCCTCGGAGCTGGACCTCAGTGTCTGGGCTGAACGATGGGAGTGGAGACGCTCCTTCAGGTATACTGGGCCGATGCCGTTTAGGGCTTTAAAGGTCAGCACCAACACTTTGGATTGTGCTCAGAAACGTACTAGAAGCCAATGTAGGTCTTTCAGGACCAGTGTTATATGCTCTTGGTGGCCACTCCCAGTCACCAGCCTGGCTGCTGCATTCTGGATTTATGCATCCTTCTGTCTGTGCACGATTTTCAACTGAGGATTAAGTGTATGGCTATTGACAAACGCTAAGGGAAAGGGCTTGGTCCTGAGGAAATGGTTGGATTGATTCAATTTACATTCCCTGTACATATACCTGATCCCTATGTGCCACTTTTAGATTTTTTAAGTTATCCACTGCTGGGACAATAAATGCCTTGGGATGTCCCACTGTGGAAAAAATGAGTAAAATTTTTGCAAATATAACTGAGTACTGTAAAGTATGCACAAGAAATCAAAGTGGAAGGGAAAAGCACTCTACCTTTCCTAAAGTGAGAAGGGTGTGAGCATGTTAGCAGAAAATTAAAAACATTCCTGATTTAGATCTGGGTGGTACTTAACTGATGTGTGAACCTTCTAATAATACAGCCTCTGTTTCTCCTGGCAAATCCAGCATCTTCTGGGCAAACACTTCCTAATTCATCCAGCAGGAGTCCAGCACAATCTCCCACAGGAAAAAGGAAGTGCCCGGCTCCCCCATTTTTCCATCTTTAGACGCTAACCCATAGCCCATCCTTTCTGTCACTCTTTCAAGGCCCTTTCATCCTTGTTACTCAGTGAATCAAGATACCGTATTTTTCGCTCTATAAGACGCACCCGACCAAAAGACACACCTAGTTTTTAGAGGAGGAAAACAAGAAACAAGAAAGAAATGCAAAACCTCTTCAGCGAAGAGGGAGCGCTCCTTCTTCTTCGCTCAGGAGGCTTTGCGGGGCTATCCCTGAATCCAGGAGAGCAAGAGGGATCGGTGCGCACTGATCCCTCCTGTTCTTCTGGCTTCAGCGATAGCTGCACAGCCTGCATTCGCTCCATAAGATGCACACACATTTCCCCTTACTTTTTAGGAGGGGAAAAGTGTGTCTTATAGAGCGAAAAATATGGTAATTCCCTATGTGAAGTATGTACGTTTTGACAATTTCCAAACAGAACTTTAAATCTTATACTTTGGACTGATATACTCAACTGCAAAAATAAACTTCCCACAACTGCAAAAAGAAACTTCCCACAAGAAGTTCTGTTAAATTCTTTTTTTTTTAATCTAGTGCATCAAAAGTAACAGCATAACGCAAACACCCAATTTCTATTGGTGTATATATATATATATATATATGTCAGTTGAAATAGCTTTAGAAGCTGTAAGTAAGGGAAAGATGTCTAGTACTGGAAGTTTGAAACATATTAAAGGAAACATGGGGGGGGGGGGCTAAACCACCACTTTCTTTCATTCTGAAAAGGGTAGCTCAAATGTCCCCCCCAAAAGACCCTGCCTGATGTTTTTGAGGGTATAATTGACCCTGATCATCAATTAGATGCAACCAACGTTTGTGGTTAAGCTGGTTATTAGCTGAGAGATTTGGAAGATAACTTTGTATGGCTGGGGATATTTTACTAAAGTGGGGAGTTGCTGTATTGTCTCTTACAGTCTGAGATGCTTTGTCATCAGTGGGGTTTAAGGTGTCACGCAATAAGGAGAGTGTATGTTATTGGGGAACGCTCTTGCAAGTAGCAGTGGACTGCTATGGCTAAGAGTGAAGTGACCAGAGGGGGTTGATTGTTAATGGAGAACTGACAAAAATATCAACAGGGATTCTAAATATGGTGAAAAAGTGAGTGCCCACTGACTTCAGTAAGGTTTATTCATAAACAAATAAGTTTGGGACAGAGCCATTATTGTTAGAGTTATCCAACACCCCTATAAAATCCCCTTGAGGGTTAACCATGGGGAATAGAGGGCTCCTTTTTGTGGGATATGTATGGATCTATACTAAGTAGCCACATCCATATGGATATATGGCAGTTGTGAGTCGGCTGCTCCAGGTTTGTGGAGAGGCAAAGCGTGTGCGGCTTGTAGTTCAGCGAAGCTGTTTGTGGTAAAGGTCGCGGAGCAGCGAAAGAGGTAGGAAAGTTGAGGGACGGGAAGGCTGCCGCCGGCGAGGAAGTGGGACGGGGACCAGAAGAGAGGCAGAGCGGGGAGGGGGCGCGCCCCGGGCGGAGGGACCGAGACCCCGGCAGGCCGACCTCCGCGCGCCCCGTCGAGGCTTCGCTTTCTACCCCGGGCGCTGACGGGGGGCCGCGCGGCTGCTCTCGGTCCGAGGGGAGCAGCTCCGCCAGGTGAAAGAAGCACCTGAGGAGGAGGAGGAGGAGGAGAAGGTCCGGCGGGAAGCGAGGCCGGGCCGGGGCGGGCGAGGGCGTCTCGCCGGCTGCTCTTACCTTGAAGGCCACCGGGAGCGTCTTGTTGCAGCGCCAGTGCGAGGGCAGCACGGAGCACAGGAAGTTGGGGCTGTCGGTGCGCACCAGCTCGGCCGGGTGGTCGGCGATGATCTCCACCATGGTGCGGTTGTCGTGCGGGCGCAGCCGGGGCACCGTCGCCGCCGCCGCCGCCTCCTGGTGCTGCTGCTGCTGCTGCGGGTGCTGCGGGTGCTGCTGCTGCTGGGCGGCCGCCGCCGCCGCCACCACCACGGGGCTCACGTCGCTCATCTTGCCGGGCTGCAGGCTGCTGGAAGGCGGGCTGAACCTCCGGCTGGTGCTGGGATCTACGGGAATACGCATCACAACAGCCACAAGTTAGCGCGTTGGGCAGGGGGCTCGGGGAGGGGGCGCTGGTCCGTCGAGGCGGCGTCGGAGCGGGGCTGGGACGGAGGAGAGCGGGAGGAGAGCCGGCCGGGGCCAGCCAGGCGGGAGGGGACGGGGGAAGCCGGGCGGCGAGGGCGGAGAAGGGCTGCTGCGCTGCCGGGGAGACCCTGGCGGGGCGGGGCGGGGGTCCCCGGGCTGCGCTCCCAGCGCCGAGGCTCCCGGCAGTGGCGGCGGCGGCGGCGGCGGCGGCGACGAGTCTCTCGCTTCCTCGCGGCGCTCCCAGTCTCTCTGCTCGCTCGGCCACCTCTGGCCGCCGCCTCTTCGGCGATTGCTACACGTTTGTGTGTCCCCCCCCCCCCCCGCGCGCCCGCTTGATTTCTTCCTTGGCGGGGTGGGGGTGGGCAGGGGGGTGTGATCGGGGTCTCTCGGCGAGGCGGGGAAGGAGCTGCCAGAGATTTCCTTCTGGATCGCCCAGCGCGCCCGGGGCACCTCGGCGGGACAGGCTCGCTCCCCTCCCGGGAGGTCTTCCCCCGCCGGCCCCCCTCCGGCCGGATCAGACTCAAGATGCCAGAGCTGCTCGCGTTTTCCGGTTACTGGTTGTTTTGCCGCTTCTGCCCCGGGGGAGGCGGGGGGGGGACCCGGCTCGGCGGCGAAAAGCGTCTTCGCTCGGCCCGCGGAAGCCGCGCGCTCTCCGGGTGCGGAGACGCGGCAGTCCCAACAATCCCGCGGCGGGCAGCGACTGCAGACAGCGGCCGGGAGGGAGCGAGGCTTCCAACTTCCGACTCCCGGGAAGGAAGCGGGGCAGGATGAGCCGGGGGGGGCCTGGCCGGGAGGGCTCGAGCGGCTTATTTTAAAGGCCCCCCCGCGCGGGGGGGGGGGCAGATAAAACTTCAGACTTTGTCAGAGTTTTGTGGATTAAGAAACAACTCGGCGGGGCGTCCCAGGGAGAATTGGCACCGCAGGGGGAAGTCGGGCTTGCTTTGGGGCTCCTGCAATTGCGGGGAGGGGCGCGCGGCGAAGCGGGGTTTCCAATGACCCGGTTTCGCGGCACTGATCCTCGAGCGCGCGCGCAGACGGAGCCCAGCCGCCCCGACGCGGACGGGAGGCGGCAGCACGTGGCGGCGCGGCGCGTCCTCCGGCTCCAGCCGCCTTCAAAACAAACACCGCAACGTGCGCCCTGGCCGCCGCCGCAGGGGGGGGGTCCTCGGGCAGCGGCTGCTTCGGAAGCGCCAAAGCCCCCCCCCCCGGACAAGGGCTGAGGGCAAAAACAAGAGCTGCGCTGGGGGGGGGCACGGTCCTCCCAGTGAATACTTTACATTATAGACATTTCTGCGCAACCCCTTTGCTATTCACCAAACTGCAGACCCGAAAAGCCCTTGCTAAGGACCCCCCCCCACACACACCCAGCGCCGCCTCCTGCGCCCCCCAAGGAGTTCATGGTGCCCTTACTTCAAAAAGAAGCAGCCTTGCAGAAGAGGGGGCTGGTTTGGCTTGCTGTCTTTTGCACACAAGTGGCAGCAAATTTGGTTTTTCTTAAAGACGCCCGACGCCCCCCCGGGGGGGGGGAAGGGTCGAAACGCCGCCTCCCCGCGCAGAGAGCCCCCTCTCAGCTCAGCTTAATGCTGCTGCCCCCGAGCTGCCCGGCCCAGACCTGCCAGGCGCCAGCCCGCTTCATCCTTTGGGGCAGCAGCCCTCTGGTCCTTCTCCCGAGGAGAGCACGGCTTTCGCTTTGGTTTCTTCTTTCGTCTTCCACTATACCTGTTCTCCCCCCCCCACACACACCTGTCTCCCGGGGGCATTTTAAGCAGAAAAGGCTTGTGTCGGGGGGGGGGCAATTCCCCCGGCCTCTCTTTCGGTCTCTGCTGAGAGACCCGGGGGGGGGGGCATGGCGCTGCCGGCCGAGGGGCAGATGGTGGCGGAGCCGCGTTGAAACAAAAAGCAAGCAAGGAAAGCGCCGCTCCGAGTCCTGGACGCCACCAAGAGCAGCCCAGGTCGGACGAGGCATTGAACGGGCGACGTTTCCCACCTAGAACGTAAAAGATTGAGGAAGCAGGAACGCCTGTTGTTGGTTTCTCATACTGGGAGTAACTGGGTTGTGGCTCTTGCTAGCTTATGATTTAGGACATCCCAACCAAAGGCGAAAAAATAAATTAAATAGTGAAACTGCACACACAATATAAAATTCTTAATGACAGGAAGATAGGTTAGCTCTTAGCAAACCACCTTGTACTCTAAAACATTATCTGCCGAGTAAAAAATAATGTTTAGATGTTTAAAGAAGCTTTTGGAAATGACCAGCACAGAGCTACTTAAAATAGACAACGCTCAATTTTAATGTGGAAATAAAAAATGTCCACCAAATGCTTCCACAAAGAGAGGCTTTTGGCAAAACGGATCTTCTCTCTTCTTCTTTTTTATAAAAGCCTCTCTGCTGATCACTTTCCCCAGTTAATAGTAACTTGTGGGATCCCAGAAGGAGATACAACTCTTAAGCATTAATATTATGATTATCTTGACTAAAAAGTAGCTGTAGGTTAGAGCCTAACTATTTTTACTTGGATTCCAATGGGATTTGCTCCTATGTAAAGAATGCATAGGACTGTAGCTGTAATATTGATGGAAACAAATAAAGGCTGTATGGCTTTTACATATACAGTACTGTATGCTAGAGTTTACATCACCAGAGCCACAGACATGGCTGTGTAGATCCTTGAGCTTTTTTCTGCTGTTTCTTCATAAATTAACTGCACCAAAGATGTAAAAGAGATCAGAGAGCCATAAAATGTTATAGGAAAGTGTACAGCAGGAAACTAACAATGATTCCGGGTGCAAGTGGTGGTTGTGCTGGTTCTGAAGAGTGAAATCTAGGGCCCTAGAGCCGCAAAAAACTGCCAGGGTTGGCTATCTTGGCATAGTTGCAGCTGCTCATTTTATTATTTTATAATTTGTTATTAATTTATTTTCCCCCTTTTCTACAACAAAACATATTCTTAAGCAAATGTGATTCTGTACACGATAGTGAATTGATTTAAAATGTGAACTGCACATGCTCAGAGTTCATTTTTTAAATCAGGTTTGGCAATCTGTTTTAGTTTTTTATCTAACATACCAGGAATGTATCTAAATGGGTGGGGCTGTAAGACTATTCAGGGGTCTAAAATTACCTAGCATTATCCCTGGTTAGAATCCGGGCAAAGCTTGGAAGCACTTCTAAATCTCACTGATTTCAAGGGAAAGAAGTATGTGGTTAACAAGGTACTAGATTGTACCCAGGATAGATTAGCTTCAGTGTATAAAATAAAATAGTTTAACCAAGTTTAACACAATATTAAATAAAATGATAACTGTAAATAGAGACTGTAACTGTGTAACATGAATGCTATTTCTTTAAACTGACAAACTTTGTTCAAATATAAAAGTAAAGATCTCTAAACCTACTGTCAGAGTGGTGTTTTATTTTGGGTGTTTCTGTAGTGGTCAGTGCTGCAGAATCATAAAATGGGCAAAAGCAAAACTTTTATCTCAGCAAGGGAAAGGGATTCTCACCATATTTATTTGTGTGCAATTATCTAGAACCAATACTACTTTTATTCCAAATTTCACCCGTATAACATGTTTTAACAACCATGTGCTGGTTGAATGGGTGCCAAGCATAAATGATGAATGTTAAATATATCTGATTCTCCATAAAAAATGAGTAAAGTATAAATGGGAAATATGTTTGATTTTATGAGCATGTTTTTATTGGTATTCCTAGCAATTTCATAAATTACTGGTATAATCAAATGATACAGTTGCATTTTCCCCATACCAAGCACACATATCAACAATTTTAATTAAGTCATGAGTTGCCAAGTTAATTTGGTTACCTGTCCAGATCTTGACATTTCTCAAATATAGACTATGATTCAGAAGTTAAAGAATTGTGTAGTTGATGGAAATGGTGTGGAATCACTTGAACTATATAATCATTTGGTTATCAGACACAATAGGCCATGATACAATGCTACAAACATTGTAAGAGTCTGGTTTTTGATCCTGCCCCACTGATTTATGATCTGGGGGCATCAAGAGATTCATTGATCACTATCCTAAAATGTGAAACAAGAATATATAGCATGATCCATCCAAAACTAAGCACATTTAAAGTCCAACTTGTATCAACTGTAGGTGAATTAAGTGTATGTTTAACTTGGTCATTGAAATCAGCAGAATTTTATTTTTATTTTTTTTTGCTTTGGTTGAATAATACCCATAATTACCTAGCATCAAACAATGGGTTTTGATAATGGAGAAAGATATAAAATGTTCAAATGACATTTCAGCACAGCAAAAGGCAACCAAAATTATCAGGGAGCTGGAGCAACTCCATCATAAGGAAAAGGGCTGGGGGGGGGCTTTATTGTTTAGAATGAAGGTGAGGAAGTGGGGACATGTATAGGATGATGCATGGCTTGGAGAAAGTGCATGAAGAGTCCATATTTTTCTCCCTCATAACTCTAGGACCTAATTAAGTGGAATGGTGGGAGATTCAGACTAAAAGAAAGTACCTCTTCACAGAGTGCATAGTTAAACTGACATTCCCTCCACCAAGTCTGGCCTTAAAGGGAATTGGACAAAATATGGTGGAGATGGCTACCAGTGGATACTAGTCCTGACAGCTGTACCTGCCTCTGAACTCAAGCCACAGGGAAACAGGTATGGGGGAAGGAGTTCATGTCCTGCTTGTGGACTTCCCATAGGCATATGGTTGGACACTGAGGGACTGGACAGGCCCTTGATCTGATCCAGTCAGGCGCTACTTACGCTCTTATGAATGTCAACAACATTCTCTCACAGATTTTCCAGTCAAACAATGGGATGGATCAGTGGTTCACCAAAGAGTGTTGGATTTAGAGCAGAAA